TCAATTATTGAAACTGATTACGATCGTGAGCTAAAAGCTATTAAGATTCGTCAAGAAAAAGCTCGACTTGAAAAATCTGAACAAGAAGTAAGAAGACTAAGATTGGAAAACGATGAAAAGGAATTACGGCTGGCTGAATTGCGTCGACAACAAGGTTAGAAGCTGTAAAGACCTATATGGTTATAGCCTTATTTAGCATCGTCACAATAATCCTTTTACCTTTTTAATAATAATCCTCTCTTTTCATTAATAATATACGCAGTTATAATACTTATTATAAACCGTATATTAAAATGTATATATATTATTTCTTTTCTTTATGAGTAAATAATTCTCTTTTAAATTATTACCTTATTGTTTATGTTAGGACATGGCCATGAACGTAGATAGCCACTCCCGTAGCTATCCATGGCTATTGCCATGTGGGCATCCCCATGGTTGCTGCTGCCACAGCTTGTTGAACCTTATCTGTGTATATATAGCCAGCCTGAGACGTTAGGAGCTCAGCTCTCTTCTTCTCTTCTATATTCTCTATTGACTGATTGTTTGACCTTTTAAGTCCCATCAGTTTAATACTTTAAGGTTAATAAACAACAATAAAATGTATAGCTTGTTAAGACATAAATGACCACTCCCGTGACTATCCAAATAGCTATTGTTATATGTCACCATAGCTACTACCGCTGCTATAATTAAATGTAAGGGCTTAATGGCACCAGTTAAATATTAACAGTCAAAAAAATGTATTGTAAAAAAGGTTAAGAGTTAAGCTTTCGACCCTTAAGCTAGCTACCTAGGTATATATATTTGTACAAATAAGTTTCAACAAGCTGCGGCAACAGCAATGGAAATACCATGTGGCAATAGCTATGGATAGCCACTCCCGTGGCTATCCATCTTTATTTATGTCCTAACATTAAACCTCACTTATCCATATATATATAACTAGTTAAAGAATTAAAAGCTATAGTCTTTTTTTTCTCTTTTACATTTCAGTTAAATTTGCTATATTTATTCCTTAATTAAGTTTTTACAATTATTCTTATTTTAATTCATTTCAAATTAATTCTTAATTTATTATTAATAAATTAATATTTAAGTAAAAAACTATTTGTTATAATATTAAAATTATTTAAGTTAATTAAATATAATAATATATATTAATACTTTTTTATATTTATATATTTTAATTATTTATTATTATTTATTTTATATATATTTAAATTAATTATATTTTTTATAATTTAATAATAATAAAAATATATGTTATATTTTATTATAAGCTTTTTATTATTATTTAATGTTTAATACTTAATAAATTTAAATAACTTTTTTTAATAATTATATTATATAAAAAATATTAAATATTTTAAATAATATATATATATATATATTTTATATTTTAACATTACTTATTAATTAAGTATTATACTTAAATAACCTTTTTTATTAAATATATTATAAAATAAATAATAAATATTTTAAACAAAATATATATATATATATTATATTTAAACATTATTTATTAATTAATTATTAAATTTACGTATTTTTAATAATATATATTATAGGAAAAACAATTAAATAAATAATATAATAATAATATAATTAATACATTCTAAATTCATTCATAATCAATTTTATATTAATCTCTAATCAACTTTTAATCCATTTATTTCAATCATGATTTGTTCTTAAATACACTCATGGAAGTTCCTCGTACCAATCTATCCTGGGCTTAGGTAGATTTTCCATCGGATAGTCACCATCGTAATTGAAAACTTGGTCCATAAATGTCCCTAAGCTGACCACTGTCTCTGTGGGAGCCTCGACTTGACCCCTTGTACGAGATCGTGTGTTAGAGCTAGCTCGAGAGCTGGTTTTTTGGCTCTTTCCAATGGTTGGGCGGATGGTGGCCACGGCAGGAGCGTCGGCGCCGGTGGGAGCGTCAGCGCTGTTGGGAGCGTCGGCGCTGTTGGGAGCGTCGGCGCCGGTGGGAGCGTCGGCGCCGGTGGGAGCGTCGGCGCCGGTGGGAGCGTCGGCGCCGTCGTCCGTGCTATCGGGCTGACTTTTGTCCTCGTCGTCGCTGATGGTGATAGTCTCACATGGCTTCTTGTACCGTTTCCACACCTCGCAAAAGTTATCGGGGGTTTGAGGGGGGCACTCTAGTAACAAATCAATTAGTAAATAATTTAAAATCCATTGTTAATTAATCCCTAATCAATTAAGAATCAATTAAGAATTGAATGTTTGTTCGCTTACCTGCCGCCTTTTTACCCCTCGCCATACACCCGTTACAAGCGCGCCCTAACAGTTTAAGGCGTTTTCGCATGCTAAGACCGTCCATTTGAAGGTTCTGGAGTAAATTAGTAATCAATTTCTAATTAATTAGGAATCAATTCTCAATCTCACCCTTTTTCGTGGAATATCCAAAAGGCCTTCGTCTTGCTCCTCCTCTTGCTTGATTTGGGGCTCTTGGGGTGGTGGTGGCTGTGGTGGTGGCTGTGGTGGTGCCTCCGATGCAGTTGAGCCCCTAGATCGCCGAGACCGTTGCGGTGTGTCCCGAATAGGTGTATCACTAATTGATAAGTAATTGATTAATAATTAATTATTAATGCATTAGACTTACTTGCGCCCCCCCCCCCTCGGACTGAGCCCGTCCCTCCTGGTTTTCAGTCGTACGCCGCATGAGCTCCCGATAAAATTCTAAAAATCAATTAACAATCAATTAATAAAAATCAATTAACAATCAATTAATAAAAATCAATTAACAATCAATTAACAATCGTCTTACTGGCAGTCTTTTGGTGTTCAACACTGTTCATCACACCGGCCGGCAATTTTGCTATCTCGTAACCATGTGTGTTTTTAAGGTGATTCCGTAGGTTAGATGGCTGGTATTGTTTCGTCTTTAATCGATTTAAAATCAATTAGCAAACAATTAGCAATTAATTTTAAATGGTGTTACTTACCGCGTTCACGCACATCTCGTCGTCCCCTATACGAGCACGGCAAAATAGCTCCCCTGGAGCTACAATAGGATTCCCATTCTAATTAATCAATTAATTGATTAATAATTAGTTAGGAATCATTTAACAATCGGATATTCGGGACTTACGTCGTCGAGTTCATATTCAGGTAACCCGTCGGGTCGTTTTTCAAAGCTGTTATACAGCTTGTACGCCTCCTATAAAGTATATAATTAATAAATAAATAACATTAAGTAAATGCTGAAGTTAATATGATTAATAATGAATAAGTAATTGATTTAAAATTAATTACGCACCTGGTCTTTGTAATTGAATCGTCCAGACATGTCTTAGAATTAGTGCCTTTTTAGATGTTGTAAAAGTTGAAAATTTTCAGGTTGAAAAGATGAGACTCGAAAGTTCAAATAATCAGGTGGGCCCCTGTCAGTCATGTGGCCAATTGCAGCTCGCTAAATTCCGGATTTTCGTGTCACCGAGCCACATTTCGGGTGGACTTTATAGCGGGGCACTAGGCCTAAAATGGGGGGAGTTTGAGGTGATCTACAGGGGGGCACTTGGGTTCATCTACCTCCTGGGGCATAGCCAAGCCCCGTCAAGCCAGCAACAAAACGACCGACGCCATCGCCGCGACTCCACAATGAAGCCGATATCACCGAGTCGAAAAAAAGCCCCGGGTTTTTTTCATAGTACCATTGGTTTCCATCCCCCCCTAATTTCTAGACCATGCAATTAGAATCGGTCAATTTTCTTCCATTCTTCCCGAAACGACCTCTTTTTGCAGTATCTCTCCCCTTCCTGCATCCCTTACACTCCGCCCCCCCCCCATTCCCATCCTCTCCGTTTCTAGCGGACCGACCGGTGTGAAGCACCCCATCTGGGGTGGAAGCATTCTGTCAGCGAATAAAAGCTTGTGTGGGGTTTTTCCCTCGTCTCCTCGTTCTCGCTCTGGAGATGGGGTGACCTGGGGCATAGATGATAGTATGGGGAAATAAGAGGCGAAAGCCTGTTCCCTCTTCTTGCCTCGGTGCTAATAACCATAGTCACCGCCTAATACGCCGTACGTACTCCGTGCTTTCCTTCCTCCTTCTTAGTCCGACGATACGAATGCGCGTTGCCAGCTAGAGGAGGAGCACAATGATAGCTCAAATTTAGCTGTCGTAGGTAGGATCTCATAACCGAGCTCGCCATGTACGCATTACGCACCAAGTGCATGACATGATGCTGCTGTAACGGATTAGACCGAGTAGCATGTGACGGGGAAGAAGACACCGAACAGGTTTCGCTTGCTCTTTTTTAGTTGCAAGCTACATAGGATTGCGTCAAAAAGCCGTGACTCAGTGCCGTAAAACAATCAACAGTGAAAAACTCACGACAGCTTCTTTTCAAAAGCAAACAAAAAGAGAGTATAATACAACATAGCTAAGATCCAATTACCTAAGGTACCTGGTTTTCCACGGTGGCCGTGGGGGTTAGTTGTAAGTGACTGTTGCATGACGCGTGTTACATGTCGGGATGGACACGACTTTCCCAAGATGCAGAAATCTCCCCCGTGTTCCCGGAAACGACGAAAGATTTTCTGCAAGGCCTAATTGGCACTAATCAGCTTAGACCGGGTTTAGCTCTTGGCTCCGTGGGCCCCAAGGGGATGGGCGCTCAGAGAGAAGCCTGGGGTGCTCTAGACAATCTAGACATTTTGCGGGTTGCCCCCGTGCCCACCCCGTGGAGACGCGTACTAAAGTCCTGGCTACAGTAACTACACCCAGGTGTCTAGCCGGGTCTGTAAAGTGGAATTCTGGTTGCTAGGTCGAGTTAAATTGATGAATTTTGATATTGTCCGGGGCGCGGAGGTGGGTCGTCAGGAGATCTGGGTATGGTCCCTGAACCGAAGCATTGGAACAGCACACCCTCGTGTGTAAGGTTTCTTTCCCTTAGTGTATGCACATGGCATACTGTGTGTATACCTTATATATACCTGCTCGCATACTACCGCACCCTCAGGCATATATAAAAACCCATTGGTATATAAACATATTCATCCTTCCCTTGTGCTCCATTACTCACTCCTCCGTCATCACCACTTTCAATTTATCTAACCACTTCCCCAAAAGTGTGTGGCCGCTCCCCCCAATTTCCTATTTATATCGAGGACAATCAAGGGTTTTTATTACTTGACCACCATTAACAAATAATTACCGCCTCGACTCAGATCGACCCAGGCTCAACTTCCTTACTACTCATTGCTGTCCGAAAAAAAAAACACCTTCGACATGGCTGGTGGTGCTGTCGTTGTCCAGGGCTCGCCCGACCCTAACCGGGTCGAAGCTCCTGTCACCATCAAGGCATACTGCATGTGTGCTTTTGCCGCGTTCGGCGGTATCTTCTTCGGCTATGACAGTGGTTACATCAACGGTGTGATGGGAATGTCCTACTTCATCCAGCAAATCGAGGGTCCCGGCGCAACTGCCCTCACCGGTGACCACAAGTCGCTCATCACTTCTATCCTGTCCGCTGGTACTTTCTTCGGTAAGATCAAGTCACTTGCGCTCTACTTCCATGCGCTTTAAGCTAATTGATTGAAATAGGTGCTCTAATTGCTGGTGATCTTGCCGATTGGACTGGACGTCGTACTACCATCGTCGGAGGCTGCATCATGTTCCTCATCGGTGTCGCTCTACAGACTGCCTCCGCCGGTCTATCTCTCATCGTAGCTGGCCGTCTCGTCGCCGGATTCGGTGTCGGTGCCGTTTCCGCCATCCTTATCCTGTACATGTCGGAAATCGCACCTCGCAAAGTCCGTGGTGCTCTCGTTTCCGGATACCAATGTATGTACCTTACTCTCTTTGAAGCTGCATATGTGACCCCAGCAAGGATTATTACTAACTTCATCAACCACAGTCTGCGTCACCGTCGGTCTTCTTCTCGCCTCAGCTATTGACTACGCCACCCAGGACCGACAGGACAGCGGCTCCTACCGAATCCCCATCGGCCTCCAGATGCTGTGGGCCATCATCCTCGGCGTCGGTCTGTGCCTCCTCCCCGAGTCCCCGCGATACTTCGTCAAGAAGGGCAACCTCGACAGGGCTGCCAGCGCCCTCGCCCGCCTCCGCGGCCAGTCCGTCGAGTCCGAGCTCATCCAGGACGAGCTCGCCGAGATCATCGCCAACCACGAGTACGAGCTCTCCGTCGTCCCCGAGGGCGGGTACTGGGCCACCTGGCTCACCTGCTTCAGCGGCTCCATCTGGAAGAGCAGCAGCAACCTGCGCCGAACCATCCTCGGAACCTCGCTGCAGATGTGCCAGCAGTGGACCGGTGTCAACTTCGTCTTCTACTTCGGCACCACCTTCTTCAAGCAGCTCGGCACCATCCAGAACCCGTTCTTGATCTCGCTCATCACGACCCTCGTCAACGTCTGCTCGACCCCGATCTCGTTCTGGAGTATGGAGAGAGTCGGCCGCCGCCCCCTGCTCATCTGGGGTGCGCTCGGCATGGTCATCTGCCAGTTCATCGTCGCCATCATTGGTACCGTCACTAGCTCCGACAGCGCTGTCAAGGCCATGATCGCCTTCATCTGCATCTACATCTTCTTCTTCGCTAGCACCTGGGGCCCGTAAGTTTCTTCCCCTTCCCCTCCCCACTCTCTTCTCCTCTTATACTAACAACCCCTACAGCGGAGCCTGGGTCGTAATCGGCGAGATCTACCCCCTGCCCATGCGCGCCCGCGGCGTCGCCCTCTCGACCGCCAGCAACTGGCTCTGGAACTGCATCATCGCCGTCATCACGCCGTACATGGTCGACGAGGACAAGGGCAACCTCGGCGCCAAGGTCTTCTACATCTGGGGCGCGCTCTGCACCACCTGCTTCGTCTACGCGTATCTCCTCATCCCCGAGACCAAGGGCCTGACCCTCGAGCAGGTCGACCGCATGCTCGAGGAGACGACGCCCCGCACCTCGGCCAAGTGGGTCCCGCACTCCACGTACGCTGCGGACATGGGATTCACGGATAAGGCGGCGGTTACGAATGTCGAGAACACGACGAAGGAGGAGGTCGTTTAAGAGAAAACGAGCTTCCCTAGCCCCTACTCCTGTTCCTACGATACCCCCTACATTACTCTACGATACCTCCCCCAACCAAAAGAAAAAAAAAGAACGAAAAAACAGCTAGCTATATCTGCCCACGCACTAATGAAGCGCGGGAGACGGAAAAGATGCAGACGGAAAAAGGGCAAGCTCCGGATAACGAGCTTGGCTGACTGCATCATGGCCTGCCCAGCTGGCTAACATATATAGGTACCGTGGCATCGGCTTCGGTACACACACACTTACGCGTTGATTTACGATGGCCTTGACGATTAATTGAAACATTTACATAATGATTTTGAGATGAGATGTGTGTGTATTTGTTGGTGATTGTGATGTATGAGTATTATGTATATGATATGATTATTGTGAGTGATGTAAGTGAGAGTGATGTGAATGATATCTATAGATAGATAGATACAAAGCAGCTTCGCAGATCTTGTGTGCTTGATTTTCGATGTGGGAAAGACTGTCTGTCCTCCTTGATATGTGACCGTGTCGCCCTTGTGTTGGAAACCGTACCATCTTGTTCTTGATACTAACGCGGATTTTAGATTGCGAGTTAGAGATAGTCGTGGTAAGATGCCAGCGACTTGGAAGGTTAACCGAGTGATCGTTAGTGACTGACGCCTTTTTTTATATACAAATCTATGAAGTTCTTCACGACCTGCCTACTCTACCTACCTACCTACCTAGTTCAGTCTAGGCTGCTAGACCTTTGGAGATATATAGGTATGTTTCTCGCGTGACGGTGTTTCAGAGCATGTTATATAGATCACCAAGCCTATAAACGGGAGTGGCAGGTATCTACTTATCGGATTATCTATAGGATTATATTCGTTTGTCTACGAGGAACTCCCACTCTTACCAAGGGTGATACCCCCCCTTTTCGACTCCACAATCCACGAGAGGCCCTATGAAAATCATATACTCAGCTAATGGGATACCTACGTGCCCGTGCCCTGGGCAGGTAGGTATCCCATTCCTAGGTAAGCGGGTTCGATGATCAACGCTAGGTACTTACATGCGGCGCTAGACATAGATACAGAAGAGACAGACACCGACACAGACAACCCTGGTGCCTGAAAGCAAAATGCGACGCATGCCCACGCGGGTTATACCTCGTTACGCCGGAAACAGGTCGCCCGAGCATTCTTCGCGCGGGACGGTTCTCTTTTTTTATCATCTATCCCCTACCTAGGTACCTTAGGTATCCAACTATCTACCTTCCCTTCCCCCCTTTTCTAAGGAAGAGGCGAGGTAGATCGCTACTTACATATATCCAGATGAAAAAAAAAAAAAAGGCTGTTGGGCAGGCGGTATTTGTCATATCATGGCTGTTGTTACCTTCCTATCCCCATACGTTACTATATACGTACCTAAGTACCTAGTGCTTAGTCTCGTCGCCGTTGAAGATCAGCCCTTTGCGGGATAGGGGGGCTCGGACTCGTTCCAATCGCCTCACAACCTCCCCCTCCCCCTTCCTTCCCTATGTCTGAAGACAAGTACTAGGTACGTACACTAGGCTAGATAGATAGGTATGCCGATACCTAGGTAGTGTCCAACAACCCAAGAATCTCGGTAGCGAAAAGTTGAATCTTTCTAGAACCCCCGGGGTGTCAGGGGGGGAGACAGGAGAAGGGGGGGCGCTGTTTACGAGAACGTATCCGCCCCTCTCTCTCTCTACCTACATACCTACTACTTCTCCAGAAACCACCTGCGGTGCAGGGATGCCATCCCCGCGCGGAGAACGTATGGCCTCGTGACGCGATGGAGTGGAGTGGTCAGATCTACTTTACCTGCATAGATACTAGGCAGGTAGCATCTGGGTGCTTGTCTGCAAGGCCATGCTACTAGTCCCGTATAAGGAAGGAATAGCTCATGGAACTCGGTTCCGCGATCGAGGAGGAGGAGGTGGAGGTGGTGGTAGCGGTGCTTACCTACCTGCTTTCTGGACATTCGACCAACAGCCACCTATCTAAGTAGTGGAGCGGCGCCCAGGAGGAGCTCGAAGAATCCGAGGGACACATGATGAGCTGGGGAGGATCATCTACGACAACTAACAACCATCTGACTTCGAGTCGCGAAGCCCCTCGTATTAGCCGGCGGTAGTCTTGTAGCTGAACTTTGTCTCCGGCATTTCCTAAAGTGGGTTGGCGAACCTATTGGGTAGGCACGGGATATCTACCGTCGGCTTAGCAAAGGAAATGGTAGCTTGAGCAGTTTAGCCTTGCTGGCTGGTTTCCTAGGGGTGGGTGTGTGGAAAGGAAGATAGATAGGTAGGTAGGAAGGTAGGTAGGAATGCTATATGGTGGATAGCATCGGGAATAAGGGCTAGCCAGGTACCTAGGTAGGCTAGGGTGGCCGGCAGTGAGGTGTGGGTTTTCTCTTGACTTGGAGGAGTGTCTATCATGGCTTCATGTAAATCAGCTGAGATTAGTTAGGCGACATCGATGCTGCTGATCGTAAAGGCATGGCGAGCCGTCCTCTTCCTGATAATGTTGAATAGGGGGTGGGGGTTGGCATGATATATTATTAGACATGGTAGAGCATACCCAATTTGTAGTACTTATATGGAAAGCTTGAGGTTAGAAGCCGGGGGGATGGAGATATATCTCTGTGATATTCCTAATTGTTCATGTGTTGTAAACCATGTCGCCCCAGTCCCTAAAATGGCAGATACCTACTACCTAGATACAAGAGTTTGGAACACTATGGAATGTCCTCACAGCAGCTGAGGATATATTTCTATGGGATAAAAAGTACCTAAGACGCTTGAGAGAACTCTGAATCATCGAAGGCATGGCCCAATACATCTATTACTAGGATGTCGTGTCTATCATGGCATTCTAGTTAAGCACATGGATGGATCCTGATAATAAGTACATAGTAGTGAAAAAGTAAAACACGTAGATACCTTCAAGGTAGACTCTTGTAGCTTACCATGTGGAAGACTTCCATTGGCAATGATAGGAGGTTTCATCGATGCTGATTGGCGAAGTAGTCGATGGGAATCATGGTTGCCTAGCTAAAAAGATGGCCTTGATAACTCCTTATGCTAGTCTCATTGTGTAGAGATTCAGCTGTCAGTTTTCCATTCATACATGGGTATGCCCGCAAGGAACTCATGTTGTTAGCCCATGAAAAATGAACACCTTCAGCCAACGCTATGGTGTACAGCCTAAGACTAGAATACTTTGATACAATAGGTTAGGGCCTAATATGCCCGATCCATCGTATGCTAAGACGCTTCTCTACCAAACAGATTCGTTGGAGTGTTTAGCCGCGGTATCATACCTAGTAGGCGAATTGAACCTGAATACATCCGATCGTGAGTTTCCGCGGCCAACCCAAGTGGCCGTACTCTACATGGGCGGAATTTTCCCATTCAACAATACTTGGTGACCATACTGGAACCTGGGAGGGCGCAAATCTTGCGGTACATTGTAAAATCATTGTGTTTTGAGTCAAGTTACTAGTGACGTTCCCCTGGTTCAGCCCGACGTCATATGAGGCCACTAGCTAGAAGCATTAGGAACATAGCTCGTAGCCAGCACCAAATAATCGACTCATAGAGGCGATGGGCTCGTAAGCTGGCGGCCAATTGTGGCTTATGCTATTCTCGCCCAACTCCTGGAGTTCTTGGGCTTTTCCCCGCACAGTTACCCAGGGGAAATTGTAGCTGTGCGTGGTTTTTGTCGTGAGGGTTGCTACCTACCTAGGTACTAGCCTACTACCCGTGAGGAGGAAGAAGGGGAGGTAATTGAGGCGCCGGGCAATAGAATTTACCATGTGACCTGTAGCGCAACCGTCCTGACCGACGTAGGGGTAGCCTCACATCTGGCCAATCGGCAGGTTTCGTGAGGCGTTTTTGGGCACATATCTATCTACCTATCGTTGTGAATCTGACTTTTTTCGACGTGACAAAAACGATCACATAGTCCAGGATGGGCCTTGCAAACTGGAGGTGCTTGTAAGCCTACAACTTCGTCAATGATGTAAGTGAAGGGTTAAAGTCATCCGTTTCAACCCTAGATCGTCGCCATGGAGGTACATTTTTGGATTGGGCCGGTGCCGAAAGGTTCAATGTTCGTACGGTTCGTACGTACGAAATAGCGCTAAGATGGAAACCCGACAGGTTGGATCACCAAACAGACCACGACCTTTCTGCCTCTTGGACAGTGAATATGCGCGTCGGAAAGACAACTTTTGTCGCTTAGACAACCAGGGGTGAGAGTGAAGCATGACGGAACCGTAAGTACGGTGGGTTGCCGCGCGGGGCTTGAGAGTCTCGGACAGCCGCCAATGTTATTCTTATTCGCGTTGGGGCTGTCTAGCAAGCGACAAAGCCGCCCTAGCTAGGTGAGGTCGGTTCCCGTTCTCCATACCTCATACCCTGACCTCGGGGTCCCGGTGATTAGCTGGAACTCCGGGACGGCTTCCTGCATGGCCCTATCCATAATTTTCGAGACCTAGGATCGTAGTCTCAGAATTGTAAGCAGACATAGGCTACATATGTAGGAATAGGCTAAGCTCAAAATGAGGTGGCTGTTCTTGTACAACGGCTACCCCTGATCACAATGGAATTTGAGGCCGAGAGATGTGAGCCAGATAACTTGGATTTCTCGTCAATATGTTACAGACGACGACAGCAATGTAATTACCGGGGGTGAAAGGGGGGCAGTGGACGACCCGCCGGAGGAAAGGAGAAAGGGGGATATGGGATATGGGGATATGGGATATGGGATATGGGAAAAGGGGGTGAAGGAAGTACCTGATGCATGTACCTTTGTATACATGTACAAGGCCCTAGTAGCACCTACTTCAATTACAAGCAGCAAGGGGAAAAGCTTATTTTGTGGATATAAATGGACCCATGGATATAAAATTTAGGCCGTAAGTATTACGGCTGGCTGCGGATTGATGGTCTTATCGATAACGCATTAGTTTCTTGGTTAGGTGCTAAACAAAACAAACCTTTTTTAGTTATCTTTTTTATCTTTTTATTTTATTTTCCTTTTCTTTTATCCAATTATCTTCTTCTCAATTCTTATTTTGCTGCTCACACTATTCACTCACTCATTCGCTCAACTTACTCACTCACTCATTTCTCATTCATCCATTCGCTCATTCGCTTCCAAGTTCCAACTTTCAACTTCCAAGCTCAACAAGTCTATCCTGCAGGGCGCCGGGAGACATGGATGGGAAACCACACGGAGAAATCAAGATCTAAAGTCGATAAACATCTTAGTAACCGCATACTATGTAATAGTACATCTTACTAATTCATCATCATCATCATCATTCTCGTTCTCATGTCCTGCCCCTCTCGCATCTACATCTGCAAACCTCTCGGAGCGGAAAAGTACCTAACCTACCCTCCTACCTAGTATGTACTAGGCAGGCAAGTACAGCACGGAGTATGTATTGTCACATCCAGCTCAGCCCTACGAGAAATGACTGTTATGGATACATGCTTGACACAGTGGTATCGAACAATACAAATTATATTACCTTAGGTAGGTACTGATTAAAATACGGATCGAACTACCTACTTAGGTAGATTGACGAGAAGAGATCTTGTTGAAACTGTCCCAACCCCAGGTTTTCCACATATTACTACGGTTACTATTACCGCATACCGACATTGCCTACCTACCTACCTATGTAGGTACTTTATTCGCCTACATGCCTACCTAGGCCCTAAAGTCGGTAAGAGGAAAGGTAGGTATATTTTGCTTCATGCTTCAATGTTGAAGTGTCATTGATTTTGAATTATAAAGTATCAACTACGTAAGAACCTACCTACCTACTTAGGCAGGCTATAATGGGGTGACAGACACTCAACCATATCCGCGTCGAGAGGCACGGACTCTTGGAAATCAGTCCACACGTACATCAATGATGCATACCTATCCTTCTACCTACATATCTAGGTACATACACATGTGCAGTACGTTTGAGCTCCCGAGCTCCTACATACATGTATGGACAAGTTGTATGTAGTATACGGCTAATAGCTAAGACAACGACAAGTCCAAACCCGATCACCGATCTCGTAGTTACCAAAATACGCCTCGTCTCGTACATGCGCCTATCTCCAGACATCCAATCGAACGAATGCAGTGTAGCTGAGCCTCGATGGATGAAGTTCGAGGGCTGAAGTCTGAAGCCTGGACATGTCTGGCTCGACTTTCAACGTTAACCAAAGCATTTCTCCATTCTACTCACATCCTACCCACATCCTAGATTCCCTCATGAGCGTAATGGCACCTACATACACTATTTCTAGGGTCCACGTTAGTTTCAGGTTCAAACGGCAATGGCGTCGCATGATCGCCCGACAACCCGTCATGCTAGACGGAATTATGTCCGACGAGAGAGAGTAAAAAAAAACTTTTGCCATTGTGGCGGAATCGCGTGACATGGACAAATCCGGGGAGCCTTGCGAGATGTTGTTGAAGACTTGGCCCCTCCGGGGGGCTTGCAATTATCATCCGCCATTATACGCCTCATCCATGAACTTGCCAGGTACCTAGATTGGCGGACAAGGCGAGCAAGGTAGCTTGTCTGCCGTTAAGATCCTTGTATCAGATCTCTTGAGATGGTTGCTTCCTGCTACGCCTTGGCATAGAGCGGCAGTGAAGATAGTGAACAGCAAACAGTTGAACATTACGCGTTTAGACATTATTTTCCTTACTATGTCGTGTATGCCTTACCTAGGTACCTATCTAGACTTGACCGAGACGGCAGGTCAATAGCAGCGCATCTAGTTGGCGTTGAAACTCCTGACGCCTTAACGCGCTTTAGAAAGAGCGGCCTAACTATTTATATCCTGCTGCACCTCCGCCCACCTCTGTACTAGGTACTTAAGGTAAGGTGGTGAGAGGAGGATCTACGCTAATACTAACTCCAGCGTAGCTCGATCGGCACCCGTCGCATCATATCGTCGCATCATATCATCGCATCATATATCAAGTTCTAGCTTTCCCGTCGCGCAAAACGATATCCCGGTACATGCCTAGCTTTTTTAAAAACGTCTAGCTATCCTACAAGGATTCTTGAAGGGCCGTCTTTCGATCTTTAGGCACATATATACCTAGTCATGTATGCAGCTCGCAAAATGGAGTCAGTGCTAAATACAGCTCAGACATAAGATGCAAACTAATTAGAGTCAATTCTTCAATTGATACCTACCTACATGCCCACGGCTGCACGGTTTCTGACAGGGCTTTGGGGGCGTGGTTTGCATGCATACACTACACGTACCTACGTAGGTAGGGGGGGCCCCTTTTTCTTGGTTCAACGATTCGTCACTTTTAATGTTGTCAGCCCCACCTGTAACAAATTCCAGGTCTTCTAATAAGGGGTCTTCAGGGCTTCAGGGTTCTGTGTAAAGTGGAAGTTGGAGGTGGAAAAGTGGCTTCTTCATCGCCTCACAGAGCAAAAAGCTGGCCTCATGAAACATCCCCAGTCGCTAGAGATTGCCAGGTGCACATGTGGGCTGCTAAAAGGATCTACATAAATAACTAGCAAATACCTGGCATCTCTGAAGCATCGTCAAAGCAAGGCTTAGCAAAGTGAGAGGATGGAAGATTAGGTAGGCAGGTAGGCAGGTAGGTGGGTAGGTAGGTGGGTAGGTGGGTAGGCCACAGGTGAAATCAAGACTCGAGGAGCAGCGTTTTGTGTGACGAAGACACCACATGTGATTCGACGTAGCTACTCAGCAGACGGATACGCGCTTATGGTTACGCAAGCTTACCTAGGCGACTATTTTATTTTAGTTGATATCTAGGACATACATGTAGATATGGGACCTGAGGAAAAGTAGGTAAGCTATGTAGGTAAGGTGGTAGGTATGTAACTCCTAGAACGGTCTGGTGGTGGCTAAAGAGAAAATAGGCACCCTACAATGATTGGTAGACTGTAACATAACCTTATGCAGACGATTGATACCCGAGAATCAACACTTCCCGATCCTCACGGCTACTTGCCTGCCTTATGTCGACAGCACCTCGTGGGGGCTCTCGTACCTTTTTTTTTCCTTTCTTTTTTTTTCCTTTTCTTCTTATACATATAACCATCTCGGCGGGCACAAGCCCCCTGTCATGGCAAGACGAACCGTGCCTCGGCACTTCACGCCACAGGATCGTATTACAGAGTGTTACATCGTAAGCCCATTCCAGGCACTCTTTCGAAAAAGCGCTTTTTATTGTGCAGGTTCATTCAACATTTCTATTTTTGCGGCTCTTGACAACTATGGCACTATGCAAGCATGTAAGTAGGTACTTATTCAGGATCGACTCCTACGCAACTATACTTTAGGCAGGTGACTATCACTTCGCAACCCACTTGGAATCTAAATACATGCCTACCTAGGGCCTACCTAGGGCCTACATATGGTACATATCTGTACATACCTAGAATCCTAACCTATATATTACGTAGTACTGTGGTACAGAGAAATACTTGAAGCAGTTATAGGTAAAGTGAAGTAGACGGCGGAGATTGCCACCCTGCTGTTGGAAGATAGCTCCAGGGCTTTTGCAACGGTTTTCAAACCCAGCTAAGCTGAGCAATCGCCGAAATCCATACTGTCGGGACCTGACTAGGCCAGGCTTTAATTGCTAGTCAGGAACGAAACGAGGAATAATTCCTGCTGTTGTCTCAGATCATTTTGTTCTTCTCTTTCTTCTTCTTTTCCCCTCCAAGAGATCTGCTCTGCGTGACCTTGAGACTTCCCAGGTTGGTTTAGCACCCGCCTTACATCCAATGTCATCCATCCGTCTGTAGGTACCTACATAAGAGGTAGGTACAAGACTGAAAGTGTAATAGTACCTATCTAGTGTATGTACGTATGATGTATGAACAACTTTACATCTCAGCCACACCCACATCTGCCCCCCCTTTTATCTCCTTGAAGAGGAAATCTTCTCTGTCCTTACATACAAGCTTGCCTTACTTTACCATCCTGAAACCAAAATAGAATGACTAGGAGATTTCTTTTAATTACTAAGGTGCAAGATGGGCGTAGTCTCCAAACGTCTTGCGCATGTCACTGCCTATTACCTAGGTACTGACGGTACATATGTAGGTGATTACCTGGAGTCCTTGACAAACGGGAACTTGATGTTTGCATACATACGCTATCCATTTCGTTGTGTTTCAATGTAAGTACATATGGTATTATGGATTGCCATTACTGCTAACCTAGGTATGTAGTAAAAATAAGGTAGGTATTAATAGACAAGGAAACGCGTCCTTTAAAGATCAACATTAAAAACAACGTTGAGAGCATGGAGTTGTGGCATGCTTGCTCAGCCACCCCGTGCTGCAAGACATCGATAGGCCCACAGGTCTGTGTGATAGACGATGGGGGTTAGGGATCAAATCGATGTTGCCAATCACCAACATCGAAGAGCACAGACTTTACTGGGTACTACACATGTAGCCCGTGTACTTCAAAGATGAGGCCCACGGCCCACGGGTACATATAACACAGCACAATATACCTGTATTTTGTGTATTTTGTACCTCCGGAGACGCGACCCGACACGCCGGTATGCAGGTACATCTACTAGATGCGAGACCATCCTTACCATCCTAGCCATGTACTGTATGTACTGTCTATCATGTATAGTTATATCCTTTAGAATTACAATTGTGATGGGATCTGGAAATGATCACGCCCAATCCGCCAAGTCCAAACCCCTCCACCTCCATCCATCCATCCATCCACCCATTCATTCATCCATCGCATACTCATACCTCATACCCTAATACCTTATACGCATCAAATCACTTTTGGGACCTAACCTTTCTTCTTTTTAACCACTAAGGGAAAAGGAGACAAGGGAAAATGGGCAATAAACAAGTGTCGTGTCTAATATTGCCCCAACCATGGGAACAAAACGATGTCGTTTCTGCATCAACCCACCAGCACCAGCACCAGCACCAGCACCAGTGCCAGCCCAACCCCGCGATGGGGCAAGAATAGAGGTTCAAGATGACCTTCTGCCGAGGTAGTTGTACTAAAGTTGAAGTAATGTAGTATTTACAGCAGTTGATGCATATAATAGTTTGCAGTGCGAGTCCACAGTGTCGGGCCGTGAAGTTTCTTCTCCTTCTATGCACTTCTTTCTCTTCTTCTTCTTCTTCTTCTGCAGCTGGAGGTATGTGTGTATAGAACCTTTGATGAACTGTAGACATCTACGGTTGTCGGTTATGACTTTGCAAGTTACGCAAAACTGCTCACCGGATGTTTCTCGCTCCCAGCTCCCAACTCTTCTGTATCCCGCTGGCATGAGACAACCTGTTCCATGACGATGGTCTCTCATGGAATGAAAGGGCTCTCGCGTGACTCCACATCTCCCACTTTCATTCTCAGAACTCATCTCATGTGGCCATAATCTCTCATCGATCATCCAACATATGGCATGGCTAACCTAGGTGTTATGTACCCAACGTCCCTGATCCCCGAGTTTGCGATTTGTTCACTGGGGAGCCCAGAATCCTTCTTGGCATACTTTGGTGTCGGCCGTTTTAAGATTCTATTTTGTCCCTTTTTTCTTTCTTTCTTTGGCCGGTAAGTATTATTGGTTAGGTAGGCAAAGGAGGTAAGTAAAAGTATCGTATCTGCAAAGAGAAGAAGAAGAAGAAGAAGAAGAAGAAGAAGAAGAAGAAAAATCAAATCTCATCGCGCCATCCTTACGCCCATCCCAGCAGAGACCCACGTCGTCGCCCAGCCAGCCTCCCCTGATGAAACCACGGGTTGATATCCTTGCCGCAGAGCCTTTTCCCACGCTAGAGGCTTGCCCTCCGTTCCTTATGCCACATACATACCTCCCTACTACGTACAAATAGCCTAGCCAAATCGGTCAGCAAACTTTTTTGATGTCTATTCTAGATTTTTTGGGGGTACTAATGTATCATCTAATGGCGTCAAAGGCGCCAACGGGGATCTCTCCAGACCCTTCACACATTTCACTTCATCCCCTAGTCCTTGTCGACTTCTCTTCCACTTTCCCACTTTTCACTTTCCAACGTTCTTAAGTTGAAATCTCTACACTAATACACTAATTTACCTACCTATCCCCTGTGAGTCTCTCCACATAGATCACCCAGATCACCCTTCCCCCCCTCCTCTCTGTATCTCTTTGGTTTGCGGCTCCTTCTAGCAGCAGCTCGCAATCTCAAGAGATCAGAACTGCATTGCTACCTCAACTGCCTACCTAGCTACATATATACATACATACATACCATGACTACATAGTCGTACTAGGTACTACATACTAGGTAGGTAGGTACCGTGGACCTGACTTTCTCTACCGTTGCACCAAGCCCCACAGGTTGTTGTATAGGTAACACATTATCAGCCTACGGCTCATTCGGGGCCGATTTCCACAAACCCCAACACCTGTTCGGACGGGCCCTTGGGCTTTTTAGCCATCTAGCGCGTACTTCTTCTTCTTCTTTTTTTGTTTGCCCACTCGTAGTTGGGTTTGGCCCGCCCCTACATAATTATTTCTGAAGCTGGTGTATGTAGTTAGTCTTATTTTGAAAGTGCCTTTCATGCCTCCGTAGGTAGCATGCAAAGAAGAAGGAGGAAAAAATATCCACATCACAACCCCCAAAATATTTCTATTACCTCCAGGGCTACCTACATGCCTACATGTCAAATTTGCACTTGCAGCAGCATTTCTTAATGTTACATAAACAGTGTGGGTGTGTGTAGGTGTGTATGTGGTATGTCTATAATCGCGTTCAGTGCAATACATACCTACATACCTACATCTACATACATCAGTCAGCCAGCACGTTGCTATAAGCATCAATGTCTAGCAGGATTCTCGTTGTGCGCCCACCACATCGACCTAGTATAGGCATCAAAACGCGGGACAATGACAGGTACTCTGCATTTCAACATCGATCCTGGCTATTGTCTGTGCGAGGGGTACATACACAGTTGTACCGCTTTTTCTATTTTATTTTATTTTATTTTATTTCTTTCGGCAAGGAAGATCTCTTGTGGGAGGATCTTCCCTTGGTCCCCTGTTGCCACCACCGTCCAGGGCAAGCATTCAACAACCCCTTGCTCGCTCAACTGCTGCTTGGCCCACATTATTCGCAGGCTTACTTCCCTACCGATTCGGATACGATCCTCCTCCCAAGCATTTCTGTACATCTGTACATTTTACCTTACATGTAGTAGTATAAGGCATGTATGTATGTATTGTACAGTATTTCGTAGGCATGTACCTGTCTGGTGGCATGTAGCCCTGGAGGTAGATAGGTAGGTAGTAGACATGTAGGCAGTATGTGCTGGACTTGGTCCAGTCCTTCAGGCCATCCATCCCCGCAGACATCGAGGACCACACCCACCCAGCAACGTTGATCTTCCCATTGGCGTGGACCTTCACTAGTCTCATCAACGGTCATGCGTTCATCCGCAAAGTCTACGCTGAGCTAATGTACTGAAAGGACCAATTGCCAACACCCAGATGTCCCAGCCGAGATGCTCTGGTTTATTTTCCCTCTCCTGTTCTGACCTGTCCTATCCTGTTCTGTCTCGTCTTCTCTCCGAAGGGCCACGCTTACCGCTGGTACCTCCAGTTCAACTGCCCGCTGTGGCATAGGCTCAAATGCTATCCTTGTGTTGAAGCAAGTGCTTGTACATGTATGTCTACATGTAAGTAGATAGGTTAGATACATACCCAGACAGAGAGAGAAAGAGAAAAAGAGAAAGCAAGAGAGGTAGACAGTATCCATGGTGTAAATTAAGTCTCATTATCCTATCCTAGATGTATCGGATCTCTTCCTCTCTTTGTTTCGTTTCGTCTAGACCTGCTGCTTCGTCGAGGGCATTTAACCTAGGATTCCCAAATCTTATACGCTTCCAAGCTAAAGTCTGTGTCTGACAGTCTAGCGGCTGTCTTCCCGCAGTTACTACTCTTCTATTTGACGTTTCCGGTTGGGGTCTATTACGGCAAGGGTTTAGTCTGTTGGTATTTTTGGGGGGGGTTTATTATTTTTTTTTCTTTTCCTTTCCTTTCTGGCAGGCTACCATGACACGGCATTAGCCATTCAGCCGAGAAACCCAATGGTCACGGCCCACTCGATATAGATGTTGCTACTTCTACTATCATCCATGACAGAAAAAGGTGTGTGGCTCAGCAAGTTAACCATGCTGGGGGAATTTCCTTATTACTTATTATCACACCTAGCCCGTTAAACGTGCGGCGTCCTGTCTCGTCAACGAAGCCTGAAAACGTGCATCTAGTCCCTTTTCAATATCTCTACCGTATCTGGCCAGGTACCGTCCCAGGCTGACCCAACCTTCACGAACACCTTCTCTTCCAGCCTGTGCAGGCCCTGTCCCTTCCTCGGACCCTCCCTAGACATTTCTCCGTAAGGATGGGCAGTACTTTTCGGTATTAATCCCACCTCTGTCATCCACAAGAGCAGGGGTTTCCTCGAGGACGTCTTGTTGCGACCATAGACAACCCTCAACGCCCAATACATACATAACCTAAGGCCTACCCGTGTCTAGACAATTTGAGGCGACCGACCCCACCAGATTATCACTCGAGAACCGTCGACTTACACACACGACTTCGTTTAGAAACCCAAAGACAGACAGGCTTCTTTCCAAACATATTACTCTTTTTTTCTATCTTCTTAAAGCATATACGTGGTAGTTATCTATCTACATTTTGCAGCGTCCCCGTCGTCCAATATAGTTGGTGGCAAACTTGCTTCGCCTAACTCCTGTCTGTTGTTTTCGACGATCTCGACATATATTCAACAAAGCGCTTGCTTAGTTAAGAGAAGCTCCGAGGACCAATAACTTGGTGCTCTCTACGACCAACCCCTTGGAAAGAAGACATATTAACGAGGCAGCTATCCTAGAAACAAAGAAAAAGTCTTCAACCCATACTCTGTATCTCCATGGCATGCATGTACGAATGCCCTCGACAATATTAGACTTAAGCGCTTAAGAAGCTACAAAGTATCCAAGGCTAGCTTGTTACTAGAACACTGGGTGGCCTATCTCTGTAGCTGGGCCGATAAGTCGATAACTGATATTGTTGTTGGTTTCAAGCTCGAGAAGTTCTAGTGGCTACCTACTTTCACTACCTTCACTACCTTACATACGAAAGTCAGCCGTGGAAAGCTCATCTCCTCGTTGGGGGCTGGTTTTTGAGCAACATAATCTCAGCAAACAGCTCTCCTGTAGCTTATTTTCCGTTACTCCTTTTTTTTCTTTTTTTTTCTTGGAATAAACAACTACCTCCGATACCGAAACACCTGAAATCTTTCCAATGCTCGTTACCAGGCATCTCGATACAGAGCAAAACCACTGGTCTAGCAAATTTGAGACCGCCTTCCACAAGTCCACAAGCCCACGCATGTCGAGCTACGACGGCCATTTGTCGACACAGCCTGATTGGCAGGGGCAATACTCCTTTCTTCCTCCCGTGGAGAGCAACATCTTCGCCCAGCCCTTCGAGCAGCAAGGCTCGGGGTCCAGCAGTAACCATGACGTTTCTTCCCAGCAGCAGCAGCAGCAGCAGCAGCAGCGCCCCTCGAGCGCGCACAACAGCAATCTCGACAACCCCAGCCAGGCCGCCCAAGGCACCCTCCACTCACCCATGAGCCATCACCGTGTGCTGGATCCTCTTGGCCTACGACAACCCAAGGCGGAGTCCCCTCCGCAAGGGCACTCTGACGTGCAGGGTTCGCGTTACGCCATCAAGGCTGAGTCTGCTCACGAGGAATCGCTAGCTTCTACGGACGCCCACGGACATCCACTTGGGCCGAGCGGCATGAGTTCAGCGTCTGCAACGGGACAGGGGCAGGTAGAAACAAGCTCTGATCCGGCCGGGAACGACGAGGCTGCCCTAGGAAAAGACGAGGATGACGATGTGCTAGAAGACGACGAGATGGTGGAGGCGGACGCGGAGGCTACGACTCAGCCACAGACGGCTGCTGAGCGTACGGCGGCTCGGAGGAAAATGAAACGCTTTAGGTAGGCAAGGATTTACGATGACCTCGGGTGATGAAAAAACAAGAATTTCGTGTTGACAGCAGTTATTATTATCAGGCTTACACACCAGCAAACACGATTCTTGATGAGCGAGTTTGCGAAGCAGCCGCACCCAGACGCAGCACACCGAGAGCGACTTTCCAGGGAGATCCCAGGGTTGAGCCCTAGGCAGGTTCAAGTCTGGTTCCAGAACAGGTAAGACTGGGGGGTTTTTCTTTTGGTTACGTTCAACTTGCCTACCTACTTGAGATAAGTTCTTTGAACTAGGAAACTAAATAGTGTTGCAGGAGAGCGAAGATCAAGAGACTTACGGCGGATGACCGGGATCGAATGATCAAAATGCGCGCCGTGCCGGATGACTTTGACAACGTCCAGGCGTTGCATTCTCCCTACGGGGCAGTGCAAGGGCTGGGGGGTGCTCCCATCACGCCGCCTGTGGATTTCGGGACTTCCTCGTACACCGATCACATCATGCGGCCGCTGATGGTGGACACGATGCGCCGAGGGGAAAGCGACGATCACATGTCATCTTCTGGGCTGAGTCCAGCATTCGGGAGCATCGGCTTTAACCCTTCAGGGGCTATGGGCAGTTCCGACCTGCTTTCGCCGCTGTCGCCCTCGTCCAACGACCGAGGGTACTACTCGAGCCATCTGTCAGGGCCGCTCAGCGGAGGACATCGGATTTCGAACCCCTTTGCCCGGCAAAACAGCCTCGACTCCGGCGTGCAGATGCACTCGCAGAACCGACAGCAGATCCGCCCTTTACAGCCGCTTCAGCTGCGGGAGACGGTGTCGAGGTCGCGGCCAGAGAATCTGCAGTCGCCGTTACGCTCGAGCATGTCGTGGAAAGGGGACTCGATCGACTACACGACGTATTCGGCCACCGGCGGCAGCCCCGGGATCAACTCCCGGCATCCGTCTATATACCAGCCCGACCCGATGGGCAATAATTCCAGCAGCGCGTTGAACTACGAGTCCGGCTCCTATTCCTGTAAGGGGACATTTTCATTCTCCTCCCTTTCCCTTTCCCTTTCCCCCTTTATTTAACCCCCTATAATTACAATTACAACTTACTAACCAACTCCCACCCCCCCCTTCCCAACAGCCCCAGGCGTCCAATCCTCACCCACCAACATAAACTACTCGAGCCTGCAGCAGCCGTCGCAGAACCGCTCGCGGCTGCGCGCCGCCTCCGCGAACCTGCCCCTCGGCCTCGACCTGCGGCACCAGTACCGCCCCTCCGCCACGCCCCGGACCACCACCACCACCACCTCGCCCTACGGCGCCCCCTACACCACCAGCTTCCCGTCCGCGCCCCTGACCGCGCCGATCGACTTCCCGCTTTCCAGGACCCCAGGGATGGGCCGGAGTTCGGTCCAGCAGCAGCAGCAGCAGCAGGGTGGTGGGGAGTACTCGATGCCGCAGATGAGCGCGCCGATCGCGCCGTCGACGGACTTCACGGCGGCGCTGCACGGCGCGGGCGGCGGGGGCAGTACCACGAGCACGCGGACGCCGATGCGGGATACGTTTGGCGGGGGCGGTGGTGGAGGACCGGGGTCTGGTGGTGAAAGGGGGGGCAACGAGGACTATTCGCAAGAAGGGCTGGGGGGGCCTGGCGCGAGTCTGAAAAGGAAACGCAGCTCGTTCAGTCTCGCGCAGGGCGGCGGTGGTGGTGGTGGTGGACATACGCCGAGCCCGGTGCAAACGTCGCAGCCGTATGGGCATGCTACTTGAACAGAGTACCTACCTACCACCTGCCTACATACCTAGGGCGTTCCTAGGTACCTAGCTAGGTACTTGCTTTAGAGAATCTACGAGGCTCGACTTACCGTACGTATATGAAAGAGAGAGAAAGAGGGAGAGAGACAGCATGGGCGGCGATACGAGACCACCGAATAGCAAAACGTGGCGACTCATACCTACTCATTCCGATCGATTCGAGAAAAGACAATAATAATACCTACCTTACCTACCCGGCCTTTTTTTTCTGAATGGCTTCATTAGATTATCATGTGTTACTATATAACAGTTCTTCCTTTATTTTGGGCCTACTTTACACTACACTACTTTTGTTCCCTTGTTGCATTTCTCGGTGTGGATGTGTTTACAAACGTCACAGCAGGTCTTTTTTCAGGGGTAATAAGCGGTTTTTTTTTTTTTTAACACTAGGTGCCTACTATTATTCATAAGGAGGTGGGAGAGGGGGGAAAGGGTTATAAAGGGGATGGGTGGGCAGGTGGGCGGTTAGGTTGGCGGGTCCAGAATGATGTTGCTTTACGATTTAAGAAGAGAAAAAGAGAAAAAACCAAAGAAAAATGCACATATCATACATATTGGAAGACAAGTAGTTGGATTGGTGTATGTTTGCTGTGGGACAGGAATGAATCAACATCGTTGGTTCGAGATGGGCGAGATTGGGCGAGCATGCCTTCGAGAGTTGGGTAGAGGTCTAACCTACTTCTTGCTGCGGACTGGGTATCTAGCCTTCAACTTTTGGCAGTTTTTTGCGCTTCTTGAGCTGTACATAGACGGCACCGCCTCGATCGTGGGGAAAAGCTCCCATGACCAATACAAGCTCCTAGTTTCGCAAAAGTATTCCATGGTGGTTAAACACTGCCAGTCTTGTCTATCTCGTTACCTTAGTCAGTCAGGTGGTGGTGATTTTCGCAACAAGACCCCACATGACAGCGTAAAGCATGCGCAGCCAGAGATTACTATATACCTTACAGACCTCCTACATGAAGCTTGGTACCGATTTGCATTCCAAATCGTGGATCTTCTAACGGACCCCGTAGATCTGTGGTGAGGCTCAACGACTAGTAAGGCGCAGGCTCACTCACTCTTTGCCTCTCTTGTATGTCTGTCTTCGCCAGTACAGAATCTTGGCTTACCGTAAACGATACAGGAGGCATTTGCCGAAGCTATGCGCCCCAGCTTACTACTGCTACAGTACGCCAGGCTTGCCCATCTAAACCTATCTGCCTTACCCACGTACCTAACCTACAAGGACAAAGTCACAGCAGCGTGGAGAAAGGGAGGGGGGGGTTTGGCATCCCATCCCCCCTACCCTCCCCCCATAGCATCGGAATGTAACGCCGATAGATGGTAAATCTCATTTTGGAGAGATCTCTCTCCACCCAGAATTCCCCGAACACGTTTTAGCAATTAACGAACAGACGGCCCTCCTGAACCAGGGCAATGTTCGATGTGACATTAAGTACAAGTGATGCTAAAAATCACGAACTACCGCTCTTTCATTCATTCTCTATTCTTTTTAATTTCCCCCTTTCTTTTGTTGTGTTATACGAACAGCTACGCGGGTATCATCACATAAGCGCCATCGTGTCGGCTAAGGGGAAACGGCGATAGAGAGAGCCAAAAAGGAGAGTACCCTATTTTTTTTGTCTTACCGCGCTAGTGTGCCTATTGTAAAAAAAGAACTCTCACCATGCGGGACTTTTATCACAGCCCCTTCTAGGTATGTATCGTGTAATGTGCTGTGCTTTGTTCTGTGGTTATGCAGCTACCAAGCAGGAGGAACAGGAAAACCTTACATAAGGCAGGCAGGTAGGTACCTAGGTAGGTAACAAGCAAGCAAGCAAGCAAGCCAGGGGTGGTTGCAAGCTCGGGAATTTTTTCAATCCTTCGACGGCATGATCAGCACTCCCTTACCACGGCAGAGATACGCTAAAAGAAAGATTGGGAAATTAGAGATAGAAAGATCTATGAGAACGAAGGAAGAAAAAGAAATGTTACCTAGATGGTTCTGGTTTAGCTAGCCTAGGTAGGTAAGTATGCTCATGTAATTATGCAGGCGACGTAGCGAAACGCGCGGTAACAGCCCTCGACACATACCTATTCGTACGTATCCTCCAGCCTACCTATACCATCTAGGTAGGTAACTATTGCACCTAACCTAACCTAACCTAACCTACCGCAGCGTAGGTTAGCTACCTAGTAGGTATCTAGAGTAGCATGGATGCGCCTGGGGTACCTCGAAAAGGCCAATAGAGGTTAGGAGGGACCCTAAAGCTGACAACTGCATGATGGGTTGCACAAGACGCAGCTCGCTGCATACGAAAGGGATGGGATTTACAATTTACGACGGCTACTGCGTTTGGTGCAACCCTCCACCACTTGCTTGCCTACATGGTATCTACGTACCTACATATTTACTAGCTTGAGGTAGATATACCTACATGTAGTAGTACCAGGTACATATGTATCTACCACTCGTAGGTAAGTATATATGTATTGTACCTATGTAGGTGGATGAATATGCAGGCAGGAGATTGAGTGTCCATGTACAATACCATACCTACCTCCCTACTAGGTACACTTTGCGTGGTGAGACCCTGTCGGGAGCTGGATCTTGGTCTGTGGAAGACAACACAGGGGGGGGGAGGGCCCAAAAACGCTGTGCCAGATACCACGACATAACGATTGGTTCAGATCTTCGGGCACGGGAACGATTCAGTTGGGTGTGCCTTACTGCTCCAACCCTCGAGAAGGAGGGAGGGATATTCCCGTCACCCCCCAAGCAGGGCAGGGCAGGGCAGCACAGGGCAGGGCAAGTATTGTGCACAGGTACCGTAGGTATCTATCCATCTCTGACGACTTCATGACTTCATCGAAGCATATGATGTGAAGACAGCACAGGATGGCTAGACAGGTAACCATCAAGGTACATATGTATTGTAATACTAGCCTTGGTAGAACGTAGGAAGTTAGGTAGGCGGGCGTTTTCCGCAATGTTGATGCTGCACTGCAGGTTCCGCCGTCGCTCGCCGGCAAAGCTGGCGTAGAAGCTTAGCCTAGGCTACCGCAGAGAGAGAAAGAGAGTGTATGTTTGAGGTCGTTCAGCCAAGGATTCCCGGTACAACGACCGTGCCCAAGACAGACAGCTGCGATACGACGCTTAAGATCGCTCCGATATTTTTGACCATGTAAGTACCTACATAGGTACAATACCTAGTACATTCATTCATAATGCCCAGGAGACATACATATGGACGGTACCTACATAGCCCTGGAGGTATGTATATACATCCATGTATAGATATGTACTATGTAGTACATCTAGTACCTACATGTAGCTCCCTTCGGGACTAGACTCCCGACGTCGACGTCGTCGACAGCACCGCCTCGGTAGTATGTTCGAGGTATTTATAAAGAGAGAGGAACATTGAAAATTGAAGGAACCTTATGTGTGAAAATTTGCGTCATTCTGCACCAAGACGACATCTCGCGATGCATAGTGCAGACATTTCTTCCTACTCCTTATTCCTTTTTTCGTCTACGCACCCTCTTCGGAAGCTCTCGGTCTGCGCAGCCTTGGTATCGACAAGCACCACAGCTTACCAATATATCGCGCTGCAGTCTGTCTACCTACATATCTGTTCATCCGTCAGTGTGCGTAGAACGTACCTATATCTGTATCTGTCAGTCTAGGTAGGTAATGTACGGGCTCCTCATATACATAATATGCCTACATCACTCCTGCAGATGCATACAACATCAACAACGGCCGAATCTAGCTGCAGTCAGATAGATGTATGTAAGCTAGGAAGGTATGTAAGATATGTAGGTAGGTAGGTAGGTATGTAGTCAACGTGTCTTCGCGTGTTGGGGGTCTCAGCTCAGCTCAGTCGTGTTTCCTCTTATTGCTACTTGCTGTCTTGTTCTTTCTCGTTTGTTGTCGCTCTGCTCTGCTCCCACTCGGACAGCTACACACCTACCTATCTACCAACTTACACCCACCCGCCCGCGCCCCCCTTCCCGCGTCAGCCACAAAGCGCAAGCACGCGTTGTCGATCAGTTCTAGACGATGTGTGATCTGATCGAATAACAGACATGTCGATTTTTTGCACATTGATTACTGTCAAAGCAAAGTTCGCGGATCCGATTGATGCACCAGTTTGGTTCGTGTTATGCACCCGCCCGTGGCGGCCGAAAGCAGGGGGGCTTAACTACCTAGGTATAAGATGTGCTGCTATAACATTTCCCCCTCCCTCCCTCCCTCACAACACACACACTGATGTTGTTACCACCCCATCGCATCTTCCTCTTTGAAACTTGAGTTCCCTTATTGAGACGGGGTTGATTCCAATCTTGTCACCGCCTTGCCCTTTTCTGTTTCCGTAGGTTACGAAGGTAACATGCCGACCTCAGGTAGGGGATTATAGGTACCAAAAACACGGACACTTCGTACATAGTAGCTACATACATATGTGCACACCAACATAGGTACCTAAGTAACTACCTACTCTCTCACATCTCATATTTATACCTATCCATGAAATGTATATACCGTAATCCTCCCGTAGCAATAGGGATGCACGGTGACAGACGTGCATAGGGAAATCCAGGAAGACGATCATTCTAGTCAGACTCTTGTCGACGTTCTAGGCGTGTCTTTTTTGTCCAAGGTTATTATCATTATTTTTCTTTCGCTCCCAGTTTCCCCCCAATATCCGCGAATGGTAATCCGCGTTACCTGACTCAGCGGAATCCCGTACCGAACCGGCTTTCCTACCTGTGCCTCCCTTGTCCATCCCATCGCTGGCACTGACTGCATTACCGGATGCGCCCCTGGGATGTAGATAGGTATCTACGTATGTACATCCTATCTTCCTAACCTCCCCTATCTCCCATGGCCCCCTGATTAGCTACGATAGGTGGAAAGGGGGGAAAGGGAGAAAGAACCCGCGAAGACCAACTACGGCAGCAACAACTTCAGCCTTGACGAGCCACGGAGCCTCGCCAAACGGTCCTTGATGCTCCTGCAGCTCACTAGACCAGAAAGCGCCTAGAAATCGCTTGGGTGGGAGATCGCCCGCCATTTAGGCAAAAGGTGTGGAATGACAACATATGGGGGTGCCCTTAGAAAGCGAGAGGGGGGGGGAGGGAAGCCAGCTTTTTAGAGCCGGGAAAGATACATAGCTAACCTAGGTGCATTCCTGACTGGGCCGCGTACCTTTTTACTCATTAAAATAATCGGTGTTAAAGGAGCCCAAAAATTTAGAGAAGAAGAGAAGTGACGAAAAAAAAAGGTGGGATGGAGCTCAAGTTTGCGCGAAGGAAAAGAGGGACTAAAGGGCGCCACATCCCACGATATCTCCATCGAACTCAGGGAAAAATTTCCGAAAAAGGAAAATAAAAATAACAAGGGTTTGTTTGGCCAAGGAGAAGAAGAAAAATATGTCGGGTCCCCGGAGCGTCGATCTCCAGAAACCGGTTGCTAGACCTGAAGGAGATACAGGTTCGGCACTTCTCGCCAGTGGCTTGGCTGACTGAGCAAGCCCCCTTTTTGCTCTGGCCTATAGAGGTAGGTATATGCTTCCAGGTACATGTTTAGTAATAGGTATCTACATGCTGTCGGGTGGCTGTCTATCTGTCTATCTACCTACATTATCTACACATCTCGCGAGGCGTAATTAACTTCCTCAAGCTTCTTTGTCCGACGAAGCACACGCCTGGACATGCCTTACTTAGGTAGGCACCTACATTAATGCACCTGCGAACTACGCCAAAGGCTTGCCGAACGAAGTTCTAGATAATAGCACCATGCTTCTTCATCACAGGTTCAATCGCTGAAACGAGTGGCAGTGCCAGGGGGGAGCGGCCATGGGAGCAGCGTCCCGCGCCGAGGATGGAGAGCAAGCCACATCGGCCACGAACCCGGCCGCGGGCCTGGCTCTGACCGGTTAAGGGGGAAGCCGAGGTTCTAAGCATGGCAGTCAGTCTACCTATTGTTGCAAGTCTACTAGATAGATGTCGAACCCCAAGGCTTTTTCTCTATCTATCTGTCTGTCCGTACCTACCTATGTAGGTATGTATGCCCCTTGAACGACCTGAGAAATCGTATCACGCCACCGGCACATAGGAGAGATATATATTACAGCAGTACAATTCTACCTGTGTGTCCTGCAGATGGATGACGATAACCGTGCAGCTGTTGGCGCTTTCTGGGGGGTGGGTGGGAAGCTTTTTGCTTCGCGCCCGGTTCTTTTCACCGTATTTGCCTGGGTACCCGACTCGGCTGTATTGTTGTGTTAGGGTTGGCCCCGTCTTGTTCTTGTCTTATAGCCGCGCACCCCCCCGTTTCTTTGCACTGTGACCCCATCGTCGCCCCCTTCACCACGCGATGATGCCATGCGACTCGTACATATTTCGCCGACGGGAATCTATCTCTACTTGATAGATCGGTAAGGGGGGAAGACGCGTCGGAGAACAGTGATGTGCAGGCTCTTATACCAAGCGCCAGTCCAAGCTTCCTTAATATATTTTGCATGTAGATATGTAGTTTGAGCTAACATGGTAGTCATACTCTACCTACTGTGAATCATTGTAGAAGAGACTTTGCCGCAGGGGGGCTCAAATCTTGTACCCGATGTTGAGGTTTTTCAAATTCCTCGTAAATGCCTATATGCATATCGAATATCCTCCTTCCTATATGTATGGGGGATCAGTTCATGATCTGAGACATCGAGCATCCCAGGCGGCTCCGAGAAGCTCTAAGCATTTCCGTTCGTCCATGGAACAACCCTAAATGACCCTACCTACGACGTACTTACCTAGCCTACACATCCATGTGTCTTGGAATCCGGGGGCGGCTGGGAACCTGCAGCGCGGGGGGTTGGCCCATCTATCTATCTAGCAGCAACGAAGACCCGGACATGGCTTTTCTTTTTAAAGTGCCTTTTGCAGGGCCCCCTACCCAGTTTTAACGAAGCCATCTACATAGCGTGGGGAAAGAAGTACGTATGTATGTATAACGCACTGTTACTCACTTCCCGGTGGCTTGCAACCCCCGTTCGATCGAAAGGGGCAAGGAGTCCAAGAAGTACCAGTCACGGGCAGGTAAGCGGCCAGAAACTCGGTGCTTCTACGAAAGAGAGAGTTGAACCAGAGGGAAGGAAGCATCATCGACCTGGGGGGGGTCCCTACCTAGTACCTCCCTACCTGCCTAACCTAGGTAGGTACCTACCACTCAGACCTCTCGCTTCCAGCTCCGCTTGGGCTACCGCGCTCTTACGCGCGAGCCCCATCTTCCCCATCCTTACCATCCTCCTTGCTGCCTCCGCTAGCCGCCATAAGCACACCGGCTCATATCGAGATCGAGGGGAAGCCAGCACGGCAGTCCCTCTTCAGATTTTTCTCCCCCTTCTTCTTCTTACGTACTTGGTATATTCAGTGTAGTAGGTACTTCGTAAGCTAGTAGACACAAAAAAGGACGACGGAGTCAAAACGGTAGAACGGGTCTAAATGGTTTGGTCACCGTTGAGAAACAGAAAAGGGGGAAAACAAGAAGGGGCTTGACGATATCACATTGCTCACCTGCCGTGGCTGCCATGCATAACTATCTGCCTATGTAGGTAGACAACTACTACTGCTAGCCATTCGTATATTGTGGTAGAGGAGGGCATGCCAACAAGATGTAGTTGTTGTCTTCCCTCCAGAACAGCAAAGGGGGTGTTGACCTCAATGCACGCAGGCTTATATCCATCTTAATAGCAACTAAGATGGTTGGTAGCCATCTATAGAGTCAATCAAATAGAAGTCAGAGCCCATCCTCGATAAGCGTAGGATATATAACTTCATCTACGTCTGTAGTTACCTAGTAGTCGTTGAACCTGTGAGGTCGAGTTGATAGAGCATACAGCATATGCTGTCATTAATGAACACAAATTGCGAATTCATATGAAATAGAGGGCCTCGCCCCCAATAACATTTGATCTTACTTGCGTGGGCAGCATCTTTTATAGGCCCCAAGATATCTGTGTATATAGGAAGTGTGCCCAGGTAGGAGGGCATACGCATAAACGAACCGGTGAGGTGCGATCGAATCGATTATGGTACAGCAATCTACGTAGCAAACAATGAGATCTGACATCGGCGCGTCGAATCATTATATCGTCATTTCGACTCTTAAGTAGACGTATGCCCTCCATGGCCTACCTTAACCTACCTAGTAGTTTTGTAGAAAATAAACCCCTATGCTTTACCTCGATTAGCCCGTTCGGTGAAGGATTTTAGGGGGGATCCCGGCGTATATTCTTCACCTGGCTACAAAACACGACAGCGAGATCCGACTTGCTCAATATAATAACGCAATCGCGAATCCTTTTTAATTAAATATCTACCTAATGGTTTCATCTTGGAATGATTTTGGAGTAACTAGGTCTATTTTAATCGTCACCGTCACTATCCGAATCCCCCCTATTTCTCGCCACTTCGCAAGTCGAAGCCCTACCCACGGGGCATCTCAAGTAACCTTCATTGCCCATCTCTAGAAGACTTGTCAAGGTTGCTTCAGTTACATCTTTCCCTCGTATCGAGTGCGATGCAGCGACTCCTGACTTTATCGAAATCCGACCGACGAATACCCCCTGCCCCTTTTCCCCAGCTACCTACAATCCAGTAGGCTAGGCACCTATCCAGCCTACCTTCGAGTCCCACGACGCCCAGCGTACTCAGGACCCCTATCTTCTGGATCATTGTCTTGGACGTATCATGGCTGTTAAAACATAAATACGTACCTGTGTCACCAGAAGTCGGAATAGCAGTGGGAGAAAGTTCGTAGATACTGGCAGAGTCAAGTCAACATCACCCGGCCCGACCCGTGGGGATACGATGCCAACCAACGTACCTTTCTACGACCACCTTTCTTCCTTTATCAACGTTGAACAAATATATCTCCGATCGGTCGATATATAAATCTACGACTCACACTAAGTCAATCTCCTTGTGGGTACACACCTAGGTAACTGACCCAACACTACCTACCACGCATATACCAAAAGCTCTATCTTCCAAAGCGTAACTGCCAAGCAATGATATATGCACCTTCTAGCCCGCGTCTCGAGCCCAGAAGACCTACCTCTCACCCCCATCCACGCTCCTCCCAGGGTGTCCCCTCCGACTAACGCCCAACCGCCCCATCTCAATCGCCTCGCGCGTCCCAACATCCTCAACCGTCCTCCCACGACCCTCTTCAGCGAGCGCTTCCTCGCTTTTCCTCCCTCCCCCATCTTTCACACCCGCACCTAGCCCCGTGACGCTCGGGTTCTCGCTCCCCGTCGCGCCACTACCCCCGTTCTCGAAGATCCCACCACCATTACCACTACTGCTGCTGCTGCTGCTGCTCCCACTCCCATCGACAGTCTCATCCTGCCCAGAAGCAGCAGCAGCGACCGAGCCGCCCACACTCTCCATCGTAAACGGGCTCGCCGTCGGCGCGTCCAAGATCCCCAGCTCCAGCGGCGTGAACACCCTCGGCAGCACGATCGCGCGCACCGGTATCAGCGCCAGGATGACCACCGGGAACCCGACCGCCGCAACCGTCTGCGTGATCGCGAACGTGGCTCCGAACGCCGCCAGCTCGACCGCCACGAAGCTCCAGACCGCGGCGCGGCGCGGGATCCGCGCGAGCGGGTGCCCGCCGGGCGTGAGCGCGCTGTCGCGCAGGAGGAAGAGCAGCTTGGCGGTGATGCCGTTGGCGGCGAGGGCCTGGTAGCCCATGATGAAGAAGAGGCCGGCGAGGACGGCCTGGGGGATGAGGTGGAGGACGAGCAGGAGGGGGCCGGTCATGGTGCCGAGCGTGAGGAGGCCCTGCGCGAGGTTGGAGACGCGCTGCTCGACGACGTGCGTGCGCTTGAGCACGTAGTGCCCCTTCGCCTCCTCGTCTGCGTCGGCCTCGACTTTCGTCACGCAGAGGGATTCGGTGTGGAATGGGGCTTGGGGGATGAGGCCGTTGGGGAAGGGGAGCCCGAGGATGCCGGCGACGCCGGTGGTCAGGCCGAGGAGGAAGAGGTCCCAGTGGAAGCCGGCCGGTTTGCGCAGGGGGAACTCGGTTCCCTGCGCGATGAGGGAGGAGACTGTAAAGAGTCGTGTAAGTTAGCTGCTAGCTACTACCTAAAGTACCTAAGAGTAGAAGAAACAGGCAACAGGCCATGATTAGATATATAGCACTTACCATTATGGTCAAAATAAAACAGAATCGTGAGCAGGATCGCGAAGGGGATGGCAATAAACACGTCCCCGAGCGAGATCTCCCAGAAATCAACAAGCCAGCTCCTGTCAGCGGTCGGGGAGAACGCCGCATTCGTCGGCAGCTTCTCGAGCTCGATGGACTGCATGCGGCCGAAGTGCACGAAGCCCGTGAAGAAGATAACAGTCAGCGGGGTACCGTAGTCCTTCAGAAACACCCGCACGGGGTGGCGGAACAGGGGGCTCTCGCCGAGCTCGCCGCAGGCGTAGGCGATCATGAAGACGAGCAGGGCGACCATGACGGACAGGTAGAAGGGGGAGTCATTGCCGAAGCGCTCGAGCACCTGGATGCCCTTCTGCAGGTAGATGAAGGCGACGTAGAAGCCGAAGATGTCGCAGGGGAACCGCGTCACGTACCGCAGCCAGTTGCACGAGTTGGTGATGGCCAGGACCCAGTGGAAGACGAGCGACCACAGGCCGATCCAACACATGAAGGCCAGGTAGTTGGTTCCGGTGGGCATCATGATGTCGTAGACCGTGCTGAGAAAGCTCACGGTTAGAAGACTCAATTATAGGAACAACGATATCGCCATCAACTTTGAAGGAGGTTGGGGGTGGTCGTGAACAAGCAAGCACGTACTAGTTAAACACGGTAATAGGGCCCGTGACTCCAACAATAACCAGCGGCTGGCACGCCAGCACAGCGAAGACGACGGCGCCGAGAACAGACGACAGCAGTACTTCATTTACGCCGTACATCATGTTCGTCTTAGTGAACATGTCGAGAGAGAAGGCCAAGGCCGGTAGGATACTAAGAGGCACATTGTCAGTTACCCAATCTTCCCTCATAATCTCACTTTCCAATACCAAAGCACAACCGTCACAAAGTGTAGAATGGTAATAGCAACATCACAACATAAAACAGACTAGCTTACGAGAAAGAAAACCAAAAAGGAAAAAACAATCAACGCAGAAAACTCAAGGCGCGCATACTTAGCAAAATACATATAAATCGTCGACGGCACGACGCGATAATCCCAGGCGTCGCGCCAATCGCTCCAGTAGTACGGCGCGCGGCGGCGCACGTCGTTGACCATGCCGCGGAAGAAGTGTATCTTCCACCAACCATCGCCACCGGCACCGCGTTCCGCCGAATTCGTGCGACCGCTGCGGTGCTGGCTACGGTGTTGGTGTTGGGAGGAGGAGTCAGCATTGCGCGACGTTACCCAACGCCGGATTCTCCCGCTCAGCGACGGGCCGGACTCGGTCTCCGACTCGGCTGCGGCGCCGCGGCCGCTATTCCCAGAGGAATGCATGGCCGTTGGCAGGGTGAGAGAGTCGGCGGTCCGAGACATCTTTGTGTGCAGGTACCTAGCTAGGTAGATGGGTAGGTACTATCAAAGTCGAGATGTCATCCGTGTGAATCTAGGTACCTATAATAATCGGTAGGTACTAGGCAGATATCAATGGGTAGGTAGACAGCTTGACTGAGGTGGCGTCTAGAGTAGACCGATCAGTTTGGAAGAACACAAAGAGACGAAGCCGGCGACATATCCTAGGTAGTAATTAATCACCATCCAATGTCTAGATACACCCAAGAGACATCGACTTGTATCAAAAATTAAAGGATGTGGCTATTACGAGACAATGCCAACTTGAGTTAGACCCCGTAATCAACTACCGATCGGTAGGTAGGTAAGTATATTATAAGTAGGTGGCGGTGTGTCCTAGTCGGACATCTGCACAGTACAATACAGCGGGATGCAAATATCCATGCCCAGATGTAGTTAATCCCCACACGGAACTATGTAGAATCCCCCCAAACCAAGCCGCTAACAAAAATGGATGTCCTGAACCGTACTGGACCGAACACGGAACAGGGGCGCCCGCTCAATTGCTCAAGGGGGCATGTGAAAGATTGATCGTTGACTGCGTCATCGGCAAACACACACACTTCGGGAACTTTGCTCAACCTCCAAAACTTTCAGATCATATGTATGGATGCAAGCATATACATACATCAATGATATATGTGCCTTGCAATATTTGCGAGACTTCTAATGTACCCAGGTACCTAACCTAGTATCATACAGTACATGCAATGTATAGACAAGCCACGGCGCGGCGTACTCCTTTTTTCTCTTTCCTTCTTCCCATCTTTTCGTTATGAACAGAATATACATAGAACTGGAATGAGTTGAGAGCTTTTGAGTCATCGTCATGCATTGGTGGTATCATGATAATAGCTCTCGACAGCTCACCGGCAGAGGAAAATCCCCGAGCCCATTAAACCATATATAGGTACATACAAACAATTACCTGATTTCGTCGCCTTTCAAGTCCTTGGTCAATGCAGGGCTTGTCGGAGGTTCAGGGCTATCGGGAAGCTCTGGCGATTCTGGTGCTGGTGGCGGGCCGGGTGGCGCCTTGCTAGCATCGCCACCGAAATACTTGGAGAAGTCGTCCCTATCTTCAAAAGGTCGAGGTCCTAGGAGACGAACCATATCATCTCGAACTAGCACCTCCTTGCTTAATAATTCCTCTGCGATGATTCCCACCTCCGCCTTCTTCTCTATTAAAAGGTCCTTGCACTTCTTATACGCCTGCTCAATGATCCGTCTCACTTCGGCGTCGATGACTTGACCCGTCCCCTCCGAAAATGGCTTATAAACCCGATTTTGGTCGTTTCGGTAATGTAGTGGCCCGACTTTTTCTGACATGCCCCATTGCGTTACCATGGCCGTGGCCATACGAGTCACCTTGTCAAAGTCGTCACTGGCTCCCGTCGTTACCGTAGGGAAGTGGAGCTCTTCTGAGATTCGCCCTCCCAGAGTCATAGCCATCCGATCCATCAATTGTTCGTAGCTCATTAGGTAGGCGTCTCCCGGCAAGTATTGTGCGTATCCTAGACCTTTACCTCGAGGTATGATCGAAACCTTTAGAAGAGGATCGGCATATTTGAAGAACCAACCACAGATAGCATGTCCCGCTTCGTGGTATGCGACGGTCTTCTTTTCTAATGGGTTTAAGACGAGAGACTTGCGCTCAAGACCACCGACAACGCGCTCAATGGCTTGCTCGAAATGCAGTAGTGTAACCGATCGAGCATTATTTCTTGCAGCTGTAGAAAGTTGTCAATAAATTATTTCGAACCTAAACATAGATTGAAAAGGGGCATACCAATGAGAGCGGCTTCATTCACGCAATTTGCAATATCAGCACCAGAGAAGCCTGGTGTTAGGGACGCAAGTCGCCCACTTAGATGTTCCATCTCTTCGTTGGTCACAATCTTCTTGAGGTACACCTTAAAGATGTCTTGCCGTCCTGCCATCGTGGGTGCGTCAATGTTGATATGTCGGTCGAATCGGCCAGGTCGCATTAATGCCTTGTCCAGAATATCTACTCGATTGGTACCAGCGAGAACAACGATTTGATCAGTGGTGTTGAAACCATCCATTTCCGTGAGGATCTGGTTAAGGGTTGCTTCTCGTTCATCATTGCCACCAAATCGCTGGCCCTCCGAACGTGATCTACCAATGGCATCAATCTCATCAATGAAAATGATGCAGGGGGTGTTTTTTCGCGCCGTTGCGAAAAGATCTCTGACTCTCGACGCACCAACACCAACGAACATCTCGACGAACTCCGAACCGCTCACACTGAAGAATGGTACTCCGGATTCGCCTGCAGTAGCCTTCGCAAGCAATGTTTTACCAGTTCCAGGAGGTCCAGCGAGAATTGCACCGCGGGGAATTTTGGCACCAAGTCTCTGGAATTTTTGCGGCTTCTTTAGGAAACTCACAAACTCCATGATCTCTTGTTTGGCTTCGTCCATGCCGGCGACGTCCGAGAACTTGACCTTGATTGCTGTCTCGTGGCTAAAACGCTTTGCCTTGCTTTTGCTAAATCCAAATATGCCGCTAGACCCTCCAGATCCACCGGGACCACGACGTGAAGCATAAATGAGTAGACCAACGAGAAGTACTGTAGGGCCAAAGGCCACTAATAGGTTGAAGAAGGGGCTTTCGGGCGCAATGCTTACGGGTATCCTCTCGTTGCTGGGGATACCTAACTCGTTTTGGGCTTCTTCCAGGCGTCTCTCAAAGGCGTCAGCAGAGGCAATAGAGAAGTAGTAGTTGAAGCCGGGGCGTGTTGCAATCGTATCGGGGTACATAGACTGAGTCGCATCCTTGTTCAGCTCGACGCGGACCCGGTGGCCTTGTATAACCATCTTCTCAACGAGACCCTTCTCCAGGAAATTCTTCCTAAGCTCTTGCCATGTAATTTCTCGTCCGCCCTCTTCAAATACGGAGTTGTAGAGCCACCAAACGACAGCCGAGGCTACAACGGGTGAGAGCCAGTCCGATCCCTTGAATGGGCTGAAACCGTTGTTTCCAGAGTTTGGGGGAGGCTTCTTTGAGTTGAATCCGCTAAACCCCTTGTCAGACCTCTGCGAATTATCTCTATCTCTTCGGCTTTCGCTTTCGGGCTCCTTGGCTTTCTTCTCTTCTCCCTCTGTCTTTCTCGAATTCGCCCTGGAATAACTATCGGGTTTCTTTTCCTGAGTTTTCAGCTCCTCCATTGTCATCTTAGCCAGCTTTTCGGCCAATTCGTTGACAGCCTTATACGTCTTGCCGATATCAGCAAGGGACAGTGTCCCTTTTCTTTGCTTCTCAATCGTAATAATCATATCTGCAGGCACACCCGTTTTTCTCACTGAGTCGAGTAATGATTTGTTCATACCAAACGACGCAAGCTTGAATGGTGCAGCAGAAAGAACCTTCTTGAGAAGTTCCAATTGCTCCTCATTAAGATACACCCAGCCTTCGGGAAGCGGAAGCCTTTCATCCTTCTCGGCGCCAGATTCTTTTGGCGCTTCGCCGTCGGTTGGGCCGGGGGATTCTGCATTCTGGAACTCTGGCTGTGATTTAGTGTCTTTGGTGAATTTGGTATCTTTTATGTCATCTTTTATGTCCTTGATGTCTTTAGGGGTTTCGGGTTTGTTAGGCGTCGGCGCTCCATTCCGGTTGGGTTCGTCGGAGTCGTCGGGGCGTTCGGGCTTCTTCTCGGAATAGTACCGAGGTCGCTGGGCGGCCCAGGACAATTGCGATGTGCGAAGTGAACGGGGTATTCGTAGGCTTGCACGCGTGGAAGCGCTGAGTGATATACTGGCGACCCGCGCGAGACCGGTCGATCGCCGTAATATGCTTGACATGCCGGGCAACTCCAGAAGCTTTTGAGGTGGGAGGGTGGAGGAAATCGAGGGGTCCGCAGGGTTTAAGAGAAATGGGGAGAGAGTGAATAAGAGAAAAAAAAAAGGGAAGGGTCTCGGGCGCTGTTATCTCATGGAGACAAGGGCGGCGACCGCCAATACAGCGGATGAGAAGTGTGTTGGCTGAAACCCGACTGCTAATTCCTTGTCGGGGAAGGTTTCTAGTTGTTGAGACAGGTTAAGAAGGATTAATTGGCCTCGTGCTCCTCGCGCTGACTCAAAAACTTCAAGTACAAAGATTGGCACTCAGAGATTGGTGGGTTGATGATGATGCTTAGAAAGCTTCCGGGTCTGCGGGTCTAAGCAAAAATAGGCTAGTAGCTAACGGTTTATGTGCACAAATGCACGTGATTCATGATTAATAACCCTCTTAAAGGAATATTGAGGGGCACGTAAGCATGCAGCAGGTACATAGGCAACAGGCAGGCGGAGTTACGAAGCTTCACTGTTCAATCTTAAACTAAACTTATACACTAAAAATAAAAATGTATCATCGAACAACTTCATTTGAAATTTGCATGTATATACAATTTGTAAGTACCTAGGTATAAATACACCAGCAATCCATCCTTTTCTTCAAGCTACTACGGATGCTTCGGTAAAGACAGGACCACTCCCCTCGTTAGACTCTGCTGGAGTCCGGAACCTGGACTCCTTCGTTATCACTGCAGCTGCTCAAATTCTTACGATCATCATAAGACTCATTTGGCCCCATATTTCGGTGCTTGAGGAGCTGTCTTTCTGTTGTCGTCTTCTGCTCCGCCGTGGTGATCGCATCATTCCGCTCCAGTCTGGACAGCTTCACATCACTAGACTTGTGTCGATGCGCAAAGAATCCAGAGAGCAGCCGGGTGAAGAATGGGCGTATCACCGGCACGGAGGCGCATACGATGCCAAAGTTAACTTCGATGTAGCAGAGTATCACTAGGCATAGGTTAACAGCCGCCTCGAGTTAATGTATGCGACCCAATACATGGAGTAGCAACGAGGGAATAAACAAACTGACTGTCAGGCGTCGCGTCCCAATCGTAATCCTCACTTTCTTCTAGGAAAGGTATATATGTAACTCGCTTGAGAGCGACAGCACATACGCTACACATCCGTCAGCATGACTACCTTATGGAGACTATTTGCCCTGCGTCACGGCGAAAGAAACCTACATGATGCCCGTCGCAAAAAGGAAGGATACTGAGATTTTCTGTCTCCTGGGAAGCTGCATTCTCATCACCAGCGGGATTGGCAGTAGGAGAATTATGATGTCCATCGCAATGTCTACGATACGTAAGCTGCCTGTGCAAGAAAGGGTTCCTCATGACATACTGCTAGAAAATTAGCATCTATCAACGATATAGGGGGTATGTAGGTTCGTTCAAGTCGCGTATTTCGGAACAGAACAAAAAATCCGTAAAAAGCTTCTCGTACCTCAAGCTACTAAGCGCAATATACGCCGGATACGAGTTATAGCACTCCGCATCCAAGCTCTCATCAACAATGCCCTGGAGCGGCTTGCAAGCCAGCGACTCCACCAAAGCTGCCGCGATCGAGTAGCCCGCAACAACGGCGATGCATGTGTAGCAAATCCAGTGAAACCACCTGTGCGGCGTGATGCGCAGATACAGGACCAGCATAGATATCTTGGCGAGACTGACGCTGAAGATGAAGGCGAGATAGGCTAGCAGTCCATACTGTATATATGCCACTCGTTAGCCGATGCGATGACTAGAAATGGACACGATAATAGTGAATAATATGAGAGGAAGTATTACCAGACGCTCCCCGATGTGGTAAGTCTCCTGTGGGATATCCCAGACGTGGTATGTAAGGCCGTGATCAATATCTGCGTCCAAGTCTCAGCAAACATCAAAAGTACCTAACCTAGGTAGGTACCTAGCCACCGCTATGCCATCTATCGCAACGGGTATGAATAAAGCCCCTGACCTACCTTTCTGCACAAACGCCAGCATCGCAACCGAAACAATAAACGCAGAAGCGACAAGCCCTTCATCCCGCGTTAGCAGCCTCCTTTACCAGACCCGTACATATACTCACAGTCATCGGCCTCAGGCTTCCTATTAAGCACGCGGGTCCGGGTGTACAGACGCATACCCAGCGCAATGGCCGCAATGATGCTTGTCGAAATACCCGCCGCCATCAGCTCTCCGCGGCGCGTTGGGGGATTGACGGGAGTGCGGACTTGCCCCTCTGGCACCTCTGCATAGTATACCACGCTCTCGCTCATCGTGAGAGCCTTGCTGTCGTTGAGGCTCCTGAGGAAGCAGCCTAACTGAGTAGGTTGGTAAAACTAGAGGGCCCCAAAGTCCGATATCTAAGACGGCGACGCGTCCGATGTTTTAATAGAAAAAGAAAAAAAACTTTGAGATAGATACCGGTGATTAATTCACTCAAGCAGGAACCGGTAGGTATTGTACCTAGGCCAGCTCGCCAACGCAATATTCATCAATCATCTCTCTCACCAGGAATCAGCGCAGCCTTGGAAATGCGGCACAGCTCCAACCAGCGTGCTCGCTCCACGGACCCGTGAAATTGATTTCTCTGCCTACCTATACCTATCCATTGCTTAATATAGATTCATTTATTTTTTACCACTCCTCTTACCGGGGTTCATAATCCTCGTGCATATAACAAAATGCCCGTGGGTTGTGGGTTGGTTGGAGGAGCAGCAAACCCACAGCTTGCTTGTCTTTGGTTAGGTATTGGCAGAACCGTGTCCTGTCTGGTAATCTAGATCCCTTCACTTGGCCAGTGGGTACAATTAGGATAATTATTTTTTTCAGTTATCGATCGCATCAGGCGGCCAATGATTTTGGTGTTAAAACTGTCGCCTGTATGATTCTCAACTTGCTGCTTGAAGGATATCACGTAGACAGGGTATTTTCTTCATGGCGTTCCTCCAACATGGACATAACTAACTTGTAGAACAAAAATACGAATAGGGGTCTTCCCATATATGTATGTAGCAAGCACTTGCTATTTTTTTTTCTCCCTACACCTCACCGCCAAGTCAAGTTGTGATTCACAAGCTTACGGGGCATTCATTGTCTGTTGGCCGGCCTACATATCCAGTTCTCTGAACATGAATAACAGGCCCAGAAAAGACAGGAGTCAGTCATGCGAGATCGCGACAATAGCTACGCGATTGTACATTAAATGCATACATATTAGCTTGGCAATCCCTTATTAGGTAGACACGGTGGATATGAGATCCCTTTGATGACTGGGCCACAGAGGCAACTCAGCTTTGAGAGGGCTTTGACTTGCAAGACTTACTTACATGAATTCATAGGGTTGATTGTGGCGTCCTCGCCCATAACGAGGATATCACGAAATCTCGTACGCTTACCCATACTGCACCCTGGATGACCTAGGTTAGGTACATACCTACTAGGCTGGCAGGTACACAGTGGGTTGAAAGGTGCGCATGGCATAAATCGTTCTCACATAAAATATTAAGGCCACTATAGCTCTGGTATGACTCGTGGGCACTGATTCGCGTCAAACTATCGTACCTCATGATATGGGTTGAACCACGAATGTACTGTATGGTTGCAGCAATGATGGAGTCTGCACACCTGGCATACATGGGAAAGCATTAAAAAAAATGGACGTCTCGATCGGTAGGTTGCTTGAATTTTTCAAGCTACCGTATAAAAATGTATTCGACTGAATTTTCGCGAACCTCGGCACAGCCAGCCTTATTCAACAAGATATTGCTCGATATCTTTATCCTCTTCATCCTCCTGGAGCTCCTGTAGCCTCTTCTCTTCTGCGTCGAGCAAGTTTTTGATCATGTTGCGCTGGCGCTTCCGGGCCTTCTTTCCCCAATCCGTAGCGGATGTCACAGCCTGGTCATTGTCGTCGTCGCTATCGTCAGGTATTTCGTGTTTGGAGCCACGGAGCTGGTTGGGTGATATTTCCGCCGCTATGGCCTCTTCCTCCTCCTTTGCAAATTGTTTCTCAAGCTGCTTCTCCTGGAATTTGGCGCCCATCTTGATGATGTACGGTCGCAGCAGTGCATAAGCACCGACAACTATAACTAGCCGAATCCATTGCTTTGGTGTCATAGACGAGAAAGACTCGCTGAGGTTGGTTGAAGCGCGATCTTTTACCAGAGTGAACAGCTGGGATATCGAATCGAAAAGGTGACTGACGAGCTCTACGAGTTCCGACATGATGGGCGGATTATTAAGTCTCTTTTTTCTAGAAGCTCGAGTCTGAGGGAAACGGCAGGATGTAAGCAAGATGAAGGAAGCAAATTGATATCGTAAGAAGGTCCAATTGGAGTATTATATTCGTCTAAAAAAGCCTCAGTGACAAGAAGTAACCAAGTAATAATACAGATGCATGGAAACTATTCAAAGTCAATGGTTGTAGGAGTGATGGTTGGAGGCTCTTTGAATTGCTCGCGCGACATAAAACGCCGAGAAGAAATTCGAGTTCGACAAATAAATGAAATAAATGCCGCTTTCGGGTAGTACAGTATACCGCACGGGCCTCGAGCTAAGTGCTAAGAATACGCTATCTGTCCATCTTGAACCTTAAAAATATCTTGGGCGCGTCTGACGTAACTAACTAGTAGAAGTTCACGGTCTCAATGTGGCTGTCGTTATCCCAGCACCTCAGAGTTCGCGGCACGGACCAACTGGTGCACATTGCGCCCAAGTACTGGTACTTAGCCCCACTACTTTCTGCCTCAATTATTGGTGGCTCTTCCGCAGTGCCGTGGCAAAATAGCCAATCATTACCTAGAAGCTTATGTAAGGCAGCGTGTCGGCGCTTGTAAGACCGATTACGTAATAGAAAGTTGGAGATTTGGCTAAGTCTCAACATTAGGTAGTTACAGATATGCCCTCACATTTATTCAATTACAACTATTGCAAACCACAATATTTCAATTTCGCATTTAGATCATTCGAAAGAGCTTTCAAAGCGTAATTGATTGAATATAGTTTGACACGATCAAGTGGTGTGTAGCATTCTGAAAATAGAGTTAAAGGTACCGTGTATATACACTAAATATGGCCACTTTCAACGCGTCAAGTAAATATCCATATATACACCGCGTTTTGGATCAAAATACACCTTTCACAACGCAATTAAGATAGTAATCATTTGATCAATTGATTGAGATTTGAAAGGGCTTTTAAATGAGCTAATTACAATTATTTAAAGCCTGATATTGGGCGAGTGAGCTTGAATTGATTGAAATACAAGTGATTATAGCGCTAGGACGCGTTGAAAGAGCCCTGAAAGAGCCCTGAAAGAGCCCTGAAAGAGCCCTGGAGACCCTACTAAGTAATACCAGCACATATAATGATTAGAAAGCTTGTCGCCGGGAGATTTCACTTACTACTTGGTTATATTTAATAGATTGATCTTATTTGATCAATTTGATCCAAAAAAACAACGGAAATACTCGAATAGCTTCAATATACAGTGGTGTGTAAGGAAGAAAAACAACAATTACGCGTTGACACGCTCTTATTCAAAAATTGATGACTAAGCATAATCCTAGCCGCGAGGCGCTTAGAGAAGTACGAAGGAGAAGTAGCTCCGGATCCACTAAAAGTGGGGCGAACAGGTGCGTGGATAACGATACCGCTCAATGTTAGTGTACCTCTACACGCGTCCAATCAACGATACTACAATCACTGCTATTACCCCTTAAATATTGAACCACCCTAACCAACAACAAAAGGTCTATATAAACAACGCATTACAAGTTATCATGGCAGATGGATCTGAGGAAGAGGTATGTGTAATCCCGTGTTTTTCTATAATACCTAGTACTTATACGGTTTTGTCAAAGAACTATAGCTAACACCGTATGGTAGCAACTTAAGGCTGCATTGTGGTTTGCGGTGGGGAAGATGGTCGATGAAGAGACCCTTCGAAGAAACAGAAATGTCACACCTCAATTCATTGGGGCTTTGACTGAGATGGTCTGGGCTCAAATAGGTACTGTCTTGACATGATTAGTTCATCCACGTAGTGAAACATAGCTTAAGCTGAACTAATACATTCTAGAAAATGTCGCCTTGGATCTGGAAAACTTCAGTCGCCATGCGGGACGCACCACTATCAACACCGATGATGTCCTACTGCTTGCTAGGCGAAACCAAGACCTCCACGCTATTATCAAGGATTTCGTAGACAAACGCAAAGCTACAAAGGCAAAGGGCAAGTCGAAGAGATGAGAAGGGATGGACTACCATATTTCATCTCCATGCTCCAAATCTCTATTGCCATTCTAGTCCCGGACACACACGCCTAAACAGATGTGTCTATGAAACGGACGTCCGTTGTCAGGCACATTGCAAGTTTCCTTCTCGGTCTAATGAAGGATCCCGCGTCGTACCATGACCTATCTACCCACTTCAAGGCACACACGAGGCACACGTGATACCCCGGATTAATAATGGTGGACAACTACTCAAATACGCAAATCGGAGGTTTGCGTTACATACCTAGGTATATAAGTGCTAGTCAGCCTGTATGCCAAGTACAATAGGCTATGATACCAAAGCATTACGGAGTGATTATAACTATAACTATATGAACAAGTTTAGAACCTCGTTTGTGCCTAGTAAATAGTAACTACTAATAATCCTCTTTTAAGAGTTCGTTTGAAGCTATGCCTCGAGCATCCTTTTGATAAACATATCCCTCTTATAAGATCTGCTAGCATTGCCTCAATTATGAAGCCACAAGCAATGAAGCAGTTGGCTTGGCCCCCTTTGCCAGGTATTTTGTGAAATATAGGTGTGCTGAGCATGAAAATAAAGATTTAGGCTTTTGCCGGTCTGCAGGCTTGCCGTTTTTTTCTCATTTCCTTTTGGACGAGTCCCTGCTTATCATGAGGACAGAACGAGTTTGTTTCAAGGCTTCAAAGTCCGCTTGCATAGCAACAGTTTCATTCTGAAATGATCAAGTGGACTGCCATGATTCTAGTGAATGCACCTACCAAGTGTTAACGTTAAGCGCCTGGGCATATTTCCAACATGTAAGTGGAATAGCTAGCAAGACATGATGAACGAATCCATTGCCAATATTTCTGTAAGTTGGAATTTGCGCGCAACTTTTTAACTTCGGAAACGGTCTGTACATATATAATCATACAAAGAATTATTCAAGATCGTCTCAGTTCATTCGAAGTTTTCAGGTTTGTCACGTGGAAATCCTCATTTTACTTATACTGTGCCCCCAATGCGGTTTTCTACATGACGGTGGCTTTGTTGAGTCGGATGGATCGGGATGACGATCGTCATCACTTCAAGGTTACATAAATTACTTGAGTCGGTTTGCGGTAAGAGGTGCCACAAGAAACGCCACAGTACATGACGCTTAAGTGTGGCTTTGCTGCATCTGTAGCCAATCAGTGCACTTTCCACCATCAGATCCCTACCGACATTTGAGGCAGTCCCGGCAGATCAACGCTAGCGCCAGAGGCTTGCACTGAAGAGGAAGGGTGTAGTGGAGGGGTTGGTCGCTGAATAGAGGGGCACATTCGTCATCATCACAGCTTATTGCTGGGAAGATTTTAGCAAATTTAGCAAATTTCAACGTCTATCACCAATCACTAAACCTAGGTACCTTGGTAGTTATGGATCTCAAACTCTTGACTGTTTCCCAAACGACGTCAAATCTCTTTCATCTTGATCGACCGCCTTTTAAACATCCAGCATCTGATTTGAACAAACCTTTTGCTCACCCCAACCTTACCAACCTATCCTATTATTTTGGTTTTTACTGCCTTTACCTCCCCTGTCAACCAAGTCAACCAACTGTTTTTCCCAAACATTGATCTGAACTCTTTTCCAACCTACAAACTCTCAAGTGCTTCATCTACACAGGCAATTCTGCTTACCTAGGTATACTTAACTTTAATTGGCATCCAACTACACAAACACACACGCAACAATAGCACCCATCCGTGCGACCGTAACGTGCTAGTGCAATAACCAATCGGTAACATCAATCGCTTGCCATCATGGGTGCAAAATCGGGCTTGGCCCTCAAAGTACTCCAGTGGTTCAACCGTGGCGTGGAGTTTTGCTGCTGCGCTGTTGTCCTCGCTCTGTATTCGTACTTTCTTGCCACTCTCACCAACCGCAACACAAACATACCAACATGGACTCGTGCCGTTGAAGGTATTTCCGGCATTGGTGTGCTGTACACCCTTCTCGGCCTCTTACTATTGTGTTGCCTTGCCGGCCACCCCTTCACCTCCTTCATTGCCATCATTCTAGATGTCGCCTTTGCTGGAGCCTTCATCTATGTTGCGATCCAAAATCGCGCTGGGGCCAGCAGCTGCACTGGCACCGTTGATACTCCCTTTGGTACTGGTCAGGCCACCGATATGATCGACAATAAGAACCCGACCTATCGACAAGTCTGCCAAATGGAAACTGCCTGCCTTGCCGTTTCTGTTGTCGCAATGTAAGTTGCTCTTCATTTAAAGTTGCCTTATAATTACGTCATAAGGGAAGTTACTAATTGCTCTACTAGTCTCTTCTTCATCTTTTCTGCCATCCTCGAGGTGGTACTGGTCCGCCACCGACGTAAGGAACAACGCTTTGGCCCTAGCCCGGCCAACGACTACACGTCTGGCTATGGAAAGCGTAGGGGTATCTTCGGACTCTTCCGCCGACGCAAGGCAACTGACACCGCCGAAAACCCGAACGTTCTCCCAGAGCATACGCATCCGGACCAAATGCGTTCAAGCTACAACACCGAGGCCACGGCCGTGGGCCACGAGCCTACGACGTACAACAAGTACCAACACGAAGGTCAGCCTGCGTTCCCCGAGAGTGGTACTGCCGTTCCACATACCCAGCCGGCTGGTTATCGTTACTAGGGGAATTATCGAATGGTGATGGTCGTGTGGTGAAGGGTGGATTGGCATAATCATGAACACAGGGTCAATAGTACTCTACATGTCGAGAAAATGTATGACTTGGAAGTGGGATACCATGCACGACTCTGGCATATGGACTATCGCCACTCGTTGCGTCAGGATCGGGGATGAGAATGCTTATTTACGATCAGGAGATTGCTACGTACCTAATTAGTTAATGTGGTTGGGGGTTTCGGTGTAATGTCGTTACGTAGGTATGTAACTATTGTGGTTAACATTGCAAGCTGCCATGACAAAGTAGTACATAGTTGCAGGTTGTGAAATATAATGCAATCAGACATGAAATTATTATCCTATCAGCATCAAAATTGTGATGGTACGAGTTATTCCCCCTGGCTAAAAGGAGGCATCCTAGCCTCACCGTGGCGAGTCGTGAATGAAGGGGACATTACATTACCTTTGCGACTCAGTTAGATCGATGAACAAAATTGCAATCGAGAACACATAGATGGCGTGGTGGAGCAGATCCTGCGATGCAGTGATATGGCATACATAAGCAGCAATTCACCAACTTTATATTTTATACTCATCACAAACCCCCTGACTACCTACACGCTCAATGTGCCCTTCGTACTCGGGACCTCGCCCTCCTTGCCGGGTATCCGCGCCGTCGCATGGCGAATCGCCACAGCCAGGGCCTTGAACGCGCTCTCGGCGCGGTGGTGGTCGTTCTCGCCGCGCAGGCAGTCGACGTGCAGGGTCAGGCGGGCGGCCTGCGCGAAGCTCTGCAGGCAGTGCGGGATCATCTCGCAGCTCAGGTCGCCGATCTTCTCGCGCCGCAGGCCCAGCTCCACCACGCTGTAGGGCCGGTTCGAGAGGTCGACGACGGCGCGCGAGAGGGCTTCGTCGAGGGGCGCGTAGGCGTGCCCGAACCGTGCGAGGCCGGTGGCGCTGCCGAGGCTCTGCGCGAAGGCGTACCCGAGGGCGAGGCAGCAGTCTTCGGCGGTGTGGTGGTCGTCGACTTTGTTTGGGAAACCGTCAGCGGGGGAGTGTTTTTTTTTTTTTTACTTTCAGTTTTCATCCGGCGGAGGTATGGGGATTATGTATGGGTGTATGGGTATGTATGGGCTGGGTTTGGTTGGTGAGCTCGTACTGTGGAGGTCGCCCTTGCATATCAGGGCCAGGCTCCAGCCCGAGTGCTTCGCCAAGGCGTGCAGCATGTGGTCGAGGAAGCCGATGCCCGTATTCACGCTGATGGACTGCGACTTGCTGGATTGGCTCGCATGTCCCTCGCCCACGGCCGTCAAAAGTCGGGCGTCCGTGTTGGGTGGGAAGGCCCCGCCGTCGAGGTTCAGGGCGAGCAGGATCTTGGTCTCGTTCGTGTCGCGGGCGAACGCCGCCCACCGCTGGTTAGGGAGTTCTGAGCCCATGATTGTATGATTCGAGGTTAAGGTTTTTTTCGAGTAAGAATTAATGAACCAACCTTTTGGATTTTTTTACCTTTTTTAAAGTTCCTTTATAGAAAGGTAGAAACCCGATCATCGGCTTATCTCTGTGACGGAAAGTAAAAAAAAGTTTAGGTGCATGGGACAATTGCCCAATCATAACGAAGCAAATTACTCGATTTGGGCTTGACAGTGCCCCACTCCATCGACCAGTCCAGCCCAAAGTTCTGGATCTAACGAACTACTAGGTAACGTATTAGACCCGGAACCGGACCAGACTCAGATGTGGACCACCTTAATTTTTTAGTTACCTAGGATACCTAAAACCTCCCAAAACCTCCCCAAAACAACACTAAACAACAACAATACCAAATCACTTAAAAGAATTTATAACGCCACGAATCCTGCCTCAAACGAAACGAAACTTTACGAACGTGTTTATCATATCGAAATATACGAATATAAAAATTTAAAAAAAGATCCGACGCCGATTCATCGAGATACGACTTTTATACTGCTTAGTTGCATAAAACCTACTATGTATACATACATATTATCAAATTCCGAACCGCGCAACCGATGCACCTAATTCTTAATATGATATTTATATTTAAACTGAGATAATATATCATACTATTAAATTATATCAAATTTAGTAAATGTTTGGCGGCGTAATAATTATTTGAAGTGATTTGGTATTGCTGTTGTTTTGAGGTGGTCCGGATCTGAGTCTGGTCCAGTTCTAGGTCTAATACGTTAGTTAACTATCGATAAGATAAAAAAAAAGGTAACTAGTTATCGGTCCCCAAAAATATTTTAATTCCTACGAACTTTACGATCGCGCCGAAATCTTTAGCTGTCTAAATATTCAACAATCCTCAACATTGTCGCAAAACCCATAAACAATTCAAGATGGCGCCTTCAAGAACGAAAACCGTCAAAAACAAACATGCTGCGAATAAATCCGGCATCAGTAACAGCAAATCATCCAAGAGTGGTCCGTCAGATGGCATCATAAAGTCGAAGCCGAAAAGACCGGCGACTGCAAAACAGGTGACGGGGAAAAGCGTCTCCGGCGTACAAAAGAAGAAGAAGAGACGAGTTTACACGGAGAAGGAGCTTGGTATCCCCGAGTTGAACATGGTGACGCCGGTCGGAGTCACGAAACCAAGAGGAAAGAAGAAGGGCAAGGTCTTTGTGGATGACAAGGTACGAATACTGGCCCTGTCCACAACCGTCGCGCCCTTTGATGTATTTATTGGTAGATGCTAACGAGTTCTGCCACGCGAACAGGAGAGCATGACCACAATCCTCGCCATGGTGCAGGCAGACAAGGAGGGCGAGATCGAGTCCAAGATGACCAAGGCCCGGCAAATGGAGGAGATCCGCGAGGCGCGAAGGATAGAGGCGGAGAAGAAGGAGGAGGACAAGAAGTCGAAGCTCGACGAGACCAAGGAGTCGCTGCGGAAGAAGAGGAAGCGAACGACAAAGTCCAACGACGAGGATGGTGACGGCGTCAAGGATGTTGCGTCTGCGGGAACGAGGGCCTTGAAACCGAAGAAGAAGAGGGTCTCGTTCGCATAAGAAAAGCTTTAGGTAATAAGACAAGACAGGGATCCAAATAACTGGTAAACCGGCGTTTTTGTGGCGTTGATATTGGTTGGGGTGCTTCTCGAGAAAAACATGAGTATTGGCAGATGAGTTTATAGCATCAAGGCATTTTCGTGATACCCAAGAGACTAAATCAAAGTTCCCAGGTATCGATGGGCCCGTTACCTACCTATGCGTGTGAGATTCAAGGCTTTGAGAAAGCCTATTGGGATACCTTGTGAACTTACTGCTAGGTACATCGGTGGTGGTAGTTCTCCTTATATCAAAGAGGCGCGTCACTCCTGTTATTTAACCTGGATACAGTCGAGACGTTTGCTGGAAGCTGGGTGCGCAGGCAAAATACACCACCCCCTCTGGCTCGAAATGCTGTTACGTTTCCAATCCAAATATCCAACTGTCTTTACTTGTAGCATCGGAATTGTGCCTAAATAGGTACAGATGGGTATATGCCTACCTGCCTACCTACCTACCTAGGTATCTACCTACTACCGAGAAGTCTCATTCTTCCATAAGTACTTATTGGGGGCGATGGACCTGCGCCTTGTTTTCCAAAACAACACTTCTGGTACCTATTGCTTAACCTAAACTGGAGGGGGCATAGCAATCAGGCACGTTGTGCCGCATGATGGAAGAGAAGCAACACAGATGTGAAAGGTTCTCTTAAGAAAGCCTTGAACACTTGGTAGATATGAGCTAGAGGGTAAGTCAATAGTAGGTATTACGGACTGCAGATATATACACCGATACCATACCGTACATACAAAAAACAGTAGTAAAGGCCTCATGAATTGAGTCAAGACAATGTGTTCTAAGTCCCTTCTCCCGTGAATAAGCATCGAGTGCCTGTACTCTACAACACTCGGCTATCTCTTCTACAGACCAGCATAGCCTCTTCTAACAATAGGATGGCTAGGGTGTTAGATCTCTTCCCTACCTACCTAGGTAGTCTTACGATGCGATATTCTAGCTAACGCTTCCCATCAAGGGTCTACCCGAGGGCTAGCCACTGGGGCAGTAGGCTATGCGGCGGGGTAGTAAGAACAGAGACGGCTGCATGTGTGTATAGCTTCTATAGATAGTCCCTGGCGAGATATCAGAGATCTCCTCGTGATACTTTCAGGTGAGATGCACTATGTCAGTGAGTATACACGTTCCCACGAGGAGAGCACCTATGTAGGTAGGAAGGAATGTCGAATCTGGATAGAGATAGAGTCTGCCAGGTCACCATTGAAGCTCCTACCTTCGGGTCTGAACATGGCCGAAAGTATGTAGATGGCAGAAATACAAGAGCCTGTTCACGCCCTTGCATCGAGGACCGCTTGCGGTGTCTGTCGTGCTTGACTTACATACAATTAGAAATATGAGCTGTGACGTGGGGGAAGGGATATCGGTTCTGGGCCATCATTGTCACGCCAGGCCTTGACAAGGCGCATACAATGCGTCTAGTAGGTAGGTATTCATCCGTGAAGCACTAACTACAATACCTACCTCCTATTTCCGGGCCCAGAAATGGATGTACATAGGATGGATTCACTGCTTACCTACCTGGACGTAGTCTGGTATTGTCTCCTGAGACAACATCACCGGCCCATGCCTGAAATGCACCCGAGAGTATTGTTCTCTTCGCCTTGTTTTATAAATACATTTCTACCTTGAACGGAGCCTTTGCAACTGCTAGAATGAAAAAAATGAATACGAGACTGGCATGGAGTTCATCAGCCACGGCGGTGACATCTGGAATAGGCAAGTGCTTATGGGTGCCCAGGTGTCTATTCTTAGTTACTAAGGTCAGTAGGTTACCAAGCAAACATATGTTACGCGTGACTACCTAATTACTAGGGAGGCACGCTTGTTTGACGTTTCCGAGGGGGCTCAGCGTGGACCTGGACCGTCGCTGTCTACACTAATTGCTCTAACCTAGGGGTGTAGACAGGTTGGGTGCTAGGTAGGTAGCGTCCCGCTACCCAAGTATGGCATGCCGTGTTGTATCCCCGATTCCCCGGCGTCCTTCATCCCGTGCTGTGAATTTGCTCCGTGGACGGTTGAGACACCTATTGTTATTTTTCCGTGATCTAACTGTGCATGTAGAGTGGTGTCATTATTGTTACTTGGCCGCGCTTTGCAAGACTTCCTAAGTGACTGCCCAGCTAAGGGCCCCTAGGTGGGATTTAGACGGTCTGGAGTGCTTATGCAGGTACGCCTGACGGGCGTGATGCTTATGTACCTAGATATATCTTGTTTCCTAGCCGAGAAGGGTTGCAATTATTCCTCCAGAGGATATCGCCCCCGTGGTAACCTCAAACAAACGACCAATATGCATCGTCAAAGTCGGAAACCTGTTGAAGGCCTCACATTTAGATATCACCCTAGAAGCGACAACGATACCCTAACATTCTGGCCCCCCTAGAGTGAGAATGCATGCTTCATTCATGAGTAATATAAGCACAGCAGCAGGGCCGGAGAGGTAGCACCATTCTCATTGAGGCATTTCCCTTTGTATTGAAAATAGCGAGATGACATGATTTGGCTTAGCGACCTAACTATGCCAACATTATTGAGGCTTCTGCAGGGTCTGCTGTTATTTGGCCCTAGTGTTCTCAACTACCCCGGGGCCTGAATATGCATTCGAACCCATTCAAGTTCATGTAAGCTAAAGCTACAAACCTTTTTGTTGCTTCTCCTGGGCTAAACCTGCTTTACCCAGTAAACGCGCAAGAATGCCTTGGTTTGAATATTAGTGTGATGCGAAATTAGAAAGGATCTTGCTGTCGTTATTCGGCTGACGAATTCTCAAACGACATGTTCAGGATTCATGAAAGTCTTGGCTTCGGCCGTTATCACCATTATATGTCTAAGTGAAATAAGCAGTGATAGCTCTGGTATACATATAATACCATCTGCGTGATAGGATTGGTGAAATACCTACACAAATATTACTGTAGGTACGAAAATTGATACGGCATAACTATACCCAGTAGTGAGGCTGAATAATAACATCCGAGTATCTGATGAAACAAACTACACATCTCTCTTAGACCATTCAGAGTTGTAGATCACGTATGGCCCTACGATAATAAGGTTGAAGATAGCTAAGGGACCTTGCCAGGGGAAGAAGCTAAAGTTCAGAAGCGACGACGATCACGCGTTGCTATGGGTCCAGGCCCAACGGTGTACGGGCCGTTGCAAAAATAGGATGTGCAACCGAAGCTAGTATGGCAGCATGGCAGCATGGCTGGCATGGTTAGCAACATGTGCAGAATTACTAGCATCTTGGCACGGCACAGTACTATGGTAGTCGTCTCCATACTATACCTAATAAGCTGTTTACAAGTTTAAACATTCAACATCGAAGCTTTTTCTTAGTTATGCCTCTTTCAATGTTGTTGATAACTTCAATAGTATTTATGTATTTAATATAATCAGAGTTATTCTGGTAGCCATGACGCAATTTCCATCGAACGAAAGATGGTACAGAATGTCATAGCTAAGACGAGGCCAGAGCTGCGCGTAAGCTCCCGCAATAAAATGAGGCGGTCCACCTATCGTCTTGGGGGTCCCTGACTCTATTTATATTATTTATATTAGACTGTAGACCGTGCGGGCCAGACCAATTAGACTTGAGGCGAGTAGTCAGGCAAGATACATAATGTAGCCTACAGATGTAGGATGTAAACGAAAATGCCCTCACACCTACATACATACGTAACATACCTACATGATATCTTGGTACTGAGCTATTTATATGTTCATCGTCGGACAAAGCACCTGGGCAACAGGCTGCCGAAGAGCTAAGTTTAGGTCTGGTATGTTGTATACCTAAGCAAAATGGATAACTATTCCTTTACTATCGTATCGATCAAGCAAATCGTCGACCTACCCAAAAGTACTCAATCAATATGAATCGCGTGGCTCTCTTGCAGATCTGTACATACATATTTAAGACCTGGCTAAAGGAATACGAGTTTTCCAAATGCTATCGGCCTCCAAAGTTGCATTTTGATTGTATGTACCCGTTCAGTAACCTTTCCTGCATGATTGTAGTATCCTACTGCAGTCCCAAACATTCAATGTTGAACTTCGTATTCTGCAATCGATGGATGTTTGTTTTTGGAGTCTGGATAGTTCAATGTTACTAACTTAGTGACCTTCCAAGGTACGATGTACGGATGGACATCTGGATGACAGACATCATGTGGCATCCAATGCCATCCATATGTAGAATCAATAATCAATGATACATTATGTAGGTATTAGGTAGGTGGTACAGTGGATTGCTATTTTGGACAATTCCAACATTTGAACATTTGAACATTTGAACATTGTAAACATTAGTTAACTAGTTAATAATTAATAACTAGAAGATTGCACAGAGGACAAGAAAACCGCAAGAAAAAAAAAAGGTTCAGGAGCAAGGATGCAACACCAATAAATCCCCGTTTCGTTAGACCAATGACGAGAGGTCTTATCCTTGTCCCTGGTTGGAGTACTTACATATGATTGGTTATCATGTCTATGGTACCCCCCTGCTAATGGGACAACGTTCATCTCAAGCGAAATGAGCAGCATCAACTAATCCTAAGCTTGTCATCTATTTTACGCCATTTACAGCGAGACAACTGCCAAATTCAGGGCCAAATCGAGCATCTGATGAAGCTAATGGTCTAGGTTTAATGGTTTAAGGTACTTGGGTGGTTGACACTGGTTGACACTGGTTGTCACTGGTTGTGCTATCACTGTTATGTTACTTATGTAGTACTACCTAGTACCTAACCTGGTGACTGTGGTCCACTGGTGTAACTAGGTAGGTACCTAGTAGTTATTATGGTATTAGAAGCATCTCATTTTAATTTTTCGTCGACAAACATATTATCGAAACGCATCTGTTCTCTAGCTCTCATTAATTTCTAATTCCTCTCTTTTTTTTACCTTTTCCCTTCTTTTCAACCTCCTCCTCCCTCCCCTCCACCCCTTAAATCCGTCAAGTCGGCCGTTCGTCGCTTTGATGTCGATGATTCGGTTCCAGTCTATTGCGCCAACAATGAGGACTCGGTAACGACAAAGCAGGGCTTAAGAGTTGATAGTAGTAGAAGAAGAAGAGGAAGCAGGAAAAAGAAGAAGAAGAAGAGCAAAAAAATAAATAAAAATCCACCCAGGGGACGACAAATAATACGATAATGATGGGATAACTATTCTGGACGATCAGTAATCTAACTTAACGCATTCACTCATTCAATTGTTTCTTCCAATCTGCGAGCCAGTCAAACGAAGTTCCCAGCAGCGAACCGCGCCCCCGATTCCCTCCATCGACGAATCTGACTCGCCCCTAAAAAAAAACTAGTATTCTAGTACACGCTTACACGCACGCACATCGAAAAAGCTCGTATTTCTCCATTTCACCGCCACGCGCGATGACAACCCCAGTCTCGGGGTCTTCACTCCCTCAGGCCCGAGACGTACATCAACACAATCATTTTCACAATATCAGAGACAGCCACAGCCGTCATCACCACACCCACCACCACGCTCGTTCTCCAAATAGGGGCCACAAACGTAACGACTCGGAACCTACCACTATCGTTGAAACCGTATCTGTTCTACAACTTATCGATGGCCAAGGTGGAACCATAACCTTGCAGACCCTTACACCAACTCCCACGCCGACCCTTACGCCGACTCTTTCGGACTCAATACCAACGTCTTCGACGTACGTCGACCCTGATCCCGTACCCGAATCAACTTCTGCTTCTTCCTCGGGAACCAGCGACGATGAAGGCAATGGCCTATCATCGACACCAGCCCCAACGATAGACCCGACCGTAACACCGTCGGTGTCTTCTATGCCTTCTTCTCCCCCCTCGTTATCTTTAACGCCTTTGCCGTCCGCTCCTTTATCTGACACTTCTGTTTTTCCTACCCTGACTGGCGTGACCAACACCACCACCACACAAGGTTAGCATTCTCTTACATGTTCATATATATATATATGCCTGCCTATATAATGTCTACCTACGTAGGCATCTTAGATATATAGGCAGCCTATCGCATTCGATCCCTGTCCTCTCTAACTTACAGTACATAGTTCCTGGCTCCTCTATTCTTGTGTCGTCGATTGCGTCCTCCATCTCGTCCTCCATTTTCTCCAATAGCACTACTTCAACCGACTTAGTGTCTGCGGAAAGTGTCAGTACCTCTTCACCATTTGTATTAGTTACTACTTCCTCTTTATCTGATTCGCCCAACTCCTCTGGTTCTACTTCTACTTCTTTTGCTTCTGCGACGACTACGACAAGTTTCGACTCTGCGTTCTCGTCAACAACTTCTGGATCATTTGGTATCCCAACTTCTACCGGAACCGGTAGCGATAGCTCGGACGTGGGAGGCGATGCACAACCGTCCGAAACCTCGACTAGCGGCGATAGCTCCGACTCCTCGGATGACGGTGTCGGCGCGGCTACGGTTGCAGGAAGTGTTCTAGGAGGCGTGGCTGCGCTCGCATGTATACTAATTCTTGTCCTCTATCTTCTCCGATGGAAGAAGCGTCAGAATACCTTAAAACTCGTGCGCGGGTCTACCAGTGAACGGGGTCCCGGTGGCGTGTTAGTGGGTAATTCTGGCCCCGGCGGGGGAGACGGCACCATGTCCGAGCGACGGCATTCGATTCCTTTTGCGATTCCTGCGGCACTAGCCAGCCTGACTGGGCATAAGCGGGCCTCCGCTGCCGCACGTAGCGCTGCTTCTTCCGATGGAGGTGAGAAGGGGTTTTCGAAGGTTTCTGGTCGGAAATTGCCTCCGGTTATACAATTTGGAGGAGATGGTTACTCGGATCCCCGCGACACGATCATGAGCGAACAGTCCATCGAATACCGAGACTCGCAGGCATTCCCCAACATCGACCGACCGGGCCCGACTAGGCTAGCCCTTGGTGCGCCGATGCGGCCGGACAGTGGGATCCCGGTTTACAACCCGGGGCCGGCTCGGACGCCAATCAAGGAGCAAGGATCTTTCACTCCGCCCATGGAACATTCTCCTCTGGAGCCTCCTCGTATAGATGCACTGGGACGATCTCGCCCCTCTTACGACGGGTCAAGCCGCTCTCATACTTCGATCTCCAGGTTTACTGAGGAGTTATGACCCATGGATTGATACCCTATGATTGATTTATGCGTGTATACAATTCACCTGGTTTTTGTTTTTATTTGATGATACCTGTTTGTTATTTGTGAGTCGGACGTCGACGTGCGTTCGTCACAGCATCGGGTTGGCGTTTGATATTTCGAATAAAATCTCGATATGGGGGGAAATATGGGAAAAGGAAAGAAAAGGCTTAGTTCCATCAAGCTTCTTCGTAACCTATGTCAGACATAAAACACCATTTCTTGTAAATAGGTAGTCCAAAAAAATCATCCGAGCTTGGAGCTGGCCAGGGACGATGAAAAATAAGAGAGCATAGGTGATGCAGAGTCGAGATCGTCGCAACGATCTCCTCCGGCCTTGCTCCTAATCAAGCATAATTACCATCACACAAATTTGCGCTTCTGCCTCCGGCTTCTCGGATCCTGTCTTGAATACGTTTCCAGGACATGGACTTACGTGACTTGTGTTATTAGCATCATGCCGGTAAGTTGGCTTGGTTGTATAGTGTATATCGATATCAAGGTCTGTACGCCACCATAGCGAAAGGGGGCAATGCTTCCCCCTCCCCCTTTTTTATGGGAAGGGGGGAGGGGATGGGGGGTTCTTGGTCATTTATTATTATTACTAGGAATACCTATCTAGGTATACATGATGGCGTGCGGCCCCTCATCGCGCAACCTACTTATTACTTGATACCTAATACCTACATGTACTAGACGCCGGGAACTTGGACCTGTCACTCGTGCATGTTGAACAGTTGAGACGGACGTGAAACGCTTCTGGATCCCAGTTAGTTCTCAACACCACCCCCCCACACACCCACCACCCATCACCCACCCGCACGCACACACACACACACCCGCACATACATACACACACTTAGTTATATGTAGGTGCCTAGGGTACACACCATCCCACACCACCGCTTTGGCCCGTTCTCGTGCGTGGGACTGGGAAACCCCCCCGCCCCCCGGTATATGCCACATGCTTCTCCTCAACGCAACGGCTCGTCGGGTAGATACTGTACATATGTGTAGGTTAGTGTATTCGCGCTAAAGAAGAGACGGAACTTGCCTGCCTTTGGTTTGCACGGTTCTTTCTTGGGCATGTTGTAACCTCTTCGGACGAACCTGGACGGGGTTGGTGGGGATTGAATTACGTGAAGGCCTAGACTGACTACCTATGTAGGTATACACATATGAAACGGAATCTTGGATATGTACCTAGTGTAGGTATTAGATGTTCATCGTAGTAAGGTAATGGGCAAAGCGGGCATCGAAGAGGGGAGCAAGGGGGGGGGATGGAATACGTAAGCTTGTTTGTAGGTAGGTAACTAGGTATGTAGGAGTAGGCGGTGGTGGGAGTCGTAGAGAAGGATTCAAGGCTTATCTAACAGGTGCAGGTTACCTACGCCCGACCAGGACCTTTGTGCTTGCGCTTATGAATGGAGGGATGGGTGTTGTGTTACGATGTGATGTGATGGTTTACTGCTCTTCTTTGTTAGAGGAGAGATGTTGGTTTATTAATTAGGTACTACTGGTTACCTAGCTAGTTTACCTGTAACCTAACCTAGGACTTTCACGAGATCTTATTACTGCAGGTTATTCGTTTACGCTCTTCCTTTGCACAGGTATTGTACGATTGCTGTAACTTGGGTTTATTGGCAGATTCGATGATGAAAGATGAAACCTGGATATTCCGTAGGGGACCAAGTTGCACTCTGGTAAATAACTTGGAAAAGAGGAAAAGAGCTCGAGGGCGAAGACGACGATGTAACAAGAAGAACGCATTGACCCAAGATATTACTCAAACAGGCAGGAGGGGTTGGACTAGGGATCCGGAGACTTTTCCTCTTAGTTATTTCCCCGACTTTGTTTTATTTTATTTTATTTTCCGTTGTCTGGATCAAGTCTCTGGTGTTGTACCTATGGTGCTTAGATATTTATATGATACCTTATTTTGAATGGGCGGTAAGTTCTCGGCTTGCTTGGCGATATCTATGTTGTCTTAAGCTTCTACTTTAGGTTGAAATAAGATTAACAGCGTGGGATAATTCATCTGGAAGTTGGTCGACTCGATCGCCAATCACGACACTACTATGTACCTAAATCTACTACTACTAGTAGTTATTATTATTACATCAGTAGGCATGTACGGTATACCTAGCCTTAGTAGGTAATCACAAAAGCGTAGCGCCCTATCGAAATTGAAGTACTTAACCTACCTAGGTAGAATCTTAGGGGGTTTGCTAGGCCTTGTCGGCACTTGGGCAATCAGACAAACGACATCCCCTCAAAATGCTACCCTGCGGAATGCTTCCTATTTAATACCAGGGGAGGCAACACCTTATTACCTTATTACATAGCACTGCAGCACTTATCATAGGACCTCTAGCCAAACACCGCCATGAATTCTGATTCGTTGGCGGCTCAAGGGCCACTGAATCATGCTGGTAATAGACAGGGCCCTCGTCCTAGAAAGATGTATCGATGCTAGTCAGCTAGTGTGCATACTGTACTTGAGATATTGTAATTGACAATTGTTAGATACCAAGATACCAAGATGCTAAGCGATAATAATCTTCTAACCTACATAGTGTAGGGGTCTCAGGCGGAATCCTCTCAAAATCCTGTATGTATGTACCCTTCTTGTTACCTCTCCGTTTCTTTCTCACCGATACATATCAAACCGAGTTGGGATGTTGATTTTTAAAATAAGTTGACTTTTGATAATCCAGTGGATGAGAGACCCTCAATATATCTAAGCCACGCAATATAATAAAACCAGTCAAAGACTCAAAGGTACCTTCATTTATATTGATATCTTAAAATATCGCTGCATCCTGTTTGTTGGCAACCGCTTGGCGCTTAAACGTCACCAACATTAGGAAGATTATTATTATTGTTTATAAAGAAAATAAAAAGAATCAACAGCACAGAAAAAATAACAGACTGTTACCGAGTACGAATGCGCGTATAGTGTGTACATACCTATGTAAAGGTCTTGTGCCCTTTTTAAACCCGCCTATGTACTCAGCCCCCCTGGACAATAAGTTACCGGACGAATAACACCAAATTCGCGTGGAGGTCGATTGGTCATCTTGGCACAACTTCCATAAAGAGCGAGACAAGGGATTCAGCTCCACGGTCTTTCGTAGGGGACGTTTTAAGTCCGCAAACCCCAGGTGCTACCACAAAGTACTGACCCCCAAGTGACCCAACCACTGTCAACCAGTAGTCACTAGCTAACTGCTAACCTGCCTTGAACCCAAGGGTTCGTTCAAACTATTTTCTGCATCACATCGAACAAATCCCTCCTCTACGATAGAGAAACCATTGTGTACCACGATATATGCGATATATCCGAACATATGCCCAGAGAAACCTGTATTCCCTAGAAATCAAACAAAATCGAGTGCCGATAAATAGAGACGACATAAAATAAAATTCGTAATGGATCATATCCGAGTTGATCCGGGGGGATTCCAAATCTCAGGGATGCCTCCCCAATTAATGCACCAGCCGCCCCAGATCTTTGGGGGCTATAGTCACGAAGGTCTACCGGTATTGCCACCGGAACTTGCGGCCCAGATGGGATTCGACCCGTCGGCCTTACTCGACGATGCGAACGAGGCAAAGAGGAGGAGAATAGCGAGGGTGAGTTCCCCGAGCTCGATCCGGATTGGGATCTGCCTTACGTAGAGGAGAGGGGCTAACGTGAATGACGAAGGCATGTGATATGTGCCGGAAAAAGAAGATCAAGTGCGATGGAAAGCTTCCCGCTTGCACGCATTGCATCAATTATAAAACGGATTGTGTCTTCACACAGGTTGAAAAGAAGAGAAATCCTCCGAAAGGGTATGGAATTATGGAACATGGAAGAATCCATAAGAATCAACAAGTGCGAGAGCCAAAGTTCCATGTCATGGCTAATGTAAACTGGCAGTGCGAAGTATATCGAGGGCCTGGAGAACCGTTTGGGTCGCATGGAAAGCTTGTTGCGACTCTCTGGTATGTTTCTGGGTCTCCCCATTCTCATCGCAGCTTGCTGTAGTAGAGGTCTGTCTGGCTGACAAAGATGACGATAAGGACTTCTCGGCGACGATGACGAATCGACCGATCTTGCAACTTTGGAAAAACGCCTAACACAAAAACACCAGCTGTCGAGACAGCCCTCGCAAGCAGCTACCTCGAATCCCACATCGCCCTCGCAAGCGACATCCGGACACGATGGCGCCGTATCAACACCGCAAAGTTCTCTTACCTCACCAGAGCCGAGTAGAGATAGGGAGTTTAAAAAGGACAACTCTCCACAGCCAGAGAAGGTGAAAGAGGAGCAGGAAGTGGAAGCCCTATCGGAGATGATGTGTTCACTGGTAACGAATCAATCTGGGGAGACCAGATATATAGGTAGGCAATTACTGCAAACTCATAGTGTCTCTAAACTCATCATTATGCTAATTTGACTTGCATCAGGGTCTTCCTCGGGGTTCTCCATATTCTCACCGAAGGGAATCCAGTGGGTAAACGAGAAGACGGGAGACACATCATTTCAACAGATGATTTCTGAAGTATCCATCGACGACCACAAGTGGAATCACTGGAAGCCCGAGATCTTCGGGGACCTCTTTCACCGACCGATTTACCGGCAACTGCCGCCTAAACCAGAAGCGTTATCTCTATTGAAAGACTATTTTGATAACTTCAACTGCATGTTCCCGCTGTTCCACCAACCAACTTTCATGCACCTCGTTGAGCGGCAGTACTCCAACGATCCTTACCAAGGTTCCGGATGGTGGGCAAGCTTAAACGTCGCACTGGCCATCGCACACCGTCTTCGTGTGATGAGCAACTTGGTACCGCAGGAAGAGGACGAAAAGTCATGGGCGTATATGAAGAACGCCATGGGGGTTTTCTCCGAGCTGACGATGCGCAACACCGACCTGCTAAGCGTCCAGGCGCTGCTTGGCATGGCCTCTTTCATGCAAGGAACACCGAATCCGCAACCATCGTTTCTACTCGTCGCAGCCGCCATCAGATTGTCACACAGCATCGGGTTGCATAAGCGCGGGGGTGGCTTTAACCTGAACCCAGTCGAGATCGAGCAGCGAAAACGCGTGTTCTGGATTGCTTACATGCTGGATAAGGATCTGTGTCTCCGATCCGGGCGACCCCCGGCGCAAGACGACGACGATATGAACGTCGAGCTTCCGGATGCCGACCCCGCGGACAACATCGGCAACATTCCTCTCGCGGACGGGAAGGGCAAGATGAATCTATTCCGCGCCATGTGCGAGTTAACCGTGATAGAAAGCAAGATCTATAAGCGGCTCTATTCTACGAAAGCGACCAAGTTGTCCGAGGGCGAGCTACTGCAGACCATCGGCGAACTCGACAAGGAGCTCGAGTCGTGGAAGGACAACATCCCGATCGATTTCCGTCCAGAGCACGAAATAAGGGCATCTCACACCCCGCTCATCCTCCACATCGTCATGCTGCACTTCTCCTATTACAACGCTCTCACCACCATTCATCGGATGTCTGTCCACCACGGTTACTGGACAAGTCGACTGTCGAATTACGCGATCCAAGGTCTGAACGCGAGGCCCTTGAATCCTCGAGTATTCGCATCCGCTGCGCTATGCGCCTCGGCTGCAAGGGCAAGCATCCAGCTACTGAAATATATACCTCAGGGGGATTTCTCATGTGTATGGTGAGTTAACATTATGCAACTGCATATCAATGATGCAAATCACTCTATTTTGTCTGTGGAAGGCTAACCATTTCTCTAGGCTTATCCTCTACTTCCCCGTATCAGCTCTCGTCACCCTCTTCGGCAACATCCTGCAGAACCCCCTCGACCCACGCGCCAAGTCCGACACCAAGCTAATGAACCTCGTCGTCACCTTCCTGTCCACGCTGGGACAGGAGGCGGAGACGGGGGGCGTGCACCGCATGCTGGGCGTGTGCTCCGAGTTCGAGCGCATCGCCAAGATCGTGATCGACAAGTCGGAGCGGGACACGTCGAAGCGGAAGCGCAAGAGCCACGAGCACTACAACAATAAGTCCTCCGTCAACAACAGCAACAGCAACAGCCACGCCTCCCCCTCACAGTACTCGTCCACGCACACCCCGCGCCCGACCTCCTCCTCCGCCGCGACCCCGACGCCCGGCTACGCGAACTCGACCATGTCGTCGCAGCTCTCGCCCAAGTTCAACGGGGAGCAGAACCGCGCGAACAACGCCGCGAACGGCGGGTACAGTCCCATGGACACGACCAACCACAACAACAACAACAACAACAACAATGATTCCTCCCGCGGAGACGGAAGAGGCGGAGAAAGCAACGACAACGGCTGGCCCCCCGCCACGTCCCAGCAGGAGTGGAACCCGGACGTGATCATGGACTTTGGGAACTTCTCGGACCTCACCGGGTTCGGGCAGTCGCCGCCGCCGATGCCGCCCGCGAACGCCGTCGCGAACCCGGGGTACCAGCCGCTGCTGCCGCAGGAGCTGTGGCAGATGAGCGGGGGGCTCGACTGGGACTGGGCGGACATCACGGGGGGTGCGTATCCGAGTTTTGAGAATGGGGGGAATATGGATAGGGGGTAGGGTAGGGTAGGGGGTTGTGTGCTTTTTTGAAGAAGATGATGGGAAATAGGAAATAGGGGGAGGATGAGAGAGAGAGGGCGGGCGGGGTATAGTGGTGTGTTGTATACTAGGTGCACACTCCTACCCAGGTACCTACGAGTAACCTACCTACCTACCTACCTTACCTACCTGCCTTACTATCTGTCCAGGTGCGTAGGTAAATCGTGTAGGAAGCAGGTTACTTATCATACGTTTGATCGACTGTAGAGCGGACACAGCACCATGGACGCTGGCGGCATTTGGAGGAGGGATGGGAGGATGGGAAATTCATGGCGTAAGGGTTTTTTTGGATCTCAAATCAAGAAAGGCGTGTGTTGTATGGGCTGTACTTTCGAAGAAAAAAAAAGTCTGAAACTGAACTGTCTACTTACTCTGTCTATAGGAGGGACACTGTGTGTGTAATCTTGGTTTATTATTCTCCCCTTGATGTGGTTGTTGAGCTTGCTTTTGTGCACGAGTGATGGCTGATATGACGTTTCTATATTTACTTATAGTAACTGGGCCGGACAGGACCGGGTTGGGCTGGGCTTCGGTGTCTAGATATATACGTGTCCAGTGGTATGCAGTATATACTGCCTACCTAGGTACCTAGGTTAGGCATGTAGGATTATTTTCTGTTCCTATCTTCTACCTATGTTTTATATTATTCCATTATCTTCGAGATGGGGGGCTATTTCAGAATACAGGTATATACCTAGTAGTTAGGTACATAACTTGGTAATCCAGAATGAACAGTGAACACATCCATGCAGTTTCCATGTAGTTCATACATACTTTACCGATTTGTGTTTGCAGGTTTGATTCTTCAAGGCAGATATATAAGTATACCTATATATTTAAGTGGTTAGTGATTGTTTGCTTCATTATCATTCATCTCGTACTCGTACTCGTGTGCCTACCTACCTACCTTAGAATATGTGGTTCACAATATGTGTGGCTCACGATGGCTGATCTAAGTATGTATGTTGCAGAGTGACGTAACTAGGAAGGGTTAGGTTAGCCACTGAACAAATGCATGAATGATTTTAGTCGATATGTACAGTAGCAGTAGGTCTCATCTAGGCATAGTCAAGTAGGTAGGTCGGTAGTTGTTTCATGGTTTGTAGCAGAAGCGAAGCGGCTCGTGAGGTTCCACGGATTATCATGCACATGTATCCCTTTTGAATATCTATCTCCACAAGATCCACGACCACTGATCAACACCAATCATTCTTTACTCTTACAAAGTTGATACAGATAGTAGATATTAGGTAAATACCTAACCTTAGTAAGTAAACAATTTTAGCTTTTAGCTGCACTCATTCACACCGATGCTAATAAACTCAGATCAAGTCAATAAATACAAGAGAAGCGTTCAGAATGGCTCAAGTAGACGGCCCCGCGGAGCTGCCAAGCAAACAGACAGCGTCGCACCCCGGCGATCAGCACGAGATCCCCACGACCGAGGCCCACGAGTCCTTCGACTCGCTGAAAGCTAGGATCAAGAAGCACTACGAGATTGCATCGGACTACTACTATTCCTTATGGTAATTCTCCCTCCCTCCCTCCCTCCCCTCATCATCATCATCATCATCTAGATACTCACCCAATTCTTAGGGGCCAGCACATCCACCACGGCCTCTTCAAGTCCGCCAGCGAGACCAAGGAGCAGGCGCAGGTCAATCTGATCAACTACCTGCTCGAGATCTCCGGCGGCCTGTCGGCCGGCTCCCAGGTCCTCGACGTCGGGTGCGGCGTCGGCGGCACCAGCCGCTTCCTAGCCCGCGAGCAAGGGTGCCAGGTCACGGGGATCACGATCAGCGGGCGCCAAGTTGAGATCGCGCGGCAGGTGACCGCGGCCGAAACCGCCGGTGCCGCCCCCGTTTCAGCGGGCGACTTCTTCAAGTACGCCGAGCCGAAGGGTGGCGCGGTGCGCTTCCTCGAGCTCGACGCGGAGAAGATGCTGGAGCACTTCCACCCTTCCTCCTCCTCAGCGCCGACGACCGGCGATTTCGACTGCGTCTGGATCTCCGAGGCGCTGTCGCACCTGCCGAACAAGGAGCTCTTCTTCTCCTCGACGTTTGCGCTGCTCCGGGGCGGCGGGGCGGGGTCGCGCCTGGTGGTCGCGGATTGGTTCAAGGCGCCCGGCCTGTCGCCCGAGCAGGAGGAGGCGGATACCAAGCCGATCGAGGACGGCATGCTGCTGCCGCGGCTGTACACGGTGGACGAGTATGTTGCGTTGGCGGAGGGGGCGGGGTATAAGGTGAGGCAGGCGCCGGTTGATATCAGTAAGGAGGTGGCGAAGACTTGGTGAGTAGTTGTCTTTTTTCCTTTTCCTTTTCCTTTTCCTTTTCTCTTTTAAGAGAGGCTAACTCGTTGGAAAGGGATATATCGTGGTCCCTCGTGTCTTCGCCCGCGCTGTGGGCATTCGCCATATCGCAGGGCAGAGACGGTCTCGCGTTCCTGCAGGCGTTCCGGGCGATGAGAAGAGGATACGCAAACGGGACTTTTAGGTACGCGGTCATGTGCTTCGAGAAGCCTTGAGATGTTGCTTGAGTCTATACTGGGTAGTTAGGTACCCACTCGCCTGGAGTGGGACCTGGATATGGATGTGGCTCTCATGACAGTGGAAGGTATTGATGATAGATTTAGCTCTTGACGACTTGTAATGGATACCCCATTCTGTAGCTACATAGATGTTAGCCATGTTGCGTTACGATATACAGTATACCTATATAATCTACTGCATGGTACGGATGTTACTCGACTCGCTTGCTTGGATTCCTCGTACGTCGCGAAACCTCCTTTCCCACTGTTGATATAAATCGTAAAAGTCCATATGAAGCAAAGCTGCTGCGCCTATGATGCTACCGATCTTACTCCTTTTGGAATGTATATTCAAGTACGAGGGTTTTGCCCGTGCAGAATACTAGAGTTTGGAGCCAATATCGCGAAAAGTACAAGTGGTGACTACGAGGTAGACTTGTACCCAGGCTTGCACGCGAGTACGACATTCTTGGCTAAATATTTAGTATCTACCTACCTACCTAGTACACATGTAGCACTCAGGGTCGCAAGACATATTACCGAATTAAGGAGAGCCTGTCTTACTGTAATCGCACCTAGTGATCCGAGAGTCATGTATATGCCTACCTAACGTCCTAGTATTCGATATATAGACACCGCCATACTCCTACCGACCCTCGCTTCACAGATGGAACATTGCCGTCAAGATCACAGAGATTCCGATATTCGAAAAGGGTCTCGAGAGGTTGCACACTATATCTAGAACCAAATGTAGCAACGCCATGTTGTAAAGAGTGTACGAAAACGGGACCTGACTCCAGGCTGTCCCAATTCGATGCCATTTCGAACTCCGTAACATATTTAGCCGTATCACAAATACCTATTTTGCCCAACAAAGCAGGTAAAGGCTATTACGTGTAACGGACTCAGTCAGTGTTGATCTACAGTCGGCAATGGCCATAGCAATAGGTATGGCTGCCAGGCCCTTGACAGCCAAACCGATAACTCGGGGTTAACAAGTGAAGGAAGGCCCGTGCTATGACAGCCAAGTTCATGACAGCCAAGCTAGCACAGACGGTTATTCGTCAGCATTGAAAGGTCAAAAAGCCAAGAAGTTCGAGACAAAGTCAATGGCAAATCAACTATGTAGGTAGCATCTACACTACAGCAGGTGACATACCCACACTGGGGTAGAGCCGCTTTGCCGTTGGCATAGCCAATTCTGACGATCTTCTAGAAAAAATTTTGTGACAACCGTGACGGCGCGGCCACTAGCCAGACACTACCATAGTATCTGGATATTTGTTAGTCATGATAGTAGGGATTTCGTATAGAAGGGGAGATAATTCCTTGACAAGCGCTTGGCGAGCGGTGCTGTGGATTCGGTAAGTTCTCCCAGAACGGTGATGTGCATGGCGAATTGGATCGTGACCTTGAAAAAAACCAGCCTAGAACGCTTGTCTCTCCGCAGTCTGGAGAAGGCCAATTGACCGGAGAGGGGGTCCCGGGGTGGATACGACGTAGGTATGTTATCTAGACTGGCTGCATGAAAGAGGAAAACTCAAGAGTCCCTCGGTGAAGGTCAAATCTATGTTTGAGCTCGGTGGAGACCTTCTAGGCTCTGGCATTTTGTGATGGCCTGCCATGCTTCTGCCATGCCCCCTTGCCATGCTCTCCACGCTCGGGTTGGGTGGATACTATCATAGACAAGGAGGACCCCTCGGCGGCTCATCAGACGAACGGACAGACCCCAAGCAAATTCACGATGGTGTCAGGTCATCAATTCAACGAATGCCTTAGTATTTTACCTGGTAGCCGTTAAGGACTAGGTATGGACGTAGACCGGGCTTCATAATCATGGGGTGCATTAGACCTTACTCATATTCGTGCATTCAAAGAATCGAAGAACCAAAATCGTTGAGAATCTCGGGGATTACTTTATTGCATGCAAGAACAGTCTGGGGATGCTGCGAGAAAATGTACGGCAAATGTATGTACATAGCAGTAGTTACCTTGTACCTCAAGCCTCGTGGCATTTCAGATCGGAAGAATCCGGGTCTGGTACAGGGATTTATAGAAGTCTCATGGAAATAATGGAACGCCAGAAAAATTCGGACTCATCAGCCCTGTCAGCCCCATAGACCGGGCGACAAGACTAAGTTAGCCAAATATCGTGACCAATTTCGGGCTGGTACTGAATTGGGCTCCTAAACTTCCACCGTTGTTTTATTTATTAATCCTTTTTGACGAATAGATGCCCAAGGGAGGGGGATACAATGTGTAGGTAATAGTGTAGGTGAATACTACTCCTACTGGAGTCCTACTCGGGTACCACTCAGTAAGCAATCCATCATCCATCATCCATCTGGCACAGTCAAGTATCGTTTTGTAAGCGTTCCACGTCGGAGGGATAACAAAGAGCTTCTGTTTCTGACCAATCCTTCCTATTTTTATTTTCTTAAAAAACTTCTTTCGTATAATTCAACCTCCGGTCCACGACGGGGTGTGGATATAATTCTGTGGATGGCCTGATGTGAGTAAGAACGTACATACATACATACTACTTACATACCTGTAATTATGTACATACCTAGGTACGTATAAAAAGAGCCCAACTTTCTAGGTTGTAGGTGAGTAGAAAAGGAATAGCTCCTCCGACTTGGTCCGTCATGATCGTCGAATTGCATGTACATATCTACTACCGTACATACAATACCTACATGTGTAATATGTACATTATCAAATCAAATCGGAAACATTAGATGATCCCAAGTCGCAAATCGAGCTTATGCAGGCACACACAACATAGCGTCCCATTGGTGCAGCCCGGACAAGTTACAACTATCGGGGACTGCGGGATCGACGGACATGCAACGACAAGGATTGGGTGAACCCGATCAACCCCAACCCTTTGGAAGTCCGTGTTGCAAAGGTAATACTATGTAGTTAATGTAATATCATAGGTGCTTGTTTAACAGTAATAAAATAACAAAAAGCAGGAGGATTTTTCGTGAACGTTGCTGGCGCTAAGATGAAGATGTTTCGTGACGAGACAGAGCATCATAATCATGCAATCCGTCACATCAGAAATCACGAGACACTTACTTACCTACCTAGTACTTAATAGATACCTAATGGGATTAGGATTCAAAGTACGAAGTACAATATACATACACAGACTTCCCAAGTTCCAAGTTCCTATCCAGTCAAATGATGGTGACCAACTCCGTATGCGCTTTCTATTGTCGCGGTGTAGGTGGGCATGTGAAGGGAAAGCGGATGATACTATTATGTACAATAGATACAAAGTCCACTGGTTGTCCGCTTGTTTCCCCGGACCAATGAAAGACTAAGATGCTTTCCCTTTTTGGTGTGTACTATGACCTTTTCCAACTTTTCCTCTAGTCTTTCTCTAGTAGACCTAGTACCCGTTTGTATCCTTCGAGTCATACTAACAGGTATGTAGGACGAATGTACAACTTACAATTGAATGTTCTGATGTTATTCTTACACCCGTGATCGGTCCCAACAAAATTTTTCATATCTAGTACGGAGAGTTAGCGAGTGTTAAGGGAAAAGGAAAAAAAAAAAAAAAAAAAAAAGAAGTGACGAGAAAAAACCCGGAAATTTGCTGAGCTTGATTTTGGATTTGGGAGTCCTCACTTTTACAATCCTTCATCATCCTCTGTTTCTTTCTTCCTGATCAATCAGACAGTCTATACATACATATTCTATCCATCATTGATAGTAGATAAATCCACAACTTTACCTGAGCCTTAACCAGCTGATAGTTGTAGAGCTCAGTTGATTGGTTCCGTCTACGATTTACACTTGGACTTGGAGAGAAGACAATCCCAAAGCTTGGTACGGCCGTGCTCAGCTCGTACCGTTCCTTTTTTTTCTTCTTACAATTCGTTTTCTCGCTATTCGTTCCGTAACTTGCCGATCAACCGTTTCCCCCCCGTCCCCTCCCCCCCCTAACATTAACAACCCCCCTTGATTCATTACCGAATTACCACTGCGATCTGGACCTTTTAGTGTTTGATACCCTATGAAACCCCAACGAAACTACGGCGTGCCCTTGTCACAGCTTACGCGACTCCGTGTTAGCAACCCAAGGGCAAGGAATGGCAGTCTTAGTACCAGTGTATACCAAGCTAGGGGGTGCGGACCGCCTCGCATTAGCACTACTTTACCATTATTAAGAAGCTCGTCTTCGCCTGCTCATCGTGCCCACGGCTACGCTCATGATATCGTTGACGATGATATAATAATCACACAGAATTTGATTCAGCACAACAACAGCAGCAACAGCAGCAACAGCAGCAATAATAATGATAATAATAAACAAGATTGCAAATATCATTGTATGAAGACCACTCGGGATAGTAATCAGCAGACACACCACCATCATAATCATCAGCATCCCGAACCTAGTTCCTTGCATCCCGGACTTTTCTCTTGGAGCACTACTGGTAGTATCCGAAATTGGGAATCATCGTCTTCTTCGCCTTATCCTCCTCCGTCCACGTCCAAGTCCACGTCCACACTGTCATCTGTTAGTTCTATCGGACAGTCTTCTTTGGGTTCTCCTCTTTCCCTTCAACCCATACATCCCCTTCTTCCCCTTTCGTCTTACCCCACCACCAGTGGCCCAACATCCAACCGTTGTTTTTTAATAATTCCACGCCGCCCGTTACCGAGACGTCCAATGGCGTTTACCACCTACAGCACCGTCAACTCAGATATATCAACACCTCGCTCAGCTTCCCCTTCCATCTCCGTCGCCTCCGCGCGTTCTTCTCACACTTCCATCTCCAGCAAACGCCTGTCCATATCTCTACAAAGGAGGCAGTCCGCGCTCAACCCAATGTCCTCAGTCGACATCACTGCAATTGAAGAACAAATGAAGATGGCCGCCCTAGATGGACTAAGAGGCTACGCACAGAACCACTATGGCGAGGTGCAACAGTATCGACCTACAGAGTACATCCCCCAGTCCGCTGCCGGTGGCTACCAAGTGCTCAGGGAACCTCTGTGGAACAAAGGTAACTAACAATATATCCATCCATCTACCCATCTACGTTACCTAGCATCTACTAGGTAGCCGTCCACTATTCCAACCAAACTTTATTACAATATATCCCCAAAAAATAATTAGGTCAAGCTCAAGAAAAAAAAAAAAAAGAAGACCCGCCTACTTTACTAACGCTCGAGCCCGTTCCTAGGTCTCTCCTTCAGCCCCGAAGATCGCGTGTCCAAGAACTTGACGGGCCTGATACCGCACGCGATGGAGAGCGTGGAGACGCAGGTGGCGCGGTGCATGAAGATGATCAACTCGCGCCAGACGCCCATCGACAAGTACCTGTACCTGTCGTCGCTGAAGAGCCAGAACCTGGACCTGTTCTACCGCGTGCTTATCGACAACGTGCGGGACCTGATGCCGCTCGTCTACACGCCCACCATCGGCGACGTCTGCCTGCAGTACTCGACCCTCTACACCCACCCCGAGGCCCTGTACATCTCCATCAAGCAGCGCCGCTCCATCAGGACCATCCTGCGCAACTGGCCCTACCCCAACCCTGAGATCTGCGTCGTCACGGACGGTTCCCGCATTCTGGGCCTCGGTGATCTCGGCGTCAACGGTGTGGGGATCTCCGTAAGTTTTTTATTCCCCCCCCCATCACTTTGTGCTTTTCGCTACCTTCGGACAACCTTCGGGTTTCTTTGAGGCTTGGCTTGTCTTGGCTTGAAGCTGCTAGCTAGTGCCAATGCCAGTGCCATCCATGTACCTATGTAGATCTTATTATCCATTCATTCAGGGTATTTTCTTTTTTTTTCATGTTATTTCCCACTAACACGCCTCCCCAGATCGGCAAGCTCGCGCTCTACACCGGCGCAGCGGGCATCCACCCAGCCAAGACCCTGCCCATCGTGCTGGACTGCGGCACCAACAACGAGACCAACCTGAAGGACCCCATGTACCTGGGCCTGCGGGCGCGGCGCCCCTCGCCGGCCGTGGCCCAGGAGTTCATGGACGAGTTCATGGAGGCCGCCGCCGAGGTCTTCCCCGAGATGCTCATCCAGTTCGAGGACTTCGAGACCGAGAAGGCGTTCGCGTACTTGACGCGCTACCGCAACAAGTATAAGTGCTTCAACGACGATATCCAGGGCACTGGGGCTGTTGTGTTGGGAGGGTAAGTGAAACCCCACCCCCTTCTTTTTTTCTCTTTCTGTTTTTTTTTTTTTGGTAAAAATGAAGTGCTAACCTTTTTTTCTTAGTTACATCGGCGCCGTAAACCTGTCCGGCGTCCCGCTCGAAGAGCAGCGCCTCGTCTTCATGGGCGCCGGCTCCGCCGGCGTCGGCGTCGCCAAGCAAATGGTAGAGTACTACACGCGGCGGGGTCTCTCGGAGCAAGCGGCCCGGGAGAAGTTCTGGCTCGTGGACACCAAGGGGCTCGTGACGCTCGACCGCGGCGACAAGCTCGCAGACCACAAGAAGTACTTCGCGCGCGCCGACAACAGCGGGCACCAGTTCCGCACGCTCGAGGAGGTGATCGAGTACGTGCGCCCCTCGGCGCTCGTCGGCCTGACCGCCACCTTCGGCGTGTTCACCGAGTCCGTCGTGCGCGCGCTCAAGGCGTCCGTCGACTCCGGCGGCTCGGGCCGCCGCCCCATCCTCTTCCCGCTGTCCAACCCGCTCACCAAGGCCGAGTGTACGTTCGAGCAGGCCGTGCAGTGGACCGACGGCACCGTCATCTTCGCGTCCGGGTCCCCCTTCGCGCCCTTCGCCGTCAAGGCCGGCGGCGGCGATCACGCCGTGACCTACTGGCCCAACCAGGGCAACAACGTGTACGTGTTCCCCGGGCTCGGGCTCGGCGCTATCCTCGCCAAGGCGTCCAAGATCACCGACGAGATGGTGTATATCTCCGCCTCGTCGCTGAGCGAGTGCCTCAACGCCGAGGAGATCCACAAGGGCTTGATATACCCGCGCATCGAGCGCGTGCGCGACGCGAGTGTGGTTGTTGCTCGCGAGGTCATGAAGGCCGCGCGGAGGGAGGGCGTCAGCACGTTGCCCGAGGAGCAGTGGGTTGAGTGGGAGGAGTGGGGCGATGTTGCGCTTACGAAGTTCATCAAGGACAAGATTTACGATCCCCTTAAGTAAAAGGGTGTTTGGGAGGGTATGTGTGGCTGGGCTTGCTATGTGATACGTGTTGAGACATGCATAAGATCATGGTTGGCGTTATTGGGACTGGGACCTTTTTTTTTTATTCCCTTTTATTTTTTTTATTTTTTTACAACTCTTCCTTCCCCTTACCCAGATGGTTTTTTTTTAACAAAATGTTGGCATAATGATCGGCCTTCACCCACCACATCATCCCATCATCCCTCGAAGGCAGGCAGGCAGATATGAAGATATCCCCGGGAACCCCCTTTCCCTTTTTTGGATTTTTTTCAAGTATCATTAGAAGGATATCAAAGTCCGTTGGAAAGAACAAAGCTTTCTGTTGCAGTACGTCTGCAACCAAGAAGAAGAAAGAGGAAAGGAAGAAAGCTTGCTTTATTCCCAAACTACGGATGGCGGAGTGCCAATATATGGCCATAAGGGCCATATGGCTAAGGATGCCTAAGGCACCTGCAACACTTTCAGGTGCACTGGATATAATAGATCTGCACTCTTACCATAGACGTCTAATAGACTACAAGAACAAAGTGTTTTGTTCTTGACTTGAAACCATTGGTTCTTCTGTCCATCTTATCGAGAGTGTGAAGTCGCTACCTGCTTACTAGGTATATATTTTTCTTCTGGGATGCCTGACGAAGGAACCAAAAGGTCGAACCCGCAACTTGAAGGGACTATTACTTTGTAGGTTTAGCACGTCTTGCTATTTGATTTCCGGGTTGTTGGATGAAGTTGGGTAAGCTCAAGGTACCCTACGCTCAGTCACTTGATGAACAGGACCACCAGGTGTATAGTACTAGGAGCTACCTAATAGCATCTCATTTTACTCACTTCACTCATGTCATAGCGACGCTGGGCGATTTACCTGATATCTGGGCAGGTACTTAGCCGAAGTAGGCAATCATAAGAAAGGGGCTGGGTGTTATTGTACTCGCCAGCCGTGACTTGGCTACGACGAGGGTATATTGAAAGTACCTATCATTGGACAACCTTGTTGTCCGTCCTGATAGTAGGCTGATACCCCGTTATCTTCAGTCTGTGTTACCGGTCCTGCAAACTTGGTGTATGTATCCCTAAGTTGCAGCAGTGCGTCCTTGTTGTATAGTCGGTGTTGAGAATGATCTTCTTACTTAGGTAGGCAGGTAATCAGGAACGTTGGCTCACCCTTGCTACCCGATACCGTTAGCAAGTTGTGTCAATAGATATAGGCCTTGGAACCTACCAAACTAGCTATGGTACTTACCATATCGACTTGGTTGTCTACCTCGTAGGTACTTTGACGATGATAGTTCCGTCCCTGAGTAGGTTGGTCCGCTTACTTTCCTCCTTGAGGACTATTCTCTTGAGCGCCGTTGGTAGCCGACTGCTGGGCCGTAGAGGCATCAATATTCTCCGTGTAAGACTTGGTGAACAACAGTGACGGGTCTATTGTCTGATCGTCATACATCTTGTTGCAATCTCTCCACGGATCCATGGTGCAGCAGCGGGGCGGAGGCGGGAAATTTCGCATCATCAACGGGTTGATATATCGGACCGGTTCTTGCGCGTCTCGGGGTGCTTCTGAAGATGTTCCTGCGGTTTCTCTTGTAGTAGCTTCTCCTGTAGTAGCGCTGTAGTTTACTGGATCGTTGGCATTGCTGTTAGGCTGCTGAAGAGTCGCTTCTATGATAATGTTAGCTAGAGTAGAGAGAATACGAAGACGAGTATCTAAAAGCAGTACTAAGAAGATCTAAATCTGTCATGTTGAGTCTGTCCTTGGATGAGCGTTTCCGGGGATTGGAATATCCTCGCTGGGAATCCACGTTGACTGCCATGATAGAATGATGCAGTGCTTGCTACCGTGGCTCGTGGATGACTCTGAGTATAATTCGGAGCCTGGCAGAATAATCCATATGTTGCGGAGAGTAGGTACGTAGGTTGTCTTGAAACCTGAAAATAAAGCCTTCAAGGTTTCTGTTCTTCAATAAGTATTATTGACTATCAAGGCACACATCCTTAAGATGTATGTATCAAGCTTTAGTGGGTGGTGAATCATAGCTGATTTGACGCCTTAGGTAGGTAGTCGGAACTACATTGTCCAACAGATTCTACAGTGCAACCTGCTATTAGGAAATAGAACCAGCCTATTGACTGTAGGTAGAGAGTAATTGCCTAGGTAATAGCAACTTCATAGACATCTGCCCATTTATACTTACTTAAGTGCCCAGGTACAGCACTGTTTTGATAGCTACGGCACAATCTGCTTGTGCGTACAGTGCACTATTACGGAGTTAAGAATAACAAGTTCTCAAGATTGTGAGTCAAATCCCTTGTATGTTGCTAGCTTACACGTCAGAAGGTGTGAGTATGGACGACCCCAAACAAAGCTATATTCCAGCCTTGTGTGCTATGGTGTTACAATTGAACACAATCTCACTTACCTATGACATGGACTGGCTGTAGGATCTACCCAATGAAGAGTCCCTAATGACTTTCCCGAATAGGATGCCTAGGTTGCATTCCATCCAATAACGAGCATCGCTCTTTTACAAAAAAGCTTGTCAGTGTTAAGCATGAGATTTGGGCTTATACTTGGTAACTGACCCCCTTCCCCCTTTTCCCCATTCTTATTCTTCTCCACCAAACTTGATATCTGCCGCAATATAAAGATGTTGTACCATTCCTGCGAATCTAGACCTCAGGGATATAATATCCGCTTAATTTGACGTCTCCCTTTTCTTTCACCCCCGAACTTATATTAGCCGAGCCCCAGCGACAGGCTCACATCCATGTCTACGATGGAACCCATCTTCCCGATATAGCATCGAGATAATATATAGCTACCTCATTTGTGTGATAATATCCCACCCTCGCTATTTGACCGCATGTATTTAGCTGGACCGAGGTAGCCTGGACCTCGTGGGAGGTGACGCGGTAATATGGATCAGCTAGTTTTTGCAACCCTATAAGCTGCCTACTAATGTGAGGGGCGACGTGATGTGAAATATTCTTATATCTCTTAACCCCCCATATTATCATCCCAGGAAATCGATCCTCTATAGCAAAGAGCAGCGATTGTATGATCTATCCATTCTCAAACGTGTGAACCCCAGAAGCAGTACAATAATACGAAGCGAGAGAGAAAAATGAGGAAGACATTTCTTCTCCCTCTGCTAGCGCTATGCAGCAGCGCCTTAGCAGCCCTCAACGTCACAGGCTCAACATGTACGGTGACACCATTGACCGAGGGCACGAACGGGAAAGAGCCGGACGACACGCCGCAGATCAAGGAAGCGTTCGCAACGTGCGGAAAGAACGGCAAGATAATCCTGACCGAGGGCCTATTCCACATGGGACAGGTGATGGACATCAAGGACTTGGACCATCTCGACATGGAGATCCACGGCACGCTGCGATGGTCCTCGGATATCCAGTATTGGCTGCGCAATAGCATCGGGGTCGAGTACGCGCAGCGCTCGACGGCCTGGCGCATGGGCGGCCAGGATATCAGCATCCGCGGGTTTGGTAAGGCGCTGTTCGATGGCCAGGGCCAGCTTTGGTACGATCAGAACCGTGGGGGGAGTAACCAGATGGGACGGCCGATCAGCTTTACCCTGTGGCACGCGAAGAACGTCTATATCGATGGGATCACTTGGCGGCAGAGTCAATTCTGGCGTAAGTAAACATTCCCAACATCATGAACTTGCAATTATTGGCCAAAGCAGTTTATATGCAAGGAGATGAGGGAGTATCTGGCATATCTTAGGTAACTAAGAGACAACTACTTCTAGACACATTCGTCGCGTATAGCGAGAACATCACGATGACGAACCTAGACATGAATTCGACGAGCAACAGCCAATGGAACACAGTCAACACAGACGGCATCGACACCTGGAACTCGAAGGATGTGTTCCTAACCAACTGGACCGTAACCTGCGGCGATGTAAGTGTTTCCGCAAAAGAGTTCCTCCCATCATGGCCATCCCTTACCTACACGTATCCAACCTAACCTATCTACACAGGACTGCATATCCGCCAAAGGCAACAGCACCAACATCATCGCGCGCAACGTGCACTGCTACGAGTCGGGGTGCGCCGTCGTCGGATCTCTCGGTAACAACCCCGGCGGCGCGCCCGACATCGTCGAGAACGTGATCTTCGACAACTTCACGTGCACGCACTCGTCGAACTCGGCGTGGGTGAAGACGTACAGCGGGTCGGGGCGGGTGCGGAACATCACCTTCTCGAACATCGTGTCCGAGAACGTCAACCAGCCCATCTACGTCACCTCCTGCATCTACTCCAACAACGGCTGCGACACCAGCCGCCTCCCCATCAACGACGTGCGCTGGATCAACATCACGGGCACCAGTCGCTACAATATCGCGTCGGCCATCCACTGCCCCGCGTCGAACCCGTGCTCCGGCTTTTCGTTCGAGAATGTTGATATAAAGCCCCTTGATGGCACTAGCACGCCGAAGTACCTCTGCAGCAACATCCAGGGCCAGGACCAGACGGGGATCCCTTGCACGGGGACGTGCCCGGCGGGGTGGCCGCAGCAGCTTGAGGGTAATCGCTAAGTGGGAGCGAGGAGGTAGTACGATGACATGAGACCCCGAGTGGCATAGGAAGGGGAAAGGGGGTTGGAAAGTACCTACCTACCTACCTAGGTACATATGGCCTTAAGGCAGAAAATAAAGTACAAACCATCAAGCACAAAATGAACAGTCACAAATCAGGGGTAAACAAGAAATGACTTCTTACTTTCAATATTGTCTTGGTCAATTGAATTCGATCATACCGAGCCTTAAACTGAGTACATCCATACCCTAGTAGGCTACCTATGCAGATATCTTACCAACCTACCACCTAGGTCAAGTTCGAACCTGGAAGGCTTAATATCCATTCCATAACTCATTTCTCGTCACGATGCTTTTTTGCCTCCCCCCCTGATTTCATTCCATCGTTCCGTCGTTGGCTTTCGTTCGTTCATCCATGAGCATGATGCGTAGTTTCATACCCTCCTCTAAACCGACCTTCCTATCCTCACCACCGTAACCCCGGAACCCCGGAACCCCCCTTTTCCATATGTAAGCCTTGTCTACCTAGGCATCTAGGTAGATATACCTGTACCTATACATAATAGGCAGACTAACCGTCGATTCTCGATCTTCGATGCCGTTCTAGTTCTCGTTGTTGTTCGTTCTAGTTTCTCACTTGCCGTTCTCGTATTACCCTATACTCTCTCACCTTATCCACCCCCCCCCCCTTTACTCCCACTTCTGCCACTCCCTCACCGCCCGCTCAACCTCATCCTCGATCCACGCCGGCGGGTACCTCGCCTGATCGAGCCCCGCAATCCTGTCGTGGTACTCCAGCTCCCTCGCCCTGCGTTCCCGGATCGCGCTGCCGAGGAGCCGCATGTCGCTGTCGCGCACCGCGGCGTCGAAGATGCCGCGCATGCGCTGGGAGTAGAGCTGGCACGCGGCCAGGGGGAGCCGCGTGTAGTGCTGGTGGAAGTTGGCGGCGATGGAGCTGGGGTCCGCCTGGATCGCCGGCCAGACCACCGCCTCGAAGCACGCCTCGCACACCGTGAAGTCCGGGATCGACCGCATCGTATACCATCGCCCGTCCGGCACCGCGCGGTCGTGCGCGCACTTCGGGATCACCTCTGCTGGTGCTGTTGCTGTTGCTGGTGGTGGTGGTGGTGGGGCCTTCGCCAGCGCCGTTGTGCTGGTGGTAGGGGTAGCCGTGTTCGAGTTGCTCGTGCTGCTCGTCGCAAGCGCCATCTCCCGCAACTTATCCGCCAACGCCAGCACGTCGGGGGTGCCGCGCGTGACGAGCGCCTTGTCGGCGGCGGCCTCGAGCAGGTCGAAGTAGAAGAGGAAGCGGCGCTCGTTCTGCTGGTGCATGGCGCAGACGCCGCGCATCGGCTCGGCGGGGGAGTCCATCGGGCTGAACAGGCCAGTCAGGTTCGGGAGCAGGACCTCGACGGTCTTGGCGCACGTGTAGCAGACGTGGAAGTACTGGTCGGCCGGTTGTTGCTGCGACCGCCCGTCCTTGACCGAGTACCAGATGCGGCTGGCCTCGCGCGCGCCCGTGCACGGCTGGCTCTGCGCCGCGATCGTTGCGATGTTGCGGAACAGGCTCAGGTCCGACTTGCGGTACTTGACCGTCAGGAAGCACGCGATGTGGTAGAACTCCGAGCTGCCGAAGTCGCAGGCGATGGCGCGGTCGGTGCCGCGGAACGGCGCCGGCACGAAGTGGTGCGCGAACTCGGTGCGCGAGAAGGTCGTGTCGTAGCACGACGGGCAGATGTGGAAGTTGTCGCAGTGCGGGAGCGTCAGCCAGTCAACGTAGCCTATCGCTGCTTTGCGGCGTGGGCAGCGCAGCCGGTCGGAGTATTTGCCGGCCTGGACTTCGTCGAAGTAGCGTCGTATGACTTGGGTTGGGTTGGTAACCTCTCTCAGTGAACTCGATTCTTGCGATTGTCGAGCAGCGTGTCTCTGAGGACTGGATGACAATAACAACGACAATGATGATGCCGATGAACGTGGAGATGCCTGGATGGCACTGGATCTTGGCGGAGGTGGAGGGGGAATAACCACTCGGTGAAGATCGTCGGTAGAACCGGATTTCAGTATCCCGGTAGTGGTCGCAGCAACCGCAGCTGGGACTAGGCCCGGAGCAGATGAGTTGAACTGTGAATGAACTGTGGTAGGGGGGCGAGTCAATGGTTGCTGATTACGCCGGTTGCTTCGCGAAAATCTGATATCTTTAGGCAACGGGGGACTGCGTGGACTAGACGGGCGAGGTGGTACTTCCCTCTCGTAAACCAAAGATGTTCTGGGAGAAGGGAGTGGTGAAGGCTCGACAGATCGTCGGCTGTCACTTGGCTTCAATTCGATAGGTGCCTTGAGGCGAGGTTTGCGTTTGATAGATATGACCGAGTCTCGTCGACGGCGACGGTCATCTTGATGTGGTACCTCCTCGTCACTAGAGTAGAAGTATTCACCACGGGGCGGAGATCCCCGTTTCTCCATAGAATTCGAATTCAGCGATATCTGGGATGCAGAATTAGATGTAATATTCTGCTCATATCGCGCATAACCATTTCGATCTCGCTCTCGCTCTCTGTTCGTCTTGGAAGGTGAGAGCTCGGCAAACGGACGTGGCTTATCATCACCCAATCTTGAGAGTGGTTTGGTCTGTTGTTGAGATAAATCTGCAGTCGACCGCCGTTTGTGATGATTAGGACTTGCGGACTTGGCTAGCTTAAAGGCCTTATCTTTATATCTTTTATCATCCGGAGGACTCTTCTCATACTGCACATAGGGATGAGCTGATCGATTGCGATCCTGGGTATTGTAAGGATCAGCTCCACCATGATAGTATGCTCGGTCTCTTCCTCTGCTAGAGTGTTCTATTACATCGGGAGATAATGTACCCCCAGCCTGAAATCGGGAGCTCTGACGAGGTGAAAAGTAGTCATCGTCAACCTTATCGGATCTCGCCGTAGATTTTGGTCTTCTCGCATCAGGTGAGCGCGGTTGTGAGGACATATCTGTGACTATGGCTGGTAGATGATCAAGTTTGTCACGATGCGCCTCAAGATTAGAGCGTGAGTTCCGTTTCACTTTAGACTTCTCTTCATGGCGCTCCTCACGCTGCTCCTCACGACGCGAACGTCCATCATACTTGCGGCCTGTGTTTGCCTCATAAGAAATAGGCCCATTCTCATATTCGGGGTCGGGTTTGGGTTCAGAATCAGATTCAGGCGTGGGAGCCCTGGATTTCGGTGGGAGGGGTAGCTTCTTTACGGGTTCGGGGCGATCATTCACGGAATCGGCTGGGCTAGAGACTAGAACGAAGCGCCGCTCCGGATTGTATTCGTGTATAGGCAGAAGAATGGGTAACTGCTCAGGATCTCCTCGATGTATCGGTTCTTCTTTAGGCGTTGTCGGTGCAGTATGTCCGTGCTCTTTCGCTAGGGCCTCCTCTTCATCCTCGACGTAAGGGGCCGGAGGAAAGACACGATTGCGATTGCGAGGCGGTGTTCTCAGAGGAGCTGAATATACAAATGATCGATGCGGCGGGGCTTCCGGGGGGCCCGGGCTCGGAGGGAGGCTGCTATTTTTCGACCAATTCTTAGCAAACTATTCTGACTTTCGCCCCGCTGACGCACTGTTGACGAATCTCTAATAAAGGGGGGGGCTGGGGGGTTTGGGAGGGGCATTGAGGCTCTAGATTAGTGACTTACGATCTTGGATCTGGACTTCTAGCCCTAGAACTTGACCAATAGCCTCTCTGGAGAAGCGCATCGAGGTCGTCGTCAACCATAATGGCAGATAATTCAACCAACTTGATTGGGGGAGCACTTCTGAAGCATAGTAACTAGAGGTATTGATGATTCAGAGAGGTGTGGAAGTGTAGACGTGTAGGGCTGTAGAACTGTGATTTAAATGCCCAGCTCGTTATCTATCTAGTATTCAGCCTAGTTGTATGAATACTAGCAGTAGCAAGGTCCGAGTCGGGATTTAATCTTGTTGGTTGTATATTAAAAAAAGGAACTACAAAACGAACAAAGAACCTTGGAACAAGATGTGATAGATATTAGATGTCTAGGTAAGGTGCCTAGGTAGGTAAACAAACCAAAAAATAAACTCGAAAGTGGTTAAGACTGTTCTAAAACACCGAAGCACGACTTCTAACGGTGGCCTTGTCGAAAAAGATAACACGAAAACTAAGAAAGTACCTGTCGAAGCAATTCTCAGCCCCTTCGAAAGCCAGGTCGTCTAGGAGGAATGTTGGTTCGGAGCCAACTAAATACGTCAAGTGACCGCACCAAGCTACAAGGCAGTGCGTCCTAGAAAAAGGATGACCCCCCGAAAACGCCTCAGGGTAAGCGGCTTCGGACGTTACCGCTGTTAAGCAATGGCTCTGTCATGAATGCTGTGGTACTAACCAAGCTGGGTCGTTAGTTGATATCCATGGATGTAGGCAGGTCTTTTAGAACCATGTATGCTAGGCACCTATATACATATGTATAACTCCTGGGTTTATTATTATCTGCTTACTTAGTGTATACCTATCTAGGTAGGTAGGTAGTAGGTAGGTAGGTAGGTATCTCACAAAAATAAATAAAATAAAATAAAGTAAAATGTAGCAAATCAAAAACAAAACAAAACAAAACAAAAATGATGGAGGCTAAAGGTTCTATTGGTTTGCCATTGGATATTTCGGTCCTCTACCTCGGCAGCTTTAGCCAATTTTCAAGGCTATTCTGTAGGTACGTAGGTACTGCACCTCGTATGCAATCTTGCGAATGCCATGATGATCACTGAACCACGCTGAACCTTGAACTAGGAGGATTAAATATACAGGGGTCAGACGAACTTGTCGTCAAAAGGTTGCATCGATATCTGGACGAAACCAGATGAACCAGTATCGTTGTCCCGTCCTTGCCCCTCGCTAGTCCCAACCAAGGCACGACCAACGCAGCCAAGCAACCCCGGCCTGGGCTTGGGAGCTTGGGTGAAGGAAGATTTGAAGTTGGGAGCATTACGCTGCAAGTAAGGGCTTCGTGTGGGTTCTTGGTGTGGGTTCTCATGCTCTCATGGGCCCCATAGGTTTCTTACCCCCCCCCCCCCCCCCTTCTTCCATCCCCCCCTTAGCCCTTGCGTCGCACTGCAGTTCTGCATAACATTGATTTTGCGCATACACTATGTTCCTTTAAATAAGACCCTTCTCGCCCGACTATATTTACACCATACAAACATACACCGACCATTGGCATCAATCTTACCATCAATCTGGGGCGTCAATCAGAAGTGTACCTGACCTAACTAGGTATACTACAAGAACTTATAGGCCATTTCCAAGTTGTGAGCTCCCGCCAAAAGAACAACAGGGAAGCTGACGAAACATGCTAGCGACCAAAGTGCAATTCATACTACATATGTAGGCATACCGTATACGTATGTATGTATGTATTGTACAGTATTATAGGTAACACCGATGTAAGCCCTATTGCTGTATTTGCATGTGTATAGCTGACATGATCAACTATATCAAACTGTCTTGTGTCGCATTCCTTCCAGCAATACTAGGCCAGTATCACACGTCAAGATGAAGCATGGCAGTGACTTGCGAATCTATAAAGCTGTGTCTTTGATACTATGACATGTGAATGATGAATGATAACTCACATAGTACTGTACGTGTAAGTGTGTGACGCCTCATACGTGAGAGGGACAATAAGTCTCTGCATCCAGCATAAATTCCGCATAATAAATATCATAGAACAAGCAGTATGTGACTTTTTGTTGGCAACTTCAAGCCAATCAAATGAACATCATTACCGAGTAGAGCGAGTTGCAGACTTGTCATGAAATCAGGTTTAGAATACCTACATATCTGCTTACCTCCTAAGGTTCTCCTAAGAGGTTGGAAAAAATATCAAAACACTGCCTCGCTTCCTTAGCTTTTCTGCTTCTGCTAGGTACCCAGCAACCACGTAACAAATGGACCCTGAAGGTTACGTCTATCTGCAGCTCCCAAAAGAAAGAAGAGAAGAAAAAAAGTTCCGACGTCTCATCGTGCAACAATTTCTCGCAGTACAGGCGTAAGGCGGCACAGCAGTTGATCCTGATGCTAATGTTCTTCTCATTATTCTTTCTTCTGTTCTGTGCTGCTACCTAACCGTTCCACCGCATCCCGCGTTTATAATGGAGTCAAGTTCAAAAGAGAGCCTCGGGTGTAAGCTTTTTATTTTATTATATTATATTTTATCTTATTAAGTAAACCAAAAACACAGAAACCCATGAGATCGTCAAAGGTGGGTGGGTGACATGAGCATATCGCGAAAATATGCTTATTCGCCGTGACGCACATCCCGACGCCATGCACCTTTAATATCGATGATATCGAGATCCGCTGCGCCGGGACCTCTCAGAAGCCTCAAATACTGCGGTGGTTCACGCAATGGAGATCATGATTGCCACACGTCTTCGTTTTTTACCCTAGCCTTGGTAACGACAAAGCTGTTTTGGTCGAGAACCAGTCGTAAGATCGAATAGCCCCCATCCCCTCCCCCCTACCTAACTACCTACCTACGGAACAGTACTACCTTTCACACGTTGATAGGTAGGGTGCGAAAGAAAGGGCTTTTAGATCTTGTCATACAAGCTCCGATTAAGTCGACCGCGTGAGCCGGGCCGGCTGGGCCAGAGAACCAATCCAAGCCGGCCAACGAAGAGGATCTCCAGACCCTGACGGCGAATTGTCGTCGCCCCCCCCCCTGAGGATCAATTCAACGCCCTCAACGTGATGCAAAAAGAAAAAAAAATGAATGAACTCATTCTCGATACGCATTTTTCGTATCTGCCTGTCTGGCATCCATCTACTCACGGAGGCAATCCAATCAGCTTCTTACCTGTTCAATTCTAGAATCTCGAGATCGTCAATGCGGCTACATCGATAACCCAAAAAGAAGAACCCCTACCACCGGGGGGCAGCACAACTCTTGGTTATTCTATTCCTCGTCTCACCTGGCAGAAGGCGATGCGAAGGCAGCATAGGTAGCATGATGGGGGAAAAAAAAACTCGCTGAGATAATGCTGTGAGCCCATTGAAACTCGTATCGCGAAGACCCATGTACCCAGCCCAGCCGTAAGGCGATACCTAGAGAAACCCTTCAACCATCGAATGCATTTTTCTCTTGGTTCGCCTTAGGCAGTAAGCGGATATTACCTATACTATACGGGAAGTGAGAGCTCACATTGCAAGCGCAATAACCTAACGCAGCTTATTCTACATATTCTGCAAACCACCAAGGCCCAGAAACGCAAACTAGCCAGCACTTTGCAGCTTTTGCAGAGTCGTCTGATCGAAAGTACGAGTAAGAGACCCCCGCCCCCCCTCCCAACCTGTCGCTGTACTGTACGACGAGGACCGAACCGTTCACGTTGCAGAGAAGCAGGCACGCGGGCGATGTAGAAACACCTGCGCAGAGCCTTGCGGTGGCAAACATGGATGTGCCCCTTTATTCACTCCAGGTTCACAGGGCGCGCCGTTGGCTGCGATGAGCGTTTTCAAGACCGAAAGGGCGAGACCGTTCTTTCGCCAATAACTCGCTAACAAGCCTTGGGATACAGATACATACATGCCCTAAGTACGTATGTTAGATCGGGCGGGAAAGTCCCTATTGGATACGGTTTGTATTCCGCGATATTGCTTGGGCGGAGAGAGGGGAGGGGAGGGATAGCTCCCTAAGCTGCTGCTGTGTTTCTTCGTCTTTTTCTACATGCCTAGATGCTTTCTTGCAAGAAGACATATGTAAGTATATAGGTACCTACCTAGGTATGTTGGAGTAGGTAGGTAGGCAGGTAGGTTGGTAAGGTATAATGTCGTGTTCACCGGAAAAGAATCTAGCTATACAACGGCCCGTACCGTTGCAGGCAACGGGTGTCTAGACAGTGCTGCCGAGTTTCTCTACAGCTTTCTGAGAAACAGACCAAGCTACCTACCTACCTACCTACCTACCTACCTACCTAGGTACATACATATCTGCCTGCCTAGTAGTAATACCAGATAAGAATCTAACCTTAGAGCGAAGCTTGACGACAGCGGCGCACATTCGGCCCAACCCATCCGTACCCTATAGTTTCAAGTTCCTCCTCCTCCATCACCACCACAGCACAGCACAGCACATCACATCACAGCACCACACTACAGTCGGAGCTTACATAGTATCGAGAGAACGAAACCGGCCGTAAGAAAAAAAAGAAAGCTTAACACTTCCCAGTCTAGCTAGCTCTCACCGCAACGGAACCAGCCAGTGATTTGTATTTTGCCCAGGGCCGCTCCAACCTATCTATACATTGGTGGATATGAAAAAAAAAAGCGTGGTTACTCAAGAGACTGTGATCCCGCCATCCACGGGATCCAGCGTCCCCCGTCTCGAGCGATCCATACATGTAGCAAACCACATAGATCTACGTCCCAGGTTATGTGAAAGAAGCCCCTTACCTATGTAAGAATGAAGAGCACACATAGGTATGTACAGAGAGAGAGAAGAGTCACTTTCCCCCCAACAAGACAGCTTCTCCACCTGTCTGCCTACATACACACATACACACATGTAAGGCAATTGCCATTGTTGTTGAAATATGCGTACGCCCGATCCCGATAAAACGTAATAGGGCAGTAAAGGGGGCTGGCTGCAAGCTGCACGTGGCCGGTCGGGCCAAGAAAAGACGTGGCAACGATCATTCGCCGCTAGAGAAGCCAGTGGATCGGTCATTCAGTTGCAGTGACTACAGGATGATAAGACGACTGTTATCGAACCCTACCTACCGAAAATATTACCAACACAGGTAGGTAGCTAGCTACCTTGGGAGGGGGAAGGGGGGGAGGGGGTGAGAGAAAGAGTACCTATAACAGACATCGACAGAGCAACCCAGGCGCGGAGCCCCGGTCAGAGTAGTTATCCAAAGCCACACTTTCGACCATTGAGGCCGGGCGGGCGAAGGGGGGGGTGACAAGTAAGTCATCGTAGGACGGCATCCCAACCCGGGCGCGCAAGTGGCAAACGGCACGGTCCGCTACAGGTGGTATGCTGCAACACGTACCTACCTCTGACACACACACACACACAAGAAACTTCAAATGTTGCCTTGCCTGCCCTACATGTGTAGCAGCGACGCATGTATGTACGTCCCACACGAGGCTATTATCAAGGGCGCTGTCATCCACTTTTTCAGTAGGTATGTTGGATGTTGGGAGGGCCGAGAGAGAGAGAGAGAGAGGGAGTCCGAGAACAGCACTGACTGGTCTGGGGAAAAGGCAAGAAGATCAATGTCACCTTGAAGTGTCGCCTTCCAATATGTATGTTGGTTGATCGTTTCAATGTGGTTATGTACCTCGCTTGATGTACATATGACTACCTACGTACATAGAGAAAGAATCAACCTCGAAACTCTTCATTCACCGAATCTGCCCTCAAGTTATGATAGGCTATTGTATCTATAGATGCGTATCAATACCTAATCTGCCATAGACTTTATTTCACATACCTACATACTTCAGTACCCAGGTAGCAACCACTCCGACCCGAGACACCGTACCATACCTACCTACATAACTATAGCCAACAATAATTCTAGTTGTGTAGGAAATGAATATGTTCACCGAAAAAATAAACCCATACTTCCCAATGATGGAAATCAGAAACAATTACAAGATTGAGAATAATTTCTATCATTGTATCATTGCGTTGCATGAACTCGCCGGGTGAAGTTTAGAATGATTCTCGCGAGAAGGGGATGCCCGCTATGGTATGGGTGCTCTTCAATATTGCTTTGATTTCCAAATATCTACTTACATGACCCTAGATTCCAAAAAGAGAGACCCTATATACATCCAAGTACCTACCATAGTATCACCATAGTATCCCTCGACTTTAGATGGTCAAGGGAGCAGAGTGAAACAATTCATCTCAAATAACCCCCCTTATCTCTCTCTGTCTCTCTCTCTCACGTACACACACAGACACAAATACAAGTACACATCATACACATCCACACAAATCACGACCAACAATCCTCATTATCACCTCACACCAAAGCATTCACATTCACTTCACATTCACCTTCCAATACCATAGGTAGTTTAGATAACTTCTGTTTCTGTTTCTCATTCATTCAAAGCTAGTAATCCACCATCACCACCCTTCACCCTTCGCCTCCATCTTCACCACACCACATCCACATTCAGCACCACATTCAGCACCAGCATCAGCATCAGCATGACCGACACCAACACCAAATCCAGGGAGGTTTCAACCTACGCCTTCGTTCCTTCTTCCTTCATCCCTGCTCCATCTTCCCCCTATCTTCCAAAGGTTTTCCATCCCTCTTCCCACCGATGGTTTCAACCAAAACAAACAAAGTGGCGCCACATCAGCCAGCCCAAGACGAAGATGCAAGTGACAAAAAACAACAGTAAAAAAAACAAATAACAAGATAAAACTAATAAAAGTGGTTTTGGGGGTATTGGTAGTAAGACTAGACTAGACTAGACTAGCAATATTCCATGATGCATAGGTAAAGTAGGTAGGCTAAACATGCTCCTCAATGCTTTTACAGCAAATAGTGACATCGAATAAAAAAAGAGTATAGAGATATAGAGGGGGATATGGTGCGTCGTTGGTGGGTTGGGTGTAAACGAAAGAGAGTTGTAAGTCGTTGCGCCATCCGCACAGGAGGAGGGATGAAATGTAGGTGTCTCAACTCCTGGCATGGAATAAGAGTAGGTAGGTAGGTAAAAAAGGTAAAGGTAATAAAAAAGACACCATCCATCTTTAACACCGGCCCCGGGAATGTTTACAAAACCGAAAACCTCCAGTGTTTTTTTGATAGTCCGCGGTCCCTTCATCATTTGTTGCAAAATGACTTCATTCCCTTTCTGACCTTCCAACCCTCCCCCTCCATTTCCTTCTCCGGCAGACAATTCAATCAACCTAAATACTCCTTCTCTCCTGCCTGCCTGCATGCCTGCCTTGCCTTGCCGTGCCATGGCTTTTTTTGCCTTGCCTGCCTAGACGCGAAATCCCCCTTTTGAACAAAAATCAAAAGTTCGTTACGGACCGTACAGATACCCCTAGTTCTTCCTGAACAGCCGTTTCGTACCTCCAACTCTACCCATTTCGCCAAATTTCGTGTCAAGTCGTTGCTCTGGTGGAGCAGGTCGATCGCCGCTAGCTATACGAACTTTCTCCTTAACACTCTCAACCCAGGCTCGGCTCTCGTCACTCATGTCCACCTTCTTGCCCTTGGGCCCGGCTAGCCCCAGCGAGCTGTCCTCCTCGTCCCAATCCAGACGCGACGACGCACGTGACCGGCCCGGTGCCTCTGGAGACGGTGTGTCCGACTCTGGTCTGGCATTAGAAAATGGTGTTCTTGGTGGAAATCTCGTTGCCCCTTCTTCGCCCTGACTCCTTCTAGTTTTCCGGACGGTAAGAGGTGAAACTGGTGCTTCAAGAGCAGAACTAGGTCGGCTGGATGGAGCTGATCCTAAATTAGGTAAAGCAGATGTTGGTAAATCTTTAATATCCACCTTCCCTTCACCCTTAGATCGTGAACTGTGATGCGATGCATACTCTCGGAGATATTCTCCCAGGTCAGCCCATCCACCACCAATTCGGACCATAACTCTCTCTCCTTGCTCTCCGACACAACGAACGAGTAGTCTAAGAGGAGCTTCGCCCGTAGATCGAGTCAGATTGTAGACCCGGATCCCTGCGCTACCCTTCGACTTGGAACGAGGATCCCTCGCTGGTGCCAACATGAATGATGGAGTTCCACTGCGAGAAAAGGATGGGGTTCCACCCCGCGAAGACAGACTAGACTGACTGCGACGCGTAGTGTCCGATGGTTTGGCCTTCCCCCGCGTAGGAAGCTGAAAGTCCGGCGGGTTCAAGTTAATCCCAGGCGTCCTCTTAAGCCGAATTCTCGCAGGGATAGATTCCAGAAGCTCGCTAATTTGTTGTTGTAGGTGCTCGTCTTCGCTTAAGTTGCTCGCCGTGCTCATGCGGCCCGGACTACCGAGCTGGCTCTCGTATTCGTATGTGTCGTCATCGAAGAGAGCCGAAGATTCGATAGGGCTTCGCGGTGGTGTGCTACCTGCTTCAGGTAGCATATTGATCTCGGGAGCATCCTTAAAAGTGACTGATGTCGAGCGGGTCTTGTATCGTAGGGGTGGAGAGCTGGGTGGGCTGAGTGCGTCGCTGGAGAACGGCTCGTCGGGATCGGGCAAACGCGGTAGGTCTGGCTCCATGGAGCCATCTCGGAAAGGTGCGTTATCGGAGTTATCGAGAAAATCGCCAGGAGAACCGTGGATAACGGTAGATGCGATGGATTCCCTGCTGCCTCTGTGTTGTACGAATCGGGCGGGGGGCAAATCGAGGCCATCCCCTTCTTCATCCACAGACTCCAAAGCAGAGGGTTCCAGAACTGAGAATTCATCATCCTCATCATCATCTATGACCGAATCTCTCCGAATTGTATTGGGTTTCTTCGGTTCCTGGGGAGTTTTACGAATGACGTTTTGATTAACTTCGTGCAGTACCGCGTTAGTTCGGCCAGCCTCGGCTGCTCGTTTGTTCATGGTACCCAGATAAGGCTGGCTACGGGATTTTTTGGGTAGACGCAAATGTGGGGACTCAGGCCTGAATCCAACAGCCTTTCCTGCGGCCGTCGAAGGTCTTTTGTCGTATGAACCGTCATAGTTGAAGCTTAGGTCCTTAAGCGAGCTCCTCGAGCCCATCTGGCGTAAACGTTGTGTATGGGTGATCGGGTTAGATACCTGGGAGGTTGGTTTTGGTCTCGCTCTCGGTTCGTTGGGAAAGACTTGCACCGGGGCCCGTGGAGAGGGTGTGCTAAGTGCTTTCTTCAAAAGCTCAGGTCTGGTTATGGCTGGACCTCTAGCGGGGTGGAAATCCGGGGAATCGTTGGTCGGCACGGGAGGTGACGCAAACTGGTCAATGTTAGATGACTCCGGTAGATCCTTCGATGGGCTCGGGCCCTGGATCTGAATCTTCGGTCGGGGCGTTTCCGGTTGCACACTGGATGCGCGCCTAGCAGAAGCTTCGAGTAAGCCAGTCCTCTCGCCCGGCCGAACTTTTCGTTCGGCATTGGCTTCCCACGCGGCGTAGTCTCGCTCAATTTCTTCCATGCGGTCTAGCCACTCATCTGGTAGAGTATCTACAGACCCTTCTAGAGAGTCGAGCATAGCATCAAGCGCTCGCCCCGGTTGAGCTACCTTTTGTTGTATGACCTGCTTCATGACCTCAAAATCCTTCCTGGAAAGATTGCACGACTTGTTCGCGAGCTTTTTCGGCTCGAAGGGGTTAGGCCTATCCGCGTCGATTGCCCTCCAACCAGAACGCAAGGCTACTTCGGCATCCGTTATCATCGTAAGTAAGGATGGAACTTTCTTTAGGACAAGCAGTCGCACACTCCATGTATGTAGTAACCTCGATAATTTAGACAGATTAGGCAAGGCTTGCACGGTAATAGCGGTAACGACTGCCGTCAAGTCTTCCATCCTGGAAAACATGGATGCAGAAGTTGTGGAGCAGCCCGCATCGGAAAAGGGGGTGCCAGGTCGCGACAATGGCAAGATATGATTGTGCAAGACCTGGCTCTTGATCTCTTCCAGATCGAGGCCATCCAAATCCTGTTGTATCTGGCCGACTCGCATCTCGTAGCGCTCGACATCGGCGGTGGAGAGACTGCCGAAATGGTTTGTATCAGGGGACGAGTCAGATTCTGTAAGTTTGCCCTTGCGATCGTGGCTTGGTGTCTCAGGCTCAGAGACCTTCCTTCTCTTAGCAGGAGGCATCTCGAAACCAGCCGAGCTGCTGTGGTCAGGCCAATACCAAGCGGTGACCTCATCGAGCCAGTCGCGTATCTTTTTGGAAGCAATCGCGGTTCTCATAGCAAAGGCCTGCTCGGAGGCCGAGACTTGGTCCATACATGTTTTTAAAGCTCCAATGGGCGATTGAAGGGAGTCGACGGCGGTAGTGGGGGAAAGTTGGGAGAGGAGGTCATCGCCTATGCGGTGCTGATGACGTGTTGGTGATTGCGAAGATGAGCGAAGCGATCGTCGGAAGATGCTTCGCGAGCCGCTAGGCGTAGAAACGCGCTTTTCGGCCATGGTTGTTTGCTGTTGGTTAGTATTCGGGATCGTGTGTGAGATGCGGTTGTCCGAATGATCATCTCATATCCGCCTTGGTTCAAATATGACCTGTCGACACGGAATCGGTAAAAGGTAAGATAAAAACGGGTGTTGATAATTTTCTTTTAGATTCGGTCCTCCATGACGGGAAGCGATGATGGTCAAGAGTTTAGGAGTTTATCGTGAGCAAACTTTCATGTCCCTTCTTACTCCCCCAAAATTGATTTTTTGTTTTTTTTTTTTTCTTCACACGTTAACAACGTCTGTCGCCTTCCTACGAATTCCTGTCGCGCGGCACAAAGAAGGGGCGATTATCTAGGCCGGTCGTCGCGAATCTAGAAAAGTCGGTGGTAGTTGAAAGAAAGGGTCTCAGATTCTTCGGTTACCTGCAGGAAGATCCAAGGCAAATAGTATAAGGCGTAATAAGGCGGGTTAGGTGCTGTAAGGTGTTGATCACCGCCTTGTGGTTGGTGACGTGTGGTTACGAAGTGGGTATTGCGACGTGTATTGCGCTGAGTGTTCGGGCTGCTACGGCTATGATTCTTTTATTCTTAAAGGAGCGGCGTCATTTACGGAGGTAATGCATGTATGTGATGTATATTCCCTACCAGTAAAAATGAAGAAAACAATTGAGAAAAAAAATGTTAAAAAAGTGCAGCTCAATGTGATAATTACATAAAGCCTTGCGCCAATGAATAAAAAAAAAGAGAAAGAAAAAAGAGAGAAACGAATGAAAGGGAATTTCCCTAGTATAGTATGAGAAGTATGTAATGTAAATGTAATGTAATGAAAAAAGAAGTTGAAAACGAAGGAGTGATTTGTTCCAGTGTTTCTCACGTTCCACGGATACTCTAGGTACATTTGATAGTACTAGTTACAGGTACATACGACAAGCATACTACAGACATCTGCCAATCTGGATCAATTACAACGCGATATGGCCCCCGGGGATGATGATGGATACCCAGATATGTACCAATGGGGGGGGAATCTAGTTCCCTATGGCTTACGGGTAGCAAAGGCCTCCACAGCTAAGAGTAGCAGCAAACCTTGGTAAGCAATAAAACGAGCTTCCGTGAACCGCCCCGGGCAACCACATAGTGCCAAACCACTCTCATAGTACTACGTATTAGCGCCACTACTTCACAATGAAACTCATTAAACCAAAACCAACTCGATTTATAATTGGCTCATTATACCCTGCACGCGCTTTCTGAACTTCAAGTGTTCTGCCAGTTCTGCCATTCCTGCCATGTGTTTGTTGTATAAAATAGTTTTAAGGTTAGTTACGTCGTATTACACATTTATGCATGTAAAACACACATAAGCACCTATGTATGTATGTACCTGGTAGGTATGAACTACCTTGTACCTAGTTGCCTGCAACCTTATTGCCGCTGTTCAACGATGATGATTGATGATCTATTAACTACTAGACTGGATTAAAGCATCTAGGGCATCTAGGATTCTAGGGTATATTTACTGTAACCCAGTAGTTCCCTTGTCATCCATCTAACAACAAACAAACCACTTTACATATGATGTAGGATGTAGGATGCACCACACACGATATACAATTTAAGAGTCACACAGCAAGACACATGGCAAGCCCGGTTGTCTTTGCAGTCTTTAGTGGTGCCATGTATTAAACACCACACGCACCACGTATTGATTTTTGTGGCTTAGCTACATGTAACTATGTAGAGAGTGGTGCTTGTGCTTTGCATGGACTCATGGAGAAAACAGAGACAGAGAGAGAGAGAGAGAGAGAGAGAGAAACAAAAGAACGAGACAGACATCAGACAGAGGAAAAACAGAGGAGAATGATGTGCAGCCCGCACCAACCCAAATTTTAAGATGAGAGAAGAGACTCAAGAGAGAGAGCCTCTCTTCCGCGACAAGGTCTTATTTAGCACGCGCCACCCATCCCCAGTTGCACGGATATCCATCAGGTCCCCATCCACCTGTCAAGGCCGACTAATCAAAATTAATGAGCGTCCCGTTGGTAAGCTTGTATCCAAGTACCCCTACATATTTACGAGGTCCCGTCTCCATTTTGATGTCTGCATCAAATATTCAGGTGGCGGGTCGGGATGCTATAGAAAATTAATATCCTCGAGTCCGAGACATGTGTCTTCTACCTACCATACACATATACGACATAGTACAGATATACGATGCATAACACAACCATCATTATACCGACTAGTTAGGTATTTCGTAAGTATATATGTAGTAGTAGTTTATTTATGTTATGTACCTGAGCAGCTAGGTATGTAGGTACTCAGTCTTGAAACTATAAAATCTATTGTAAATGTATATCCTCTTGCCTCCCTATTCGATACTCAACATAGGGTATAGAGAACAGAAATGGTAATAAAAGATGATAATAAAAGAAGAATAAACAAAAACCCATTCATACCCACAAATAGCCTATTCAGTAAATATGTACATAGGTAAAGCCAAACCCTTTTTTGGAGCCTATGCACCTAACGCCTGATCCGCGAGATAACCCCGTGCACGCCCATATCTACAGTATGAAGATCAGGAAACACAAAGATCCCGCCCAACTCCCTTGAAACCGGATGTTATTTGTGTACGCTTCTTCTACTCAACTAGCGTAACCAAAGCTTCGGAAACCAGCCTCGTTTCGTTTCGTTTCGTTTCGTTCATCAGTCATAAACTTCAGGAGATGACGCCCTGACCGGAGGTCTCGAGCAACCCTACATTAAAATTGGCCGACCCGTCGACATCGCTCATTGAAACCACGCCGGTACCTGCTCCACCATTTGTCCCGGCCCCTTTGCTCTCGCTGGGAAACTGCAGCCACTGGTCGAAGTCGATGTTTGTACCCGTAAGCGCATTCCAGTCAAATTCGTCATGGCTATCCAGTGTATCGAAGTCCATCTCTAGATCTAACGGAGCCGCATGTCCATCTGATGATCCGCTTGCACTCGGCGTGAGCACGTCCTTCTCAGTGTGCGGGGGTGAGTGAGCAGTGGACGCCATTAGATCAACCGGCGGCACAAATTGTTGCGTCGTCTGCTTTGGAAACAGGGCCGCTTCTTGCGTCGTGGCATATGGCGCGTTCTCTGGCGGCGGCGTTGCGATGTGATTAACCGGCGTGGTGGTAGCGAATTGCGAGAGTCCTATTTTGATGTTGTTCACGCCGCTGTTATACCCCTGACTCTGCACGATCTGTAGATCGATAGCCGCTTTTCGTAACGCTGCATCTAAGAATGCGACCGCGTAGTCGGCGGCCGCGTAGATATCACGCAACTTTTCCATAACCTTCATACATTGCTTGAAGCCGCGTATGGCAATCTCGCGGGGCTGTGGTAGTGGGTTCTTCATTTCCAAGAGATGGATGATCATGGCGGGGAGGACCACAGTAACGCCAGTTGTGGGTAGATATTTTTCGAGGCGCAGGCCATGCAACTCAACAACCATGCGAGTGATTTGCGCTGCCGCGTCCCGAACCCTTGCTCTCGACATCTCTTGAGCTTGAACCGACGTTTGCGGTGCATGGGTCGGCGAAGATGGGAGAAATTGGGGTCGATGGAGAGCGGATATCGTGGTGTAATACACCATGTGAAGTAGATTGCGCTGCACGGCAACCGTCGCACGGCCATTCTTGATGTCCAATGTTGATAATGGCCTATACTGACAGCAGGCAGGCAGAGACCGTATCCACGACATAAGCTCCAAGTCACACGAGTTGACACTTTCCACATTATCCAGCTGCTTGTTGGGGAATAACATCATCGTACTGTTCGTGGTGTTCTCAGCTCTCGATTTGTCCCTGATCAGAACCGAATACTGAGCTTTCAGCATACGGCTAATGCAAAGGCAGAGCTTTGCTTTGGCGATGCACATCAGGGCGAGCTCTTGCTGCATTAGGACATCGCGCATTAGGGTACACTCCGGGCCGATAATTTGAATTTCGTCTGCGAGTGGTTCGATCTCGAAGTCGTGTTCGTCCAACATCGGGACATCGAAGTCCTCATCCTTTATCCGGGTGGGCCGCCGCATGCCCAGGGCGATTAAGCGATCCCGCATGAAACAAGACCACCAAATCCTCTTCCACAACTTCTGTTTCCGCGACGACATGTTGGTGTTGGCTGGGTTTCGATGTAATCCGATCGTGTGGGCCAACGATATCGCAACTCCCATCCAATGCCATGTATCCTTCTGGTCATCCGGCGTCTCATACCAATACGTCATTAACAGCAGCCCCTGCACAAGGATGAGGCGGTCGCTTTCGTAATCGAAATCGTATAAGAGCTACATTTATTAATATTCACTCGCACACAGTTTCACGAACAGTAGATTTTGATAATCTTACCCTGGCCTTGTAGAAAAAGTCTCTCCGAGCAGCTTTTCTGCTGACGTAGCCTGCCTCTTTCAGGTGCCTCACATCAATGAAGGCAGTCGCGGCAAACATGACGGACTGGTAGAGAAACAGGCTCGTCTGCCCGTACAACCCATCTCGGGAATTGATCATGCCCAAGAAATCATGCAGTTCTATGAGAGGCATGTAAGGGTGCACATACTCGACGTAGGCGACGAGTAGGGCATTCTGGAGGCTAAGACTAGGCAGCGAGAGGGCTCCTTTGGTATGAAGATAGGCGACATCTTCGGGTGCAATCTTAGCGGGAAGCGGCCGGATGAAGGCAGGCAATTGTGAGGAGGCATCCGGCTCCTCCAGGGAGTTGAGGAATTGTGCAGTCCTCAAAGCCCCTCCGACGGAAGCCGAACTCGAGTTTTGGCACGTGTTTGGATTAGGCCATATACTTGGATACCTCGACCCATTGTTACCAGCTTGAAGGGTAGAGAGCAGAACCGGGTCAGGGCGTAAGCCTGATCGTTGATCTAAAGCACATGTAAGCCCTCAAGGTCACCTGAAAGATACTAAGTATGTTCCACAAGGATAAAGGATCGACAATTCGCTAAAGAGTTGACATAATCCACAGTACATTATGTTTTTTGACATGTGAAAATCGTGGGGTTCATGGGTTAAGCAACTTAAGCAAGTTAATCAAGTTAATCGTCATCAACTTACATAGCATGTGAGGAACGTGACTATCCACGCCTCCATCCAAGACAGACCCTGAACCAGTTACATCATTGGCAACAGGCGAAGGTTGAGATACCTCGCTAGCGCGCCGCAATGATGGTGCAGCAGAAGCGATGGCAATAGGATTCGCGGGCTTCGCTCTCAACTGTGCCTCGGCAGCCTGTGGGGCGGCGCTGTTATGGGAGACGGTTGATGAATTCGAATGGAAGAGGTTCTTTCTAAATGGACAGGGATGTAAGCGTCGCCGCAATCAAAAAAAGGGGGGGAAACAAAAATAAAGATAAACGTGGGATAAGATTTGGAGGGCTATGTAAGAAAGAAAACGTGTTGGATGGTTTGGAGGGTTTGGAGATTTGGAGATAAATTGAAGGAAAATCTTGGAAGATGACGCAATTGGAATTGGGATCATGATATTTTGATTGTTATTTTTATTTTTATTTTCATTTTCATATGATTATCAAAAATATCAATTGCATCAAAATGTAAGGGGTGGAATGTCATGAGGTAGAAAATTCAAAATCCAAAATTCAAAATTCAAAAATTAGGTACTCACCTTCTTCGACGACTTTCTTGCACAATGCATTCAACTCCATCCCACCGGCAATTACCACAAGGTGCTCCCTCAACAACGTCGCACCTTACCTTTCGGCTTCTACAACTGATGCAGGCCCTCGCCGCCCTTCGCTTTGTCACCTTTGTCGAGCCATTGGGTTCCGAGGTCGAGGCCGATCGCTTCTTAGACTGCGAGTTTGAATCGAGAGCACTTCCTTTGTCCTCCGAACTCGAATTTGGAGAAGGATGATCAGCCATGGGGGTGTCCATCGGTTCATCCGCCTGTGCCTCGGGTGAACGGGCCACGAGGATCTCTTCTGTAGCCATCTTGTACAGCGAATTCGAGCAAGATTTTGAGCTTCTGAGTTTAGGTTAAAAGGCAAAAAAATGGTAGTAGGTAGTGAAGAAGTAGTGATTCTCCTGAACGACAAGAAGTATCCTGCGTAAGTAGTCTCAGATTGTAGTCTCGGATGAGTACCCGGTTATGTTGAGCCGCGAAGGAGATTTCTCGGGAATGTTTGTAAGTCACGAGTTTTGACGCTGGCTTGTAGCTATGACCTGGTGGGCTCTCTGCTTGCGGCGACGAGACTACGGAGGGGATATCTCTCTCCCGCCTCTGACTTCCGCACCGAGCAACAACTTGCAATCGTGATCTTGAGCTGTTATGGACAGCATGAGAAGTTTTGAGAAATTTTGACGGCAACAAAGGGACGAAAGGGTGGACAGGGACGGGACTGTGGAGGTGGATATGGTGGGGGGAGGATTGGGTATTATGTATAATCCCTTCTTGCTAACTAGGCGGTCATAAATGAATACCATAGTACCTCTCTGGGAAAAGATGCCGGTCCATAGATTCCCGATGGAGCTCAGAATCGTAATTCGGGGTCTAAGAACCTGCATAGAATCCTTGTGAAAACCTACCTAGCTTTGTAGTCCCCATAATAAGTGCTCGCGTGCGTCTCCTTCCATTGGCTTTAACAAGGACCGCTTTCGTGAGACTAACGTTTAGAAGACTTCTCACATGTCCACACTTTCAAAGTAACAGGTAAAGCGTAGCCTCGTCATCCTTGTGACCTCGACGAATAAGTACTCTTACGTAGTTTCGTAAGTAGTTAGGCCCTAACTTGACGGAGGAATAATACCCATCTCCCTCCCACATTCCCACATAGCCCAATGTGTCCGCACCCAGTAGCCAACTACGGCCATTGTTACCGCTTGAAACCTGGGGACAAGGCCTCTTTCCGATTCTTTCCCGTACAACCCCAGCCTTGGCCTCTTAGGCCTCCTAGGGCCTTGGATCGTAGAAAGCTCCACGTCCAAGTTTGCATAGGGATATGCCAGAGTAGTACAGGCTTGAATATGCGGAGCAGCCAATGATTGAAACTCACTATCATAGTACCAATTCGCTGGTTCACTTCAGTTATTATAATTGCATCACGTTGCCGAGTTTCCTAGTCTCAAGGAGGCTTAGCTAGCCACGATCTCGAGTCAGCTAAGTGGAGGGGGGATAGACGAGTACGGTAGGTTAGTATAGTTTCTCGTGTGTACACAATGATACATACTTTCCGCGTACGCTATTGTGATGTCCACCAAGGTCCAGAGTACATAGAAATGTTGGCCCCTTTACACCGGTGGATCAGAAAGCAATGACTAAATAATCAGGAAGCCTGGCTTTGCTATTGGCCTACATTTCAACATGTAGTAAAAGGGCTCCATTCAGCACTTGCGAGAAGTTGGAACATGAAAGAACGTGATCTCCGGACAGCCCGAAAGGATATTGATATCTCGTAAACATTAGGTACCTTAGGTAGACAATGACACAAAAGAATAGGAACCAAGGGCGATGGTAAGCGTTGCCCCTGGCATCAATGGTTTACCAGAAAAGAAAGTATGACATAGGAAACAGATACGGTCTCTCGGCCGTTCGCCCGGCCTATTGATATTGGTCCATAGATATCCGATATATAAAACGGGCTCATCATAGAAGAAACGCATGGATGTGCACATGCAAGTCGACAGGTTTGCAGGATGCAGCGATGTGCAGAATGTAGAGCACAGAATGCAGAATGTAAAATACATACATACATACTGTACATACTTCGTACATACCTACGTACATAGAATGCAAGACGCAAAAAGTGTGTGGGTGTATGGATGGATTGTCATGGTTCAAGTTGTCATTTTGAAGCTTGACGGTAATAACCGGGATAACAGATAACAACTTGGAACTTACCTAACCTAGACGTACAATATGCAGCCAATGTAAGGAGTCAGGGGGTTCGTCGGTGTTGGACTTGTCACCGTTACGGTGTACAAGTGATATTTTTAATGTACATCCAATGATCCATGGAATCATGGATACATTGGGTAGTTAAGTGCTATGCATAGTACAGACTCCAGAGAGTATGCTAGAATGGATTAGATGAATTAGTTCATATTCAGGGATGCCACATGCGTGCAAATACATACTGAGCCAAGTGGGCCTTGCGTCCTATGAGATCCTCGTCATTAGAAAAACGCCGATAGCATCCTGAGGGCTACCATCAGCAACTTAGCTGCTTGGCTGCTTAGAAGCATGGGGGGGAGGGATGTTTTAGGGCTTGTATAGTTGTACTATTGTACTCGGTATGTAATTGTAACGAAGTTCGGCTCCAATAGCGGGAGATTACCCAGATGAAATTGAATAGTCGACCGTGTTCGGAGACGAAGCATTGAACATGTGGTGACGAAGAATTCTTTTTTATAAATTGAAAACGCGTGTACGTACATACAGTAGATACTCCGTACTGTGCTATCCATATCGAAATCGTTTCTAGAACATCAATGTGTGTGTATTTGTGTATTTGTTTATGTACATGATGTATGTACGGGTCAAAAAAGGTGGTAGGAATGTGACGTATCAATGGATGAAATTTTTTTCAAGGTCACGATCTGCTTTCAGGGTTTATGGCGTGGTAGCACAGCAGGAATACCGTGTGGTGGCCGGAAGGTTCAGTACCTTAATCTAGGTAACTGGGTACCTAAAATGTAACGTGAACGAATTGATAGTTACCATTGATTCAATTTGATTGATTGAATTGAACATTTGAACCACAACTCGATTAAACTCGATTAAACTCGATGAATAAAACCAATCCACATTTTTGAACAATAAAAAGGCTCGGCAGAAAATTAAGCTGCGAAAACGGGTCAAATATTCCCCAGAGAAATAATAAAAGAAACCCAAACTAAAATGGTTCAAGGTTAGTGTCAAGTTACGTAACCCTGTGAGGCAACTTCTCCAGCTTCATACATGAATTCATGCAGATCAAAACGATTTATTAATCTTGTCAAAAGGGAAGGAAATACCCAACATTTAGGTAACACATACCAAGTGACTCTGCCAAATTGTGCCAAATTGTGCCAATATTGATACATTTCCAAAAGTACCTGTCCTCAAGTATAGAATAGCCTAGAAATATAGGACTAGGTACTCCAGACTTCAAATGATGTTGACTCCACTCCTCTTAACCTTACTCAGCCCCCCTCGCCGCTCCGCTTCCTGTCTATCATTCTATCGGACCAAAGGCGCCTTTGCTCCACCGTCCTGTCACCCTGTCACCGTCTTGGCTCCCAGACTCATCGGCGCTCTGGTTCGGGATAGCGATGCTGACGACATGATCTCGTGAGGTTTTACAACAAAGTAGCATTTCTCGAAAACCCATTGGATGTCTAAGCCAGCAGTTTTCTCTTGACTCCTTCGCATCGATCGCTTGCCTCCGGCTCATTCATACGTGGAAGGGAAAGAAGAGAAAAGAAGATTAAGAACGAAATCACGATTACGCAATGATCGAGATCCTTTTGTCCCAGCTATCTGATGCCAAGTTCGAAGGCTTGGGGCCTGGACCGTGGGACTTGAGCCACAGGAGCATCTCATTTGTACTTCTAGATCTACGCTGGGCAGTCAGCTAGTAGGCAGCAGACCGGACGGACGGTTTACTTATATGGTATGCTATGGGATGATGGTGATAATGATGCCTGTCTGTCTGCCCGCTGCCCGGGTGGAACGCTGGCGTTCGATCTTTCACAAGCTGTTGGTTTAGTTAATCGACTAGCACCATCGGTGATATCTGTTTGGGTATCGCTAAGCGACACCCAGCCGCATGTATGGATGTCGTTGAATGCGGGGAGAAGCGATTATCTACTGATCTACTGTACCTGTTTCCATAAGGCTACTACATATGTATGTTATGTAGGTATCAACTATCAAGGGGTATGTTTGAATATGTAAGTGCGCATTCCTTCCTTCCTTCTTCCCGCCCCGTCTATCAGTTCGTATCGGAATATTCAGGAATTATGTTTCCTTTTCTCCCTTTTTTTTCTTTTTCTTTTCTTGGCCCTATTTTGGTGTATCTTTCCAAGGGATAAGAAAAACTTGGGATCATGGGTTGACTTAAATTAGCTTCATTAAGGTTAGATCACTCCGCAGTGACAAGCAACGACTTCGAAACTAAACCCAAGAATGTCCTAGTCAGGCTCACCTCTTCATTTCCAACCCCGGAATAGTTGGGGCCCCGCAAGATTCGTAGCATATTTCCCCTCCTTCCCCGATATATCCAGATATGCAGATATATAGGTACCATCGAAAAACTTGTACAGTACGCTTGCGTGCTTGCATGGTTTTCGATCTCAAATTTGTTGGTTGGCGACCTGAAGAAGAAAACGTCCAAGAGTTGAGCCTAAAACCCTCCCACGCATATCTTCTTCACATCTCATTGGTCAATGACGGATATCTCGAATTGGTATCCCGCCTCACATCCCTCAGCTCGGGGTACACCGTCATGAGATCACGCCACATTAGTATAATCTAGATGCTCAAAGTTGAGATACTGTATGTACAAGTGCTGGCAAAAAAACAAATACCTACATATCAGAACAGCACTCGTATGCTTCCGAGCCCTCATATCCGCGCATAAAGTCAAACGAGTACTGTATAAAGTTAGGCGATCCGATTACCGGAGGGCCTTTTTTTGCTCGAAAGTGCGAGGGTCGTCTTATACGGGCGGCGGCAAAAATAAAAAGACGAAGCAGCATCTGACAAAATCTGCTGACCAATCAATCGTCAGGTATGGCTAAATCATCGTGAGCTTTTTCGCCCCATCAATTGCAGCTCTATGCTACGCTAGCTTGCGCCCTGGGGGGTATTGAAGACTTTGAAGTAGGCGTTTACTAGAAGGAAGGTAGATATGCGCTCATCGATTCGGGCTACTATACCGCCGGCAAGTGTCTGCGGCTCTCCCATACAAGCCCGGGGCTCGGGGTGTGTGTGACGGGGGAATACGGAATACCGAAGCATTTCCGGGAGATACAAGTCCAATATATTCGTTGCATCCATGTTTTAAAAACCGGGCCAGGAAGATCACCAACTGAAGCTCAGCCAGCGCCGGGTAGTTATCTAACTTATCTTCATCCTCGAGATCCGCAAAACTTATCTTTGGTATACCCTATCCATACAACTAGGTAACTATCCTAGCCGCCCGTGTCTACCGAAGAGAGAAAAATGCCGATAGGCCCAGAGCCGCCTCTCGTTAAACTACCTAGGTTAGGTAGATACTCAGTGCCAGGACAAAATTGCGAACACTTAGCCGGAAGGCAACTTCGGGTTCCAACTCAGACGGTGATCCATATGATCGACAACCGCCAATCTGCCAAACCACAAGCTAATGATAGCTTCTTCTTTACACGCGTCAGGCAGTTTTAATTATTATCTTTCTCTTCGAAAAAAAAAACCCCCCCTTCCCGCCCCAAAACACCACCGTTTGATAGATATCGGTGGGACCCCGGGCCCAACCTTGAAAGCTCGAAACCGCCCGCCTAATGGACAAATTAAAAGGGGGCATTTCCGGACCTGTATTCCTTCCTCGATCTCGATTTGGCATTCTTCATTCCTACCTATCTACCTACTAGGTACCTACCTTCCTACTACCTAGTTAACATCTCCAAACCTGCGCCTTGTAACAACTATATAGACTCGGGAGATAAGTAAAAAAAATAAGTGGTTTGTTTGCTTATCTTTTGGCGGGTAATATTGACGAAGGACACCTGCCCCATATCGGATTAATTGCTCCCTCCAGTGCCTACCTCTCTAAGATTTGCATTTGCATTCAAGAGCTTATCGTCCTTCCTAGAAGGCTAAAATGCTTCACGATAGGTACGTTTCATCCTACAGCGAAGTACAATGGTTATCAAAGGGTTTTATTTTCTGAGGAGGGCTCCAGGTGTGATGGTTCACTCTACGAAGTGCTACCGTAGCAGCCCGCTTGGGTAAAGGCTATCATTTGGAGTCGTTTGTTAAACTTCATGATTGCTGCATTTGTATCTGAATAACCCATATCCATAACTTCCTTCATGCCCCGGTTCCCACAGCGCTGGTATCATTAGGTAGGTAGTCTCGTCAGTGACATCTGACTAGCCATCCGCACAAAATACAGATATTACGAATGCAATGCAAGCTTCCCCGGGTTATTCTCGAGCCCACTATAATAGGTACCTGGACACCTAGTTGTTACCAGGCCAAGGGCCTTGACTCGTGTAGAAATCTTCTAGACCACCTGCGTGCATCCTACTGCACAATGCATCCGATTATGTCTTCTTCTTCCTTGCGAATCTCCCGAAACTCATCCTCGGTGACATGTAGCCACCGCGAGAGTACAGTAGTGAGAGCCCAAACCTCGCCGGAGATGAGGAGTCTGGCCATGTCTAATAAAATGATGTTGAGGACTCCCCGGGGAGTAAGACCTCCTAGAAAACTCCCGTCACACATGCCGTCATATGGAAGGCCTCTTCTGCGGGCAAGAGCCCTTGCCGCAATGGGAATTGCATGGGAGTCCAAGGGCATTAACAATATATTCGTCATGAAATCGGCGAGTATGTCCGCCGCAAACGTGCTTGGGAGACTGGTAAGAGGGTTCACGATATAAAGGGGTGCCTCTCTTGGTTGTTGCCGGGCATCCCCTGAAAAGCTTGGTCGCAGTTCGGCAGACCATACGCCAGTAGGCGGTTCAGTGGATTCGCTAGTATCGACATCAAAGCTTATTAGAGTCGGGTTGACCATCTCGGCATCTTCTTCGTCTGTCGCATAGTCTTCTCCGCCGCGGCTCGAAAACGTGCCTCGTCTTCTAATCGATCCCACTGGGATGGTTTCTCCGCTGGGCTGGTCCAAAGCCAATGAAGTTGGAGCATCTGCTTCAGGAGTCTGGTGCCTAATCTCCTGATCGGCTGCCCCTAAAGTCGGCGACTCTGGAATAGCCTGCCGTTGAGGTGAACTAGGAGGCACTGATGCCCGGTTGTTCGCAGGCGGACTAAAGGGCCGTGGCAAGTGCTCTCGTATGCGTGACCTCAAGAGGGTGCATACTGACTGCCAAAAGCGGCCACATACATAGAATGTAGCGTAAGGGGCTAGGTTCACCACAATCTTCCCGATCCAGGTAGAGATACCGGAGACATCCAGTGACTCAAGCGGGGGAGGTGCTGGAAATGGCGATGAGCTAGAAAATGGTATAAAGAAACTAGGACTGGGAAGCCACTGGGAAGCGGGAATCATGTCTAAACGCTGCATGGTGAGGAATAAGTGTAGATGGAAGCGGATGTATTCTATAGCACCGTCGATTCTGGAATATGTTAGCTAACCTGGATGTCCTAATATCCTGATTTCCTGATTTCTTGATAAAATGAAGTAGTGAAGTGTTGCCAAGAAGGTAACTTACAACGGATGCCCTCTTTTCATGAATAGCTTGAGTTGTCTAGAAACTAAACGTAGACTATACATGCTCATGTAGCATGGATAGCCAGCAAAACATAATTGCAGAAGAGAATGGCGTTCGCACTCGTTCTGCAACAGTCGCAAGAATGACACATCAGCACGTCTCTTATACACCAGGATGCGTCGTTGTATGTTGAGGACACCCCAGGTGCTTAATACACCAAGCGAGGCGCCAAGTTGGTGCAAAATGATTCCTGTGTCGCTCTCGTACTCGTGGTACTGCTTTGCTATTTCTAGGTCGGCGGCGCTGATACCACCGTTTTCAGGCTCGGCAACTCCAATAACTTCCATGACCTCATTATGGGCCCGAATAACATTCTTGATGATATCCTTAGTCTGGTGGTTTACAATACGTCCTGTTTCATCGTACTGCTTCTCGGGCTCATGAGGGTCTACCTCACCTTCCCCCTCCACGACGTCATCGTAGGGGGATCGTCCCTAACAACGTTTATAAGTATTCAAGTGATGGAGAATATAGACCATGGGCTAAATGAATATGAAAAACAATGCTTCGAAGTTGAAGGCTTACCAGAGCTAGGGACGTTAAAGGCCCGAGTCTTCCCATTATAAGAAGAGGTGCATTTGACACGTTATCATCGGTAGTGTACCTGGGTTCGGTAAAATATCAACCTAAATATGAAATGGTTGATAGCAGAGCTCTATGATCCCTAGGGAACGAGACAATTTATTCTTGAACATGGAAACATTTATAAGATGACAAGAGAAAATGCATAGTGTCCATGGCATTGAACATGGTTGAGTTTTGAAAGTTTGAGGCTCTTTCGTATGTAGGCTGGAGGTATGTACTAGGTAGGTGCCTACCGGTAATATGTACCTGTACCTAAGGTAGCACTAACTTTAGGGTAGTATGCGTCCTAGAGCTATGGACGGGATCCAGCAATGCGCTTGCTGGCTGGTGAAAATTCAATGTTGGAAGCTGAGAGTGGTACCTAGTACCTAGTAACTACGGTGTACCTATGTAGGTACTTCGTATAAGCATGTATAAAAGTGGGACCGGCTACTGTAGGTACAGATTACTTGCATCTACAATTTCTTTATCGTTATCGCTTCATAAAAATTTCGAAAACATTTCTGATATTTGAATGATTTTGATGTTACTTATATCTATATCTAAACCTATCAAAATCCCCGAAGATGGCCAATAAAGCGCCCTTCAAGACAACCTTCGAAGCGACTGAAGTGATACGGCCTATATTTACTGGTGGTGGTGCCGCACTAGAGAATGGCGCAAGAATACTCGCGACCACTCTTGGAGAAGACGCTGTCTTGACCGACATCAAGACTGGGAAACACATTACAACAGTTGAAGGAGTTCGTGCTTAGCCATTCTTACACCGAGACACACTATCAAACATCTTTACTGACATATCTGCTGGCTTATAGGATGGAGAATCAATATCCACCCTAACTTGTGAGCATCAAAGCTTCTCAAGATTCAAGCATGCATAAGCTGATTGTCTAAACAGTAACACCTTCTGGATCTCACCTCATCATATGTTCTCGCTCGCTGTCTATGCGAATATACTCCCTAAAGAAAACGGCCGATTCGATAGAACCACAATTAGTACGATCTTTAAAGCCTCACGGCAACCCCGTCGTCGTTCTCGCTGTCGATCGAACTAGTACACTTCTCGCGACTGGAGGGACTGATGGGTCCATCAAAGTTTGGGATATCAATGGCGGTTATGTGACGCATACATTCCGCGGGCCTAGCGTTTTAGTGTCCGCCCTCCATTTCTTCGAACTTGCTGCGAGCTCCGCCAATGTCCCGGAGAATGGTATTGCAAACGACAAAAAGACGAGGAGGAAGTCGAGGGGCGTAGTTGAAGATGTAGCAGAAGAAACGCCTTCCACAACAAGATTTCGACTTGCTTCAGGAAGTCAAGACGGAAAAGTTCGAATATGGGATCTACATAAGAGGAGTGTAGTGGCGAACCTTGACTCTCATGTCTCGGATGTCCAAGGCTTGGATTATTCTCCAGCGCAAAATACGCTGGTGACTGCCAGTAGGGACAAAACGATCAGATGGTGGGATACTAAATCCTGGAAAGTGCGCAAAGTGATCCCTTGTTTCGAACTCATCGAGGCAGTTGGCTTTATCGGGGACGGTCAGCTTACTTATACTGCTGGCTCGAACGGATGCCTACGCCTATGGGTCACAGATAGTGGCCGCGAGCTCACCAAAGAGCAAGCACCAAAACCCGAGACCGAAGCCTTCGTTGGAGCTCTCTATCAACCGGAACTGCCTTTCATAGTCTGCATCCAAGTGGATCATACACTGTCTCTCTTCGATGTTTCTTCCATGGCCCATAGCTCATCTCAAATCTCGCCTCCTGAGCCCTTTCGCCGCATCTCTGGAACCCACGACGATATTATAGATTTGCGATATCTACTCCCTGACCATTCTGCGATGGCTTTAGCAACCAATTCTGAAGATATCCGAATAGTTTCCGTGGCTCAGCCAAACTCTGACCCGAAACCCCTAGTGTCTTCTGAATATTTTGGCCAAGATATCGCCCTTCTCAAAGGCCATAGTGACATCATCATAGCTCTTGACGTTGACTGGTCTGGACATTGGGTTGCTACAGGCGCGAAAGATAACACAGCAAGGCTATGGCGAGTAGATCCGGCTAACAACTCTTACATATGCTGGGCTACCTTCCCAGGCCACGCCGAATCTGTCACGGCGGTAGCGTTACCCAGGACCGGACCAGTTGAAGGCTCCAGGGCTTTTGCGGATCCACTCAACAATCCACCCCCATTCCTAATAACGGGATCCTCTGATCAAACCATCAAGAAATGGGAAATACCCCGAGATCAACAACAAACCCCAAAATCAACTCTTAGAGCAGTCTATACTCGAAAGGCCCACGACAAGGATATCAACGCTATCGACATCAACCCTCAGTCACGTTTGTTCGCCTCGGCCTCCCAAGATAAAACGGTGAAAATTTGGGCTACAGAAGAAGGAGAAGTCCAAGGTATCCTTCGAGGTCATCGACGAGGTGTATGGTCTGTCAGTTTCGCCCCCCACAACACTCCGGTACTTCAGGGTGAGCAAGGCTCCGTAGCTGGAAAGGGTGTGGTCCTCACAGGAAGTGGTGACAAAACTGTCAAAATATGGAATCTTACAGATTACACATGTTTGAGGACGTTCGAAGGGCATTCAAACAGCGTCCTCAAGGTGGTATGGCTTAACATACCACCTAGCGAAGAGCGTGGTAAAAAGCCCATCCTCTGTGCCAGCGCTGGCGGAGACGGTCTTGTGAAGGTTTGGGATATTAATAATGGAGAAAATGAGTGCACGCTGGATAATCACGAGGACCGAGTTTGGGCACTTGCTGTCCACCCCGACACGAATATGATTGTCTCTGGTAGCGGGGACTCGACTGTTTCATTCTGGAAGGATACCTCGAGCGAGACGCAGATTGCCTCCAACGAAGCAGCCCTTAAGCGCATCGAGCAGGAACAAGAACTCGAGAATTATGAATATGTTGGGGCATACCGTGAAGCCATCGTAATGGCGCTTCAGCTGAACCATCCAAGGAAACTTCAAAGCCTCTTTGAGCGAGTGGTCAATACAAAAACGCCGGATGCCGGAAGCTTCTCAGGTCTCAAAGCCGTCGACGAGGCTTTGGGAGCCCTGTCTGACGAGCAACTATTCTTGCTCCTCCTGCGGTTAAGAGACTGGAATACCAACGCCAGGACGGCGACAATGGCCCAGCGCATTTTGTGGACCCTAGTCAAGAGTTATCCCGCGTCGCGTCTGTCCAACCTATCCGTCAAGGGCGCCCAGGGCCAGAAGAGCTTGAAGGAGGTCCTGAATGCGCTTAAAGTGTACACCGAGAGGCATTACAAACGCATGGAAGAACTCGTAGAGGAGAGCTACCTGGTGGAGTATACCCTGCAGGAGATGGATAGCCTTGCGCCGAGCTTGACGAATATGAGGTTGATGGAAAATAACGACGTGGACGTTGTGATGACGGTTTGAATTACCTAGGGTATATATATATATATTAACATTGCATTTCGGAAGACTTCGATCACAATCTAGAGAGTATATGGATATTGCATTATTGTGTTCATTCTAAGGTATCTACTAATATCATCCTGTCGTAATATGTGCAGTCCTCATTTTGCTCTAACATTTCCTTCTGGTAAACGTACCTAACACCAGCTCTTTCTCTCTCTCATATCTAGGTATATAACAAGTCTATGACTGATATACAACGCAGGCAAGGTAGGTACCTATACACAAGACAAAACATGTGACACATCCCTAGGTAGGTAGGTAGGTATTCAAGCAAAGACCGTCTTCAACACCTTAACCGCCTGCTCATTCGCCATGAACAGGATCCCCCCGGCCATCACCGTCCTCCCCAGCCGCATGACCGTGCCCCTCCAGAACCCCCTGACCCCGTCCTCGGCCAGGATGGCGCGCACGCACTCCCGCGTGCCGACGGCGCGCGCCTGCTGCGCCTTCGTCTTCACGGTGTCGAACGGCTGGGTGGCGAGCGTGGTCAGCGTGCCCGCCAGGGCGCCGTTGCCGAAGCTGGCGGCCGCGCCGTCGACGTCCGCCACGAGCCCCGAGGCGCGCTCCCAGTCCTTCAGCGCCGCGTACGAGCCCAGCCGGAACCCCGTCGTGCCGATCTGCTTCAGGGTCGTGGCGACGTACCCGCTGTACAGCGCGCGCCGCGGCCCCTGCTCGCGCGCCAGCAGGGCGAGGCAGTGCAGGGGCGAGCGGAAGCGGCGGCCCGTGCGCGCGTCGTCGATGAGGGCCGTCTTGAGGCGCTCGGAGGGGGTCACGACGGCGGTGGAGGCCACGATGCCGGTTAGCATGCCGGAGAAGATGGATTGGAGGGTGCCGAGGCGCTGGGTGTGGGGGTCCGGCGTGAAGAGGGAGCGGATGTAGTCGAAGACGACGAAGCGCACGGCGTCTTTGCCGATGGAGCCCTGGGGGGTGGGGTTAGTGCGGTTGGGAGTCTGGGTATGAAGGTTGTGTGTATACACGGTTTGGGGGTTAGGTAGGTAGGCAGGTACTCAAGGAGACAGAGAGTCATTGTGCTGCTAGAACTAAGACAACGGGTTTCACAATAGAAAAGGTACATGTACCCCCAACCCCAAGCACTATCGGTAGGTGCTGTATACACACCCAATGAAGAGCGAGGAATATATGAACTTGATAGGTTGCATTGCATTGCATTACATTGTGCATGTAAGGGTGGTAACCGTGGGGAGGACGGAAAGTAAATTGATAGCGCATGCGGTTTCAGGGATGAGCATGAATGGGGTGCTCCCTTAGAAATAGAAGCTCACTCGAGCAGGATCTGAAGCCAACTCTATGCATGACAGGAAACGGCAAGCAGATCGCCCTGCAAGCAAGAGAAGGGACTTCCCGTATTACCCCCCCCATGCGAGCTGCTGAATCAAGCAGGATGACGCGAGGCTGCTGGCTGTTGGCATTCGAGCATCAAAGGGGGTGTTGGTGTTGGGGGAATAGCGAGCTAGCCTGCCTGTCAGGAGAGAGGTTCAGCTTCCCATCCTACTCACTATTCCCAGAAAGAACGGGATACCAGCAGAGAAGAAGAAGAAGAAGAAGAAGAAAAAAATCAAGATCAAGATGAAAAAAAAGAAGTAGAAACAAGATATGATAACGAGATAAACAATAACAAGAACATACCACAATCATAGTCGAGCACCCCTTATACAGCGCGCGCACGCCTTCCTCCTTCGCGACTTTCGCCACGACGTAGAACGGATTCCTGACGCCCTCGTGCCCGTACAGCTGGACGCGGGTCTTCGCGAACTCGAAGGGGTACGTGCACGCGGCCTCGATGCCGCCCGCGATACCGCCGGCCACCAGCGAGATGGCCGGGGCCGTCTTGCCGTCTGCCTTTGCTACCATTTTTTTTAAAGGTTTCCTCCCTAAAATTCCCTTCCTCTCCTCTTCCTTCCTTTTCCTCTTCTTCACCCACTCGCTCAACTCCCCTTTGCTTGCTCACTGCTCACTCACTTACTTACCTATTAACTTTCCCTTTCTCGGCTTCCCCCCCCGTTCCTAATTGTACATTGATTGGCGTGAAAACCCCCTCACACACATACACATACACATACAAATACACATACACACACACATACATACAGACACACCCTCCCGCCTGTAATCTAATCAACCAGCAGGTGATTCGCGTACTAGATGTGCAATATATGTAGGAAGGAAAGCGAGTCGCGTACCAGGATCTCTCGCTCGTGAAACAGGAGCTAGCTAGCTAGCTAATATAAAAACAGAAAAAAAAAAAAAACGGTAGTTAACTATTAGTTGCAAGATAGGTAGGTATACAAGATATATGAACTGGACGTTACCTAGGTATAGGTAGTTACAGCAGAAGATTGGAACTTACTTACTTACTTACCGCCAAGGCCCCTAGAATCGGTGGAATCGAAACCCCCCACTGGTTCGGCCATTTGTCTATGAATGCATAGGTACCTACCTAATAAGTACATAGTAAGTAACGAGTAGTTATTGACGTGGGGGGCGGTCTAGTTATTTACTATGCAAGTATAGTGGATTCCGGGGGGAGTGGTGCTAAATCAACGTCCGCCATCGTGATCGACTTTGAGTCTTTTGGTGAATGATACCTAGGTTAGGTAGGTATTCATGCTTCCAAGGCGTCAGGCTGTGCTTCATATTGCAGTGGTTATTAAACTTACATAACTATATGTCACATACTTACATGCTAACCTACCTACCTAGGTATGCAGGTGGGTTGGCTATCCAAAAGAACTAATACCAATCTCCTAATAAGACTCCTATGCTCTGCCAAGCCCTCGTCCTATATCAACAATGCATTCACTTCACAAGTAACTACCTATAGATCTGAATTGATTGGGGTGCATAAGCTTATCCCGCTTACTATATTGTAGTATTGCGGCATTGAAAGTCGCATGCTTTCCTAGCATCACTTTGACATACTGATACATCCCAAGTCATGGGGCATTGCTAGGGTGCTATTGCTACTTAATTTACCTACCTACCTACCTACCTATGCACGACCCAAGCCAGGTGTCTGTCACTAAGATCTAAGGTCCTCTCTATACTAGGTAGGTACATAGATAGGCATGGTTTCGCGCCGGAAGTGTATGCTGGATTAATACTTTGGCTTTTAATCGGGTGCCATCGCTTGTTCATGATGCCTAAATACAAGTACCTAACGGAAGACTGCACTAATAGTTGCCAGCCTTGCTGCCAGTAGTTGACAATCAAAGATGTCCCCACCTCTTTCCGAGACATGTCGAGTTGCTCAATATACTCATGTTCAACCGTAGTTGGGAAGATTGTCCCATTCGGCATTGACATTCTCTACTTGACCGACATCAGCCCATACGTCAAGCTTCTCGAGCTCGCGCTTGAAGAAATCTTGTTCGTTACGCAATGCTTCCCTGATATCCGGTGCCATTTGGTCTGGATATCTTCTGACGTTGAACCAATGAGTCAGACTTCGCAGTGCTTGCTCCAGTGGCAGCGCTTCTTCAACTTCGGCGTCCACGTCGCTGCCTGCTAACCACTCATCCCGAAGTTCTGGCCGGCAGTGTAGGTAGATGGCAGTAATGACGCGCATGTTGCTCTGCCGCCACTTACGGCCACAGTAGGGAACTTGGTTTTTGAAAAGCTTGAGCGTATAAAGCCGTAGCTCGTTCTGTGGTACCCTGAGGGACTTGCGAATAAAGTTGGACGACTTATACTGTACCAGTAATAGATTACGATGCGCCTTATTCTTGCAAATCTTCTGCATAATTCGCAGATAGTTGATGAGAGCAAAAAAGTTACGGCGCGAGAAATCCGTAATGGGCTCCTTCGGCAGAGGGTTTATTGGATAGCCTAGTTCATCTACTTCAGGACGAGCGGGGGGTTGACCTTCAGATTGGTGGTTTGCAGCGTCGTTGTGCTCTTCGGCTACGGCTACTCGTTCTGGCGGTGATCGCCGTAGCCTAATAGGTGGCGGCGCGCATTCGTCCTCGCTTTCGTCTCCTGGGACATCCATCTCGGCTGGTTCAGGCTCAGTCTGCACCTTGTCCGTCGGGTGAGCGCGATCGTTGCAGAACTGGAAAAAGCTGTAGTCGAGGCGGTCAGTTTTGCTATCGACTACTTGCTGGATATCCTGGTGCGCAAAGAGTTTGAGGACAAGAGGGATATAATTGGAGTCCAATAGTAGCTGAGATAGATACTCAAACTTCAAGACGTCTAGAGAAAGAGTTAGCGAGCTTGAATAGAATCGTGGCTCGAGCTACATACGCGAGATTTTGAGCCACTTCATCAGCAGAAGCATAATGCCTGTAGCTGCTTTCGATTCGATTTCTCGGCATCTTGTAGCATCCAAGTCTTCCTGAGAAGGTTCGGTCCCTTCATGATTTGCCGAACTGTTAAGCGCGATCGAACTGTCTTGTGATCTATTGGTCGCAAGCCCACCATTAATACGAGGTTGGGTTCCAGGCATGGATTGTTGTTGGCTATTCATAGGCAAAACGACGGCCGCGGTGACGTTGAACAACACGCCCTTCATAAGGACGATAACTAGAGACTGTAGTTGCGGTAAAGCAGAGGACTACCAATAATTAGTCAATATCATTCAAGTGAAAACCCCCAGAGTCACTCACGTAGAAATTTTCAATGGCTTCTAGTCGTCGTCTAACATGGGAATCGACATTTGGGTCCGGGCCATAATCAATTTCAACTCCTCGAGCTTTCTTCTGTCTCTTTTCGATGGCTTCAAGGAGTTTATCATCATCGACATCGTCGCCTATAGATAAACTCTCTAGGTCTAGATCCTCAATGTCGTCATCCGAGGGGTCCCAGCCTCTCTCGAATCGTTGAAACCTTTCGCGCTCTTCCCATAATTGCCTCGTGGCGCGGGTCATCCGTACTCGTTTCGAAAATAGCTCGCCGGCTTCAAGAATGGATGCTGGCACGTCACTGCCTTCCCATCTTCGACCGACGAGGAAATCTTGCAGGCCTGCACCACCCTTGCCTCCTGCACTGTTACTGGTAGCGTCCAATGGGGGATACATGAATGGAAAATTTTGGTTTGTTTGGTAATTTTGCTTTTTGCCTCCTTTCCCACCGGCTGCAGGGGATGGTGGAGGAGAGGGCGCCGGAGTAGCGATATGAACGGGTTGATGCAAGATCGATGCCCCTCCACTCTGCGTACCTGGAGGAGCGGGGAGTATGCCGTTTGATCCGTTGTTCCGTGTGGGATGGTTAGGCAATGGGGGTAGAAGAGAGGTATTATCTGCTTCAAGTGGTATGGCCGGCTGAGGGGGAACATAGGCAGGATATTTCGAAGTAATCTCCTGCCGAAAGACGTGATAGTCTAAAGGAGTAGCCGTAATAGTGTCTTTGTCTTTGTCTTCCGTAGCCGTCTCTCTTAGGGCCTTTTTGGTTTCTTCAATCTCCTTAGTGCCGCCAAATTCAAGAAGAATCGATTTCCACAGGAGCAAAAGTGTCTATCAAGGTTAGCAGAGAACTGCGGAAACCTCTAGGAATTGTCCTACCTGAGAAGCAGGCACAATGTTGGCTTCTTGCCACCGCAACTTGGCGGAGGCAGTAAGCATAAAGGTCGTCAATTGGGGTTGTAAATTTACTACAGCCACGATTTCGGTTAGCCTACCGCCCAGTGAGGATTTCAGCGAACTAGCACTTACGGAGCTTTTCGTATACTTCCACCATGCCATCTCGATCATTCAACGTTTCTTGTATAGTCATATACATGATAGTCATTAAGTTCATAAGTTCGTCCTGTGCCTCCGCTAGGCTACTGCCTTGTGGCCGTAAAGGTTCATCTACCCTTTGCAATAATGAGCACGCAGTGTCTTATGAGCAAGCAAGAATTTGATGAAACATACCATAATATCTCATACGCACTACGTAGAGCCGTCCAGATGACTGGAATACCGTCCCATTCCGCGATGAGCTTGATACTAGACTTCATAGCGGCCAGTTGAGTAGGAGAGGCAACATTTCGAAGCTTTGTTCTGTCGCCAGGGGGAGCGCCAGCAGTATCAGACCACCGACCCAAAATAAGATATGTTAGCCGCCCTATCGCAGCAGCGCGAGTACCGGCGTCGCTAACTTTGACTCCATCTAGGGCTTGATGGATGAACATTGTTCTGATCTCATCATCAGCCTCATCCCAAGTAATTTCATCTTGCCTTGCGGCGATGTCATGCTCCCACTGCCAGTCGAAAGCTGTTTGGGCCGAGTTCAACCGATTCCACTGACAATCTTGGTACACAAACCACTCGTCGATCTCTTCGGCATGCGGTCCAGTGTCTGAATACTCGAAGTCGTACGCAGCAGCTTCTGTACGAGGGAATTCGGATACTATGCGCCTTAGCTGTGCTAGCGAGAGCGAATCGGGAGGTTGGTTGTTCGTCGGTGGAGGCTGCGCTTGAGGAGCAGGTTGTAGTTGGTTTCGCTGGAGTGGAGGTCGCATAGATTGTCGGGCTGACGTTGCAGTTGTGTTCACAGGCCCAACATCAGCAACTCCTGTGTCTGCCACGTCTACCGGGCCCTTAGATGCATCAGTGCCATCTTCGGCAGCTCTCGACCACAACGAATTCATCGTATGAGACGTTGGGGGAGGGGGGTCTTCAGAATGCAGTATTGCCTAAGGGTGCATAACGAGGGGCAGATCGTATACAGCTATACATGTCTCTCAGAGACGAAGTGTAGCTCCCAAAGAAAGAAAATAATTATGTGCTTGGAAAGGAAGGTTTAGAAATGATTGTTGTATTGATCCGGTATCGCAGGAATATTGGTGAAGCTACGTGGGTTTGCAAACGATGCAAGGTTCCAAAAGCTATGGATCTGGAGCTTGAATATTGCACAGTGAATGTTGAACTTGAAGTGGGTAGGTCGGTGAGTACTTGGGTACTTCGTTCCTGTAAGATAAGGTTGTGGCGCGAGCTTAATACACTAGCGTGCCCGCCCAATGTACTGTAAGCTGTAGCTGGAGCCTGGTATCTTTACTGCACCTGCAACTGCAACTGCAACTGCAACTGCCAATCGTGCACATGGAAATCGCAACCGTAGCCCGGTTGGTTGTGCAAGATCTAGGTACCTATGCACCAAATCATATTGCCTACTAAGTACATACATATATAGTATGGTTAGGTACATAAGTTGAATCTATCTACCGACTTGCATAGGTACCTAGGTAGTAATACTATAAACTACTATCCCTATCACTTTGCTTGGGTTCAGCGTCATCTGTTGTCCCTTGTTTCTTCTCTCGCTCCTTGGCTCTCCGTTTCAATTTCTTCTGCCTGTTTAGTCGCTGCTTCTTGTCTTTTATATGCTGCTCTCTTTCAACAAGTTGTTGCCTCATAGCTTCTAGCTGCTCCTTCTTTGCTTTCTCCCGTACCCTTAAGATAATTCTTCGCTTCTTACCCGGCCTTTTTCTCTTCTGCTTTCCAGTTTCTGTTGTCGTAGTACGACTATCAGACCTAGTCGGGGTCCCATTTCGCTTGCTCGTCTTGATACTAATAGTTTTCACCCTCCAGGGCTTTTCGAGTCCCCATCGTCTCTTTGTAGCATCTTCAAGAAGGTAGTTTGCACTCACAGCAGCCACTTGAAACTCTTTAGCCCTGGATGATAGCTCTTCGGCCAAAAAGTACGATGTAGGTCGGCTAGGGACAACAAAGGCGCCCTCGCCATCCTTTTCATTCTCTCGAAGCTTGAGCACGACTTTACGCAAAGGCTCTTCGTCTCGAAAAAGCCTGAATGTAAAGATTTCCTCTTCAGGCTTCTCGGTAGCTCCATCGTCTGCCAGAGTCTGGTTTGCATCATCTAGGACTACTTGAGATTGCGGGGCCTGCCGTGCTCCTAAATTTGCATCCGCAACGAGATCGAGGTCTAGCAAATCGGAAAATTGCAAATTCAGTTTCTCTTGTAAAGATGAGTCCCATTGGTAATCATGTGGTGCCTCTTCATCAGAGCTAGAGTTGTACAAGTCCTCCCGTCGCACTCTTTAATGTCTATTGTTAGTTGAAAAACGGTAGAAAAATGGACCATTTTCATCCATACCGTTTAGCATCTGGGACTTCGAACATAATATCGATGATATAAGGTGTCTTATGATTGACCTTTATGTACCAGGATACCTGGGTAGGGTTGATTGAAACGTTCAATGTTCAATGTATCAAGAAGGGATCTGGTTCACAGTAGTATGCCACATGGCATGTGGAAATTAAAGAGGTCCTTATTAATTGAGGCTTAAGATTGACAAGGCAGGCTTCATGTTTCTTCAAAGCTTGGACCAACATAAAACTAAGAGATCTGATCCACTCTGCTACCAACCACCAACCACCGTGGACCACTCAGGCTGCAACATTGAACCATCAGCCACCAGCCACCACCGATAACATCATGTTTTCACTAATAGCCTAGCGCTTGTTTCATGCACGTGGATGGTCAATTCTCGTCCCGACGACCTGGGACGCCGCTAATCTTAGCTGAATCTTGTCACTACCAGTCATTCTCATCCTATACACAAAAACCTCAACTCAAAAGTAGTAACGGCCGTAGGTAAGCGTTTTGTATCACCTCAGAATAAACTAGTAGTAGTGGATCATATCCCTAGTACTTACACTTCTTACTATTTTATACATAAGAAGAAGGTACCAACTTAAGTACGTAAGGCATGTCGAAAAAGAAAGAGTGACCAACAAATGCGGCCAAGCGGGTCGAAATATAAAGGGGCTTACTTAAACTTCGCATCCACTGCTTCGCTACAGACCAGGTAGGTAGGTGGTTTCTTCTTCTTCTTCTTCTTCTTCTTCTTATTCTGGACTGTCCGTTTCCTGTCTTGCTACTAGCAGCTACACACATACCCAGCACTAGTAGGCAGTTGGGCAGCAGCTTGGACACCACAACGATGAACATTTTTATTACTTCCAGTTTTATTGTCTTTTAGCTTGCTTATCTAGTATAACTATTTCCTTACTACTTGTATTTGTATTTATCACAGTAATCGTTACTTGACAACTGATGGAGCCTCACACCGACTTATTCTCTTTTTATTTCAGCTATTTTGCTATGAACCTCGAAGCGATCCGGCTAATTACTAGTACGACACCATAATCGGTGCTAGAAGATGAGGATCGCCAAAATAGGTAGAGAAAGGGCCTTAGTTTCGATAGACGGGTATCTTAGTTTGCTATGATCCCCAGCGGCTGAAAGCTGAAAACGGGCCCTAGAGCTTTGGCATCTTTATATCAGGACTGTAGGTTCTGCATCCTACAGACAAGTTAAATTACAAGTCGTGGCCTTCTAAATGGATCAGGCACGGTTAAACCCCGACATTGGGACTAGAATGACAATGCTTTTTAAGCATCCCAGCCATCATCCCCTTTGCCAACTCTGTTGCTTCACCTAAAATATCAGTTTAACTCGACTCCTGCAGTTTCAGTTGGCTTCCTGCAGGCCCCCAAACTTAAAAGACGTTGAGATGGCCGTCGTATGAGAACATCATCTCGAAGAATCGAAGAGTCTGGTCCAAGGAACTCTATCCAGATTACTTTTCTCTTCCCAAGATCCGGACAGAAAGAAACAGAGATTATTACCGGAATTGCGACGAATATCGGTATGGGGGGTTGTTCAGGCCTCCATGCTTAACTCACGATGTAGGCAAATTTTGAATAAAACCACTAATAACAACAGATTGCCACTCCAGAAATTCCGCCTACAACGTCACATGAATCCCAGTTGCAGGAAAAAAAACAACAACAATGTGACCACTCTGCCCACTTGCTCCGGGTTGTGTGACACGTAACGACGATGGTACTGTATGGTATGGTATGTATGATACGAACGAAGGGGGGGATATCGAAAAGCAAGACAAGATGGTCTCCAACTCAAAATGACAAAAAACAGGAGAAAGAGGAACCCAACTCCGGAGATCTCAATGCCGAGCCATCTCTCTGAGCGTCCAGGTGTGTCTTATACATCCAAACGATATGGCGGAGAGGGCCGCGCTCGCTATAAGCGAAAGACACGAATGAGTATCGACATGAGAAAACTACCCAGCTCACGACCGCATCAGCAGTAGTGTTTTCTTCCCAACATGGATACACGGAGACTAACCACCCATCATCTTTTACTCCTTCCCCTATGCACCGCCACTTTCACTAACCCTATACAATCCTTCATAGGGGCGTGGAATCCGAGAACATCCCACAGCCCTTTTTCTCCCCCATCAAGCCTCGAATAAGAAAAAGAGAAAGAGAAAGAGAAATCATTAAAATAATTATACAGGCGACATTATATTTCGAGTCGCGCTTTTTTTTTTACGGCAACGAGAGCTATCGTCCCCGCATTCTCTCCCATACGCACATATCCTTTCGATGCGCCAATGGTAGAGAATGCAAAACATGTTCATTTTTCGTCAAAATTTCTGTACGTCATCTTCACTTTTATTATATCTCTTACGACCAACGATTTTACGTTGGACTCCACGAGTAATGGTTCAGGGTTGAAGCATAGCTTCCGGGAGGTGGCGGGTGGTCACTTTTGCTGGGGAATGCGTAAGGCCTGCTGCTCTCACTGCCAGCGCCACCGCTGCCGTGGTATGAGTGCACGGTAGCGCTACTATGCTCGCCTGCCGTGCTCGTCCATGACGTCGAAGGCGGGTAATAGTCGCGAGGTGGTGGCTGGTGCGATGGTGGTTGTTGATGCGACTGAGAGTGGCCGCCAGCTGACGAAGAGGCGGCGCTGGTGGCACTTGTGGCAGCACCAGTATTACCGCTATCGGCGCTGTATGTCGATGCCGAGTTCAGCTCACTCGAATTGCTGTTTACGGGCACATAACCTGAAGGACCGTACCGGTACTCGGAACTGTCGTTGTTGTTATTCATGGAGCTGCTGCTAGGAACGGATTGGTGACTAGCATGGCGTGGGCTCTTTGCTGGCCGTGGGTTCGAGTCTACGTATCTCGGTACACTCAAGTTGCCATGATCCGAGCTACTACCCATCGACGTCGTCGTCACTGAAAGCTGCGGTGGGGCGGAGGTTCCCTGGACGTACGCGTACTGCGTTCGAATCGCTGGTGGTTGCTGCTCGGTCGCAGCTAGTGATAGCTGCATCGATGGCATGGAAGTCTGCATGGGCATCTCCTGCGGTTCTTGCGAATAATTCGAGGTTCCTGAAAGCGGCATCTTCTGGTACGAATCGGCTGGTATGCTCGCTGGTGGGTAGCTGGCTGTAGCTGAAGTTGGCATTCCGGAAAGGGGTAATTGGCTAGGAGGGTTCCAACTCGGGTATGAACTTGAAAATTTGTCAGCCCCTATATTCAACACGGATCAAATTACCAGGTTCCCCGTCTACCTGCCACGGTTCATTATGTACAGTTGTGGTGGTTAGGGATTCCAGGCCGTATCCTGAATTCGAAACTGGATGGGAAAAGACCTACTTGGATCGCATAGTCATTGGACTGCCAGGGAGCTTCGACGCGTTAAAGGTAAAAGCTGTCCTGGGCAGTTCCAAATTTAAGCCTCGCAGCTTTGGATCCTGAGCCTTTACACTCAAGGGACCCGCGACAATTCCGAGCCCCGTCTCAACTAAAGCCTGTCCTCGCGAGCCAGCGCTAGATCCTAGCAGGGGAATCTCCTTTCGGGCCTGGAAGTTTCGTGGACTGCGACCTCGAACCACAATGGGCGCTGTCGTGGATTCTGTCAGGACAACCTTCGATCCATTTGCCAGCGTTCCCACCACTTTTAGATGTAGCACAAAGTGCTGCTGAAGTTCTTTCCGTCTCCCGTTGTTCGCGGTCGCTCTGCAAAGTATAGGTCAGTACGGGGCTTTCTCGTCCAAAGCCTCAGTAAGCCACACGGAAAAGGGGGGGGGGCGAAAATAAGTAAGCAGCATACATTCTAAATTGCAAACGCCGCCACCCGATGGGATAAACGGCGTACTCTCCCTCTGCTTCTTGTCCATCGTCTGGGAATGGAATCAATGGTAACGAAGGCGGCTCCTGATCTGGGGTCTGTGGGAGTTCGGGAGAATTTGGCGGTGGCGTTTTCCAAGGGATAACAATGAGCCGTACAGGATGACCGTCGACCGACTCAATCGCGGAGATAGTAACCTCGGTGCTGTTCACGGGGACGGTCTCGCCCGTCTCGGGAAGAATCACGGAGAGCTGGCCTCGCGGTGTAATAAGCGAACCACTAATCTGGAATAGGTTCCTCCGGTAGCACGTCAGCTCTGGCTGTAGAATTGCGCCGTCGCTCGTGCTTGATGGCATTTCTGAAAGAAAGAACATTCCATGAAGTTGCGCCGTCAGTTCAAGCTGTTGCATTCGCCCATGCTGGTCAACTATGGTGTGCTTATCCTGGACCCTCCGGAAGGAGAGCAGCTTGTGGTCGTGGTTTACAGTGAGTTTCGATCCGTCGTCTCTTAGATCCTGCACAATCTCCTGGTACGGCGGGTGCTCGCCAGGCTGGTGCGGCCTCTTCAGGTTAGGAAAACTGTGATGCTGAGTTAGAGAAGGCTGAGGGTATCTGTCAAATCCATCGGACTCCTCCTGTGGGTATCGAGGATACGGGTAAGGGTGTTCGATGGTGGGGTGACTACTTCGTGGCCGCCCCGGATGCTGCGATGAAGTTGTCGATGAGTGCGAAAGGTTCGAGTCCATGGTATTGGAGAACCGAGTTGATAAGGGCACCGGACCGCCATAGTTCGGCCAGAGACTACTATGCACTGGCTCCGGCTTCAACTCTGCCATGGTCGCCGTCAAAGTGGTTGTGGCTGACATGAGAACCTGTGTCCCGTTCGGCTCCCAGTACCTCTCCTCGTGCGCCGCCGGCGATTAACCAACACGCTCCTATCGCTTCTTTCTATGATCTTTTTTATTTATTCCTCCTCTCCGACAAAACGATTATGCTCAAAACATCCAACTCAGCGGTAGTGCGATGGGTTGAGTGATGTTCAAGCTACTAGTTGGCTAAGTCCAAGTTCCCGTTGAAAGGCTAACACCTTGGTAGAGGCGGGAAAGTCTTTCCTTGTAAAGGTAGGTGAAGTCAGAATAAAGTGAACGTTGAAAGAAGGTAAGGTTGCAGGCCGAAGTATACTTGTATGGGATGGAACGAGATACGGTAGGATAGATGTTGCCTCTGAGGGGACTGTTTTGTGCAGCAGGTCGGCATTGTCCACTACCCTGGGGGGCACGTTTAACGGTTAACGGGTCCTAGCCAAGCGGAGGTCCAGGTCCAGGTTGAGGACAGTCAATGAGAGCGCCAGAAGTGACTTGGGGGTCGGTCTGGTACAGAGACTTTTAGTACAACTGACATGGGTTTTAGAATACAGTGCATGCAGCCCGACTGGGAAGGAGAACGGAGCTAATGGCGATCTGGCTGGGGGAAGATACAGGGCCCCCTTCAATTCTGACCGGGACTTGGTTGATAGGCCCCAGGGCAATATCGACAAGAGCTTATTTCTCCAGGCCAACGAAGTACTTTATCAAGGAACTTTTTATTTTAACTCTCTTGCAAGAACAAGATCAAGATCAAGATCAAGCAAGGAAGACGAAGACGACGTTGGATTCACTATTCCCACTCCTACATACCAAGGAAGATGAATAGGTACCTACTTCTATCGATCTACATCAAAAGCGACAAAACCAAGGTCATGATAGTTAACATATCTATGTAGGTACAGTACAGAAACATAACCAGAAGTTTACTAGACCGAGCTGAGGATATGGGAATGAATGTCGGTGCAATACTAACCTAGCTAACTAGATTGTACTGTACTTCACATTTGTACACTTGATAGACTACGCTGCCCCATAATAACCTTCATCTGTCTGCCGACTTGGACAAGGGCTAATTACAGAGGTACGTTGGCCTTTGTACTCCAACATTACACACCTCCGGCAAACAAGGGCCTGGCCACTGTGGATGAAAATGACGGCAAAGCCTTGCGTAGAGGCGTGAAGTGTGTAAGGTTAGTTACTTAGTGTATGTGTGTGTGGATGGATGGAGGGGGGACGGAGTAGGCAGGTAAAGAAGAAAATAGAGCATGGATCATATGGAGGCACGCAGAACCTATCGACAAGAGGCTAGCTCAAGAGCCATTCAAGAGCGATTTCAAAAAGAAAAGCCCCCCTTGTTAAAATAAAAAAAAAGCCCCTCCACGCAAGCTCCGTCCATCCAATGCCTGCCCTGGCCCCCAACAGGGAGGTGACTGATTAGTTACTGATTAGTTAGGAAATCCTCCGACAAGTCTTTACTAGGAGGTGCTAGAGCCTAGGAGGTAAGAGGAGGAGACCCGCTCTTTTCTAGAAAGACCGTTGGACATATCCGCCGACGAAGAGCAAGAAGGGAAAGGCGCGAAAGCATGGGGGGTTGGTGGGCAAGTCATTACGGTACAGTAAAATATTCGGTTCACGAGATTGCTTCTATGTGCCTAGTCGACCAGGGCCCCAAAGGGGGGGGGGGAGGGAGAAGGAGGGTGTGGCGGGGATCCAGTAAGCTCGCTTCGCAAAAAGCGCACATGAGTTTATTGGAGCCCTGGTTACCTTTTCTTGACGCATCTACAGTATCTTATGTCTATGTCTACTAACTATTATGTAGCACATACAAATGTAGGACTTGGTAGGTAAGTAGGTAGGTATGGATGGATGGATGGATGGAAGTATTCATACCTAATTGGGAAATACAGTAGCCTTCGTGTTCTTGTTTCTTGCGCCGGAAGGGGAGAAATAGAGAAAAAGAGAAAGGCTGCTAGTGTCGATGCCGCTGCCGCTGCCGCTAATAATGCTTGCTTGATTGCTAATGAAGCTCGTCGCCGCCTTGTTAATATCAGGCATTCTAATATAGGGGGAACTAAGATGCGATACGATAGCCTTCGGACGATGAGCCGAAACTGGATGATGGGGAGATGCAATAGAGGGCGAGACGAATGCCAATATCAAGGAATCTCGCTTGCGTGTGTCCGTTTTTTTTTCCATCTGGACGGCTTTACAGCGAGAAAGACCCGAGATGAAGGCAGGTCGAATTGTCATCAAAGGGAAGGAAGAGGATGTGTGGGCCGAGCGCGTGCAGTGCAGATAGTTACTGATAGTTACAGATACAGATACAAAGGCAGCTGGAGATGCATAGAATAATATCATTACATGATATTAGTTCAAAGTCGAACTTGTCAAAGAGCGATCCATATCACGGCAGTATTTGCAATCCATAGCTACATATGTAATAGATTATCTACATACCTAGTTAGTTAATTACTAGGTAGGTAGGTAGGTATGGCAGGTTATTATGTAGGCTGGGTAAGTAGATAGATAATCAATAGCCTTTTACATCCATAACTCCATAGTTACTATCCATCATACATATCCATACACACGCGCGTGTATCAGGTAAGGCGCAAAACACGCACACATAAGCAAGACGCAAGAGGAATATCAGGGCGGGCGGGTTCCTGAGAAAATGCGGAGGATAGCAATATACATACATACATACAGATCACGACGCATCCAGCACATTCCCGATTTGGATCAGCGTCGTCTACTGCCTACTACATACATACATACAGTACATGTACATGATCCACTGCTGGACAAACCCGGCACGCCACTTCGGAGGGCCATGTAAGCTTTTTTGGGAGGGTAGTGTAGTGTAGTGTGGTGTAGTTAGTGTACCACAGCATCTTCATCAATGTATGTGTGCGAGTGTGTGTGTGTGTGTGTGTGTGTGCAAATCATTCAATAATAGGACTTTTACAATCAAATCTAAGCATAACTACCTACCCTAACTTACATATATAGGGTACCATTTCGAGAAAGAACTGGGTCCATTATCTCTTTTTTCTTTTCCACTCAAAGCTCGCCCGCTTCTTCTTCTCATGCTGAACGTTTTAGTTAATAAGAGGTATTAAAGGAAATTCATGGATTGTATGTATGTGGCGCTTGATTGGCGGAACATTGTTGGTGAGCTCGGTAGGGAGGTAGTTAATAGTGATCAGAATATGTAGGAAGGTATGTAGAAGCGATAGGTATTGCTCAGCTACATACCTATGCCGATTAGGATACATACTCCAGAACCAGACTGGTTGATGTTCTGCGAGAAACATCATTGATGTGCAATATATACATATACATACCTCCATATGATATTATACTACATAGGTAGCTAGTTACTTGGTACCTACGAGTATGACTCTTCGTCTTCAATGCACGGCTGCGCGCCCGCCTGCCCGCCTTATGTGTCGAGTTCTTTTTAGCAAAGCAAAGCAAAGCAAAGGCAAGCAACAACCTCGCTTGCGTTTGCAGTTCAAGATTCGTCGTCTCATTCGACCCTCCTTTGCCGTGGACGGGTGCGTGCTTTGCCTTGCCTTGCCTTGCCTGCCTGCCTGTCTACCTGATGTCTTCTTTCTTTTTAAAAATAGAACTCATATTGATTACTTCTATATGTATTGTAACTGTGTTATATTATAGAAAACAACAGAAGAAAAAGGGAAAACTGTCACCCACACACACACACTCACATATGCGACCCTCCCCCCCCCCCTTCGATGTCTTGTCTCTCTCAAAAGTGAAAAGCGATGCAGGTGATATCAAAATTGTCAATGTGACGATGTTGGTGGTAGACGCCCTCCATCGTTAAACGCTTCTTTGTGATTTTGGTTCGAACGAAGGTCTTCGTTGGTGTATTATATTATATTAGTTATAGGTAGGTATATGTATGTATGTATGTATTATGTATGTATGTAAGTATTATTAATAACTAACATTGAAGTACTGTAAGTTGGATACCTACACACATGTCTATGAACACGCCTCTCTCTCTCTCCACACAGGGCCCTTGTCGTCGCTCCAGTTTCGGTTTATTTTCTAATCTGATGATAATGTTATGTATCATGTTCGTATCAACATGGTCAGTGGTTTGGTTTGGTTTGGTTTGGTTTTAAGCCAGAAACGAGTCAAACGACTAGGGGTTATTTTATTATATGCAATGTACAATAAGAAGGTACCTATAAAAAGGGAAAAATGAAGCCGGCAGATCGCGCTAAGACCCAAGATGATGATGTGTGGACTGATTTGTTACTACATAGAACTATGTACCTAGTAACTACCCTAGCCTAGGGTATGTACTATGTATTGTAGTACCGTATCTTGCGGATTCTTGCCTCCTCCTCCACACACGAAAGTGACTAATAACTATGTACATAGTAACTCTGGCTACTCTTACTATGTACCTACTAGGGCTGGCCCTTGCACAAATGGGCGGAGCGCCGAGAAGCTGACAAGGACCAGGTTGGTAACAATCCGTCAGGGGAAATGTTACCGGACATTTTCCCTTCTTTCTCTTTTTTCCCAAGCGCCATACTTTAAAGCCATACATGCCTATAAGGTACCTGTAAAGTACCCTACCTAGGGTAGGTAGATATTAGAGATACAGTAGTATTGGGAACCATACTATTATGTAGTGATGATTTCGCCGCAACATTTCCATGTATGTACTACCTATGTATGTATGACTACTAGTTACCACCACTACCACGATGACTACCAGACCACATGGTTTGGTTGCTTCCAAGCCCTTACCCCCCTTCCAAACTGGGTACATTTCACGGCAGTCAAGATTTCCCCTAGATCACAAACCACTTTACAGACTATAACATTACCAGCTGTTACTTAATACAAGATTTGTAGGTAGTTAAGTCTTGATGATACTTTCAGATGAACCATTTATTACTTGTTTTCCTATTTCCTATTTCCTATCGCCCTCTCTTTCTGGCTTTCTCTCTCTCTCGTAAACCTTGGTCGCGTCACGAGTTCAAGTCTGTATGTAAACATGCGTTCCTGAATCTGGTCAACACGAGTTTTCTCCACAACCGTTGAACATTACATAGGCAATGTAGGCATCAATGTAGGCATTAACTAAAGTACATGCGGGCATCTACATAATACATATGTACAATACATTGTAATATGTATGTTACTGTCTTAGTGTGTACAACAATACTAGAGTTGTGGATCCTGATGTCAGTATCGACGACGAAATAGGACACGGTATATCCCATTTCGGACTGGTAGGAAGCGGGAC